GTCCCCGATGTCTGTGGTGGTGGCGGTGGTGGTGGGGGGGGGGGGGTCGGGAGAGAGGGTGGAAGGAGAGCCTCAAACCTACAATCTTCTGACTCACAGACGCGAGTGCTGTCGACTGACTGACTGACTAACTGACTGACTGAGCCGGCTGACACACAATCCTTTTAATTGATTGATAATATTTTTGGCTTCAAACTAGGTAGAAGTTAAAACACCAACAGCCAGGAAGTTCACGCCTTAAGCGCACAGAGCAGTTGTTTATTCCAATCTTTGGTCTCGCATGCTCTAGGTTGACATTCCTACTCGGCGCTGGGGTGGGAGGGGGTGGGGAAATGCTGCAATGTCGGAGGTTCCGCCCTTCGAACGGGTCGTTAAAGCGAGGTCCCGTCTCTGCCCGTTCGGGTGGACGTTAAAGATGCTGCGGAGATATTTGCAAAGATAAAGGAGGTTCTCCTCCCTGTGGTCCTGGCCTGCAATCCCCCATGTAAAATCAGTCGCTCGCTTCCTGGCTGCTCGCAGGACATTGATGTGCGCAAACTGGGCTGCTCACCAGCAAAACACACAGTCACACCGCTTTATCATAATGTCCTGAGAAGCACTTTGAGAGCTTCTCCTATGGTGAAAGACTCTACCCTAAATGATTATTAATTGGATATTATTATTTGATTATCAATCAAACTGCTCCTGAGATTTAATATCTATTTCACCCACAAAATCCACAGCCACTTTCACTTTGCAATATATCTTATATTGTTAGCACTTTGAGAGGTCTCGACAACGTGAAAGATGCTGTACCCAATGCGAGGATTCTATGGATTCATTTTGGGGATTTTTTTTTAACGTAAACAGAAATCTGTTATGATCGTGGAAGATAAGACTATTAAACGAAGACTTTTTTTTGAATTGAAAGATTAGTTTTACAATTATTTTCCCTCGCTCTCTTTGTCTCGATTGGCCCATCGCTTTTCCGGAAGTAGTCATCCTTTCAAAAAATAATAATAATTTGGTCACACAACCCACGACTGTTCGTGGGACGCTGCTGTGCGCAATTGGCTGCCACTTTTACGCCCACAAAATACACAGTCAATTCGCTTCACGGCATGTTCTGTGATAGCACCTTGCGACGTCTCGAAGACGTGATGAGGCGCTGTATCAAATGCTTATTATTATTATTTGTTCCGTCCAGGAAAAGTGCCAGCATGACTCAGTCTCTTCCAAAGGGCGGAAATTCGAACCGGTTTCTAAACCAAGGCTGAATTTCAAGACATTTTCCAGGAATCTGGATCTGTTATCTTTCTCGAGAGAGAGAGAAAGAAAGACACGCAATGTGCTCTCACAGGCTAAGACTAGGTGGAATTTGGGGCCTGTGAATTTCTGAGTATTAAAATCGAGTTGCACACTTCCTGCAGGAAATGAATCACTGATCATATAGAGAAGAAAAAAATCTTTCCACTGCAGATTTCTGAAGTCATGCAAACCCACGTGAGAGATAGATAGAGAGAGAGAGAGGTTGCAGATTCCTCGGGGCAGTTCCTTAGCTCATCACATATCACCTCTGGTGTGTGTCTATACACCCGTCTACACTGTCAGGTCATTTACATTTTGTTGCTCCAGTGGGGTGCTGGGGCGGGTGGGGTGTAAGTGGGGGTGAGGGGGGGAAAGAGCATTGCATTGGATTATCGGAGGTGCTGTGAGACATTAAAACAAGCTCCCTGTCTGTACCTGTTCAGGTGGATGTTAAAGCTCCCGGGGTGCCATTGGAAATAAAGATAGGGTGGGTTCCTAGCCGCCCACACTCCCACCCAACCCCCACTCTGTCTGTTTACTCAAATCATCACTGAACGTGGGAACTCAGGAGATTAATCAGCTTGCACATTACTAGATGTGCCCTACGCCTTGCAAGGACAGTGACTGTGCAATGAAAAAAAAACAGACTGTGGCTTGTTCGTTCAATCCTGACTTTTTAATACCCGCCCTCCCCTGATCTCCTGCTGATCAGGCTTTTGATAGCAGGAGGACAGGAATGGAAGGAAGAGAGAGAGAGAGAGAGAGAGAGAGCAAGAGATAGAGCGAAAGAGAGGGGGAGAGAGAGAAAGAAAGAGAGAAAGCGCAGGAGAGTGCGAGAGAACAAGAGAGAGCAAAAGTGAGCGAGAGAAAGAGAGAGAGAGAACACCAAAGCACGAGAGAGAGAGAGAGAGAGAGAGAGAGAAAAAGGCAGCTTTAATGTGATTCCCATCACTCCTCTTAATCCTCAGTCAGGTGACTGCTCACAAGACTGAACTCGGCCACTTTCTGAACGCGAGACAAAACAAACAGAGCTAAGAACCGGGACGGAATCGACCCCCTCAGCCTCTCAAAGCCTCGTGTTATTCTTTCCTTAAAGATTTAGGATGTGCCAACAGCGTAGAACAAGAGGATACTGGTTCAGAGCTTGCAAAGGGGCAGTTTCAGCACGGACGCCAGGAAGCGTTCCTTTACTCGGAGGGTAATTAATGACTGGAATGTGAGGTCAGGGAGGGTGGTTGAGGCTGGGACTCTGGAACGTGTTAATAAAGATACAGTACAAATTTCCATTTCGATAACGCCCGCCTTTCATGTCGGGAGGACGTCCCAAGGCTCTTGACAGTCCAGGCTGGGCACCTGAGCTGGGGGGTTGGGAGGTGAGCCGAGAGGAGTGGGGAGGGGAACACTGACCAAAGACGCGGTCAAAGAGGTTGGGTCTTAAGATGGACCTTGAGAGAGGGAGGGTGGTTGCTTAACGGGGAGGGTGGGGGGGGGGGAACTGCATGCAAATTAGTTGTCGCATCTACTTACTGACGCAGGTAACGTGGGGAGAGAGAGAGAGAGGTCACATAAATAACGTTAAACTCTGGGGCTGCCATCAAGTGTTCCTCCTCACCTCCCTTTTCCCCCCAACTCCCTACCCCCCGCATCAAACAACTTATTGGTGGGGGGTGGGGGGGTGAAGAGAGGGAGAACTGAATGTTAACAGGATGTTACCGTTAGGCTGCAAGTACCAGGACCCCAGGGTGTGTGGTTTCCTAACAAGCCTTCTGTCAGAAGGTGTGAGATAGTACTCCTCTGGCCTTACATCTGTAGCCTGACAGCATCAAGATCCTACTGGCTGGTCACACAGAGCTTCGAACCGTACCCTGGACTTTCGTGATCATCAAATGTCTGGGGTGGAGGAGAGAGGAGGAGAAGGGTGTTGGGGGGGTGGGGGGCGAGGGGAGATAGGACAGTGCTTTAAACCGGGTGGAAAAGAAAGCTTTTCTTTGGGACAGTTTGTAGTGCGGAAATGGAAAATGCAGGGACTCAATTTGCTGCAGCGTCCTTGCATGGAAAAGGTCCGAATGCAAACTCTCTCCCTCCCTCTCTCCCTCTCACACGCACATCCTGCCACGACAATAAACCGTCACTTTGGTTCAGGTTAATGTCCTGGTACATCGGGAATGGTGAGCTCCGACAAGAGAATTAGTGGGAAGAAAGGGAAACAACTTTTTTTTTGGGGGGGGTATTATATATATTAGAAAAAAGCAGTTATAATTATCTCCGAGTCGGGAGAGGAGAACAGGTTACATAACTCAACGGGTTTCGTCAATAATCATAATACTCCTTGCAATTGACGTGGTGCCTTAACGCCACTTTGAGACGTCTCAAAGCGCTTCACGGAATACACTGTAAGAATTCGACCCCCAAACCTCACCGGCATTAAGATTCAGCGCCTGCCTTTGAGGAGAGCGCCTCCGCACAAGTGGAAAGCAGCAAAAAAAAAAAAAAAAATCACGCTGCCTGATTGATGGCCTTTCAATCCGCTAAAAATGTGGCCCCGAGCGGCCGAGAGATGCGAGCAGTGAAGCTGGCAAATACCAGGCGTATTTTGAAAGCGGTCCACATGATTAGCTGCGACGTGAGAAGCAATTGGCTGACGGGGGTGGGTGGTCAAAAGCATCTTACAAGCACCGAGGCAATCTCTGACCTGTGAGGATCATATCTGTCTGCTTGTTATGGCACAGGGGGAAGAGGATATTTAATGACCGTCTGGCACTGAACAGTAGAGAGTTCTCGGAAAACACATTCAGATATTCCTCCTTTGAAATTAGCTCAGAAATAGGCCAATCAGTCTAACACGCCCGTGCCGTGTTGGTGCTCTCCACACGAGCCCCAACACCCCCACCACCCCCCTTTTCTGTTCCCCATTTTACCTGTCCCCCACCCCCCACCCACCACACCTGTCTATCCTCCTGTCGATACACAGCACAACAACAACAACAACAAATTGCATTTACACAGTGACTTTTACGTCAGGAGGACGTCCCAAGGCGCTGGACAATGAGGGGCTTGTACCCAAGCTGCGGGATGGGAGCAGAGAGCGGTGGAAGAGGGTAAGGTGGGGGCTGGGGGGGGTGTTGGAAGAGGGAAAATGACTGAAGACACGGTCTTGAGATGATCCTTGAAGCAGGCGAGGGAGGGAGCACAAACACAACAACAAAGGCCAAGCGTAGTAACCTTCCATCACATATCCATCATCTGTTTAAGATTCCACGTTACACACTCACTCACATACACACACACACTCGCTCTCTCACACACACACACCCACTCACTCTCTCATACACACTCACTCACTCACTCACTCACTCATACACACTCACTCACTCACACACAGACACACACACGCTCACTCACTCTCTCACACAAACACTCACTCTCTCACACACACACTCTCTCACATACACTCTCACACACACACACACTCTCACACACACACTCACCCTCTCTCTCACATACACACTCTCTCACACATACACACTCTCTCACACACACTCATTCACACACAGACACACTCACTCACACACACACACACACACACTCACTCTCACACACAGACATACACACGCACACTCACTCACTCACTCACTCACGTGGAGCAATGTGCGAGACCAAATCCTTGTCGACAGTAAAGGGAAAAGTCAGATGGGCAGAGCTCACCCACTAACCTTAATCATCTCTGCCACGTAACTCTCAGGCCCTGTGTATTCAGTGGAGTCCTTGACTTTAACCAGGACGATAAAACATAAATAATGCCACATGTTGTGCTCCTCTTTAATGTGCTCTTCAAACGTTACGGTCTTGTTGTCAAATTTATCTCTCTCCAAGCCTGGAAATAGCAAAGTCAGGAGATTACCAACCGAGACTAATTGGACCTACAGCCAAGAATAAGCAGGGGATTGGAACTCATCGTTGTTTAAGGAGTAAGTTCTTGGCTCGGAGGGGAATGTATTACCCAAGGTCTATATTGTTGCCCAAAAGGTTAGTGGAAATCTGGAACTCTCTTCCCCAAAAGGCTGTGGATGGTGGATCCGTTCACATTTTCAAGACTGAGGTGGATAGATTTTGTAGGTCGGGATTATAGGGCAAACGAGGGTGAAAACAACAACAACTTGCATTTACATAACACCCCTCGTGCAGAGTGGCGTCCCAGAGCTCTTGACAGTGGCGAAGCCGAGGCGGGGGTAGGGAGGAGAGGGAGGTGACCGTAGGCGTGGTCAAAGAGTCAGGTCTTCGGGCGTGACCCGAGGATGGGGAAGGAAGAGATAGAGAAAGAGTGTTCCAGAGTAAATTAAGTTGAGATACAGATCAGCCATGATCTAATAGAGTGGCGGAACAGGCTTGAAGGGCTGAATGGCCTCCTACTGTTCCCATTGTTCCTATAATATCTATCCTATTTGTATACAGTAGTCCTGAAATGCCAGGCTGTCTGACCCAGCAAATCTGGGCTGGTACTTTGCACGTTGTCCTTGAAGCAATGGACTGTTAAGATGATTAACGGTGGGTCACGGCAGGTAAACAACAGTGAACGAGGGCACTAGCTGGGGGCAGGGTTCGGTACTGACCGCATATGAAGCAGGTGGTTTTCAGGACCTCTTCCTTCTTCTGCTTCTCGCTCCTCAAGTCAGCGAACGTATCGATGATGACACCAAAGATCAGGTTGAGGACGATGATGATGACCATGAAGAAGAAGAGAAGGTCGTAGATCACCCGGGCAGCGAAGAGTGGCTCCTGAGTGAGAGAGAGAGAGCGAGAAACACCCAATGAACGTACAGAGTCACGCAACGATAAGCATTTGGAAACATAGAAACAGGAGAAGGCGATTCAGCCCCTTAAGCCTGTTCTGGCATTTTATAAGATCACAACTGATCTGTACTTCAAGTCCAGTTACTACCAGTTACTACTAGTTAACAGCCTCTCTGCCCCCGCACTCTGGAACTCCATCCCACAGTCCCTTCGCCTTGTTTCCTCCCTCGCCTCCTTCAAGGCCGGTCTCAAGACCCTTCTCTTTGACCGTGCCTTTGGTCTCCCTCCCACCTCTCTGCCTTCCCTCACCCCTACATCACTCCTCCCCCATGCTCGGGCCCCGACAGCTGACTGTTCAGCGCTTTGGGACGTTTTCCCGACGTGAAAGGCGCTCTATAAATGTAATTTTGTTTGTTGTTGTTGTTAACATCCTGACCTAACCAACATCTCTCTATCGCTATCTTGATATTGTTAATGGATCCAGCATCCACAGCCTTTCTGGGGAGAGAGTTCCAGATTTGGGTGAAAAAACTGCCTCCTGATTTCACTCCTCAATGGCCTAACTTTAAGAGCTTTAAGAAGAAGTCAAGACATTCCCGTTGAGCCTCTCTTCCCAATCGCTCATCAATAATTCTGCACTGGATCCTCTGGTTCTAGTGTTCTGTGTGATGTAATTGAAGGGGAGTAAATTCAGAACGAATCTACGCAAACACTATTTCAGTGAGCGAATAGTGAACCTGTGGAACAGGCTCCCGAGGGAGACACGGCGGGAAAGCTTGAAGCAGGAAACGTTGATTCTTTCAAACGCAGATTAGATCGTATATTTTGTGAGCAAAACACGGCGTGTCCCACAAACAGTTGTGGATTGAGAGACCAAATTATTTGAATTATCTATTTATTTCTTTTTTGGAAGGAATTATTACCGCCCGAAAAAGCGATCGGCCAATTGATTGCATGTGCTAGGAACAGCAGCAAACAGCAGAACCATCGGGTTGGCAAGATAGAGCTCACAGATTACCGCAGCAAGAACTTATCTCTCAATATCTGAAGAGCTGCAAGGGTTGAAGCTACTGCTCACCTCTTTGGACGGTTTCCTGAGTACATCGCCCACTCCGCCCCCGCTTCGCAACCCGTGACTGAGCACAGTGATAATGCACATCAGAAGAGTCTCGCAGGTGTGCTCTGAGTCCGCTCCGCTCTCTGAAACAAACTCTGACGATCAGTATATATTTATTTGGGTGGGAGGTCGACCGGGTGTCTGAGACACACGCAGAAACCCATCGCCGTTGCTTCAGAGCATCGAAACCAAGCTGAGAATTCCATGCTTCCCCCCCCCACTCCACGTGGAGATTCCAGAGATGGTTTGTTGGAATGGAATGCGCTCTCTCTCTCTCTCCCTGGAGGGATGCATCCTAATTTACTTAATTCCTGAAAGTATTAGGCGCAGGTTGGCAAGAGCCAAGGCTTGGGGATCCCAGAGTGTGCGTTGGGGTCACTGCTGGAGCCTAACGGGTTAAAACCGCCTGGCCTGCCATTGACAACGCTGTCTGGCAAGCTGTCCCGCCGTGTGTCCTGCCAAGACCACGAGGGCTTTGGCTTGTAACAACAACTTGCACTTGTATAGCGTTTCGGAGTGCTTGACAGCGGTGGAGTCTGACCCCCGAGTCAGGGGGGAGAGGGAGCGGGGAGGTGAACGTAAACACGATCAAAAAGGAAGCTCTTTAGGCGTGATTTGAAGGTGGGGAGGGAGGGGGCAAGGCGGAGGGATTGAGGAAGGATGATTCCCTATCCCCAGCCGATCAGTAATGACGCATCTTGGATGTGGGGAGGAGGGGGAAGAGGAGGTGGGGGAGGGCGGTTGCTCATTCTTGACCCAAAACTCTGGGCCAGCAAAAGATGAAGGGAGTGGGAGGGGGCGAGTTACCAGAGGATGTTAACACCACAACTGAAACCAAAGTCCTCTTACCGTGACTTTCCAAAGAGGTGGAAGTTGAGCAGTTCTCTCCGTTGCCGAGCCTGCACACGTCCGCCATCAGAAAGTCATTCACCACGGATGTGGCATCTTCTGAACGGACAAACAAACAAACAAAAAATCTAAATAAAGACATTCTTGCCTTTGAGCCGTTGGTAAGGCCTTTACTCTCCTCCAGCTTCTTGTGGGATGAAAATTCCCGACCACAGTGGGAGATCCCACGAGTGTCCCACATTGACTTTGGTATCATTTTTAACCCTTTTGGCATCTCAGAGTTGTTTTAAACAGAGAGAGAAAGAGCTTACTTCATAGGAACAGGAGGAGGCCATTCAGCCCTCGGGCCTGTTCCGCCATCCTATAAGATCTGTGTCTTTGCCCCATATCCCTGAATAGCCTGACCTAACAGATATCGATCCACCTCAGACTTGAAAACGTGAACGGATTCAGCATCCACAGCCCTTTGGGGGAAGAGAGTTCCAGATTTCAACCACCCTTTGTCCCCATTGCTGATTTTGCGCGTGAGTATTGTTGGGTGGGTTAAAGGCTTCGACTCACAAGACGTAACGCACGAGGGATAGAGTTAGAGGTTTGTCTCTTGAGGATCTCTGGACACGAAAGCAGCTTCGGAAACAGGCGCTGGCAAACACGTAGTCTCAGCTTATGTTTGAATGGGACCCGATTAGACTTGATGTTCAAGAGTACAGATGCACAATTTACACCACAGTTAACCAACCCTGCAGCTTGCTCACGTTCCAGGGCCTTGGGACGTCCTTCCGACGTGAAAGGCGCTATATAAATGCAATTTGTTGTTGTTGTCAAGCGAAGTATCTAAAAGAGGTCGAGTCGGGACCCTACCCTGTCTGCGTGGCCGAGATTCACGACTGATCAATTGAACTACCAATTGGGACCGTCCTTGAATTATAGCTTTAATGAGCACTACCTGAAGCCTTCGAGGCAGTCTAAACTCCAATTCATCCCATCAATACAAAGTGACACCTTTGAAATCCAAGGCCTTTCAATCAGCAGCACTGTTGGGAATCACGTCTGTATTATCTACGGCTGCTCAATGAATATGGTAATGAAAGCTTTCAAGTGCCGGCCTTTCAAAGCTTCTCCATCGTGTCTCGAGTGTTTCGGGCGAGTTTCACCAGAGTTACAGCACACCAAGGTTACCTTGATAGAGTGCCACCGTGTTGCCTCATGTCAACCCCACCAGCCCATCAATACGGCGCTCAGTATCAGTGTCTTAAACTCTCATGGTGGGACATCAACTCAAACCGTTGATCGAGATACATTGAAGCCGCAGAACAATACAGATAAGGAGCGGGTTTTAAAGTGCAAGTACCCCACCTCTTCCTCCCTGCATTTGATATAGCGCCTTATTACGTCGTTGAGATATCTCAAAACCCTTCACAAAATATATTGTAAAGGGGTGAAACGCAGCAGCCAATTACGCCCAGCAACGTCCCACAAATGATAGGACATTGAGGTTTTTATCCCGGCTGTTGCATGGGGGTCTAAACACTGTAAGAACCTCATGACTGCAGGAATTTCCGCTCGAGCAACTCAGACCACCGTGTCGAGTTATCCCCACCTCTCTTAAAATACGAGACTCTAAACCACTGACCCAAACCTCGGAGATTCCACCCCAACGCACCCCTGGTTTTTACCTGCCCAGTGAGTTTTGTTTGGGATCTTGTCCACAGCCAGGATAAAGTCATCCTTGAAGAAGAGAAATCCCACGATGGAGAACAGGTAGACGAGGATGAGAGCCAGGACTGCGGTCAGGATGATAGAGCGACCGTTTCGGGTCACGCTCTTGATGACATTTAGCAAAGTCTCCTCTCTGTAAACCAGGTCAAAGAGCTGGAAACAAAGGCACCAGTGAGAAGTGGGTTCTTCACTAACCCCCCACCCCACTCCTTCCCTCCCCTCCCCACTAAAAAACAGAGACCTCATCTCCATTTTATTTCTTTTCCCCTGAATTGGGAACATCAACCAACAAACTCAAACCCTTCCACCCAACATTCCAGCATTTATTCGCCTGCCTCATTCTGACCTCTTTTGTGTGCGTGTCTCTCTCTCTCTCTCCCCTTCCCTCCACGACCCCCCCACCCCGCCCCCTCCGCATAATAAAATGCATACCAGCAAACTGTAGAAGAACTCGTGTGCAAATAGTCCCATGACGGACACCATCGTGTACGCCAAATGGTATAGAAACTCCACGTCCAGGATCATTGCTTTGTACCCTCGAGTAAACGTCCCTCGATTTCCCACAAAACTGGTCAGGAATATGACCTTGTTACCGACCTGTTGAAGAGGTACACACACACAGACACACACGCACACAGACACACACGCACAGACACACACACACACGCACAGACACACACAAGCCACATATTGGTTAGCGAAACTCTCCTTAGAAAGGTTGAAGAGTGAAAGGGGGGAAAGTGACCATCATAAGCAAGATTGAAGATGATCAACTAAATGAGGGATTGTCTCTCTCTCCAACCTGCTTACTCCCCAACCCACCACCCCCTGCCTCTGCTTGACTGGCTCCCGCTTGTCCCTCGTGCCCTCTGTTCCACCATCTGTCGCCCCGCTTTCACCCCGAAACTCTTGAATATTCTATCCCTCCGCCTTGCACCTTCCTTCCCCATCTTCGGTCGCGCCTGATGACCTTCCTCTCCAACAGTGCCCTCAGTCACCTCCCCCCTTCCCCGGCTCGGCATCGCGCTCGGCCACCGTCACGCACTCTGGGACGCTATTCTGCGCGAGGGGCTCTACATGAACGCAAGTTGTTGTGGTTGTATTGAGAAAGGGTCTCGCTGCAGATTATAATGTGTTCTGGAGAAGCGGAAATGTGCCATTGAATTGTCGGTGACATTAATTGAAGGTCATTTTTTTTTTGAGAGAGAATTCACGCAATTTTTAATACCCGAACCCAATTTGCTTTGGATAATATTTTCTCCCTCTCTCTCTCTCTCTCTCTTTCTCTCTACGAAGCACGCTCAGTTCAACAGGGTCACGCAAGAATAAATTCAGCAGGAGCATTTTTGGTTACATTATTTATAAAAAGATCCCAGGAGAACCCGCCAGCTAAAGATGACCCATTTCACACGCCTACTTTGGAGCTCAGATTATAACTAAAAAAAAAAGGAAGGATTTTCTTCACGAGTTAAACTAGAAAATGATCCCGTAGGAAAAGTTACCAGAAAACGGAACTGACCCCAAATGGTAAATGACCAATTATCAATTCAACAAATGATTAAACTCCGGAGAAGGAATGAACGCGAGGATGAGTCAGAAGACGGGACGGTTACTGGGAGAAGTTACTGAGAATTACTGGGAGAAATCCCGTTTCGTTGTTCAAGTAGCGTCGCGGGAATCGCTCACGCCCACCCGATGGAACGGGCAGAACAGATCTGGGGTTTAGTGGGTAGGAGAGAGGCAATTGCCAGGAACTGTCTGGTGCCCACATTGAGAGAGCTGGGAGGCTGAAACCTGACCTGATCTCAGCTTTACGCACATACCGCCCACGTCTGATCTGCAGAAAAAAGATTGCGTCTGCAAAAACAAAAACAACACGCCGGACTAACAAGAAGCCTCTTTATCTGGGAGCGGGTTTCACAGCCGGATAATCTGTGCTGAACACTGAGAAAGTTGTCAGCCATTGAGGGCTGCTTGGCTTGAGATTCTGAAGGCTTGTGCTGTGGGTTTGATCCCTCCACCTTGCCTCAATCCCTGCGCCCTGCTCCCTCTCTCCCCTTTTCCAAGTCCCGCCTGAAAACCTTCCTCTTCGACCGTGCTTATGGCCACCTCCCTCCCGTCCCCCACCCCGGCTTGGAGTCAGGCTCCGCCACTGTTGAGCGCTCTGAGACGCTACCCTGCGTGGAGGGTGCTATATAAGTGCAATTTGTTGTATCTAAAACACTGGTGCTCCCAGGTCTGTGCTGGGTGATTGTGTAGAATGTGCGTGGGGTGTAGGACTGAGATCCTATAGAATATGTATGATTTCAGCAGTAAGTGACCCTAAGATTGTGTGTGGTTTCTACACTGGGTGATCCTATGCAATAAAAATAATAATAATAATCCTTGCATTTGATATAGCTCAGTGGAGTCCTGTAGCTCAGTGGTTAGAGCACTCGCTTTGCAAGTGAGAGACCTGAGTTCAATTCCAGGCAGAGGGCGAAACCTTGGGCAAGTTTCCTTACTGCACACAGAGCCTAATAATAATCCCTCCAAAACCAAAAACAATAATAAATTGGTCATTTTCAATCCACGACTGTTTGTGGGACAGACATTGCTGTGCAATTGGCTGCTGCGTTCGCCCACAAATATACAGTCAATTCACTTTACAGTATATTCTGTGAAGCACTTTGGGACGTCCTCCCGACGTGAAAAGCGCTATATCAAATGCAAGGATTATTATTATTATTATCACGTCATTGAGACGTCTTCAAGCCCTTCACGGAATATACGGTAAGGTGAATTTACTGTATATTTTTGGGTTGAAACACGAGAATCAATTGTGCACAGGTGTGTCCCGCAAACAATCTACCAAATCATTTCTTTATTTATTTTTAGCGATCCCCGGCCAATCGACTAACAACTGGGTTCCTGCTTACTGCGAGATAAACAGAGGCGTGTGGAGTAAGAAAACTTGCCCAATGTTTCGCCCTGCCCAGGAATTGAACCCAGGTCTCTCGCTTGCAAGACAAGCTCTCTAACCACTGAGCTACAGGACTCCAATGTGCAATTGCTTTAGTGCTAAGGCCTCTTATAGAATATGGGTTCAGTGTAACTGATCCTATAGAATGTGCACGGCTTCAGCACCTGGTGATCCTATAGTGTGTGTGTGTGTGTGTGTGTGTGTGTGTGTGGCTGAGAGCACAACCAATCATATAGCAATTACTCAAAACATCGCTATCTGTGTAACTCTCCAAGTCTGCGATGTGATGTCTGATGATTCCCGAATGAATGATCATCTTTAAGCAATACTCACGTTGAATCCTCCCAACAAGTACAGCGTTGGTTCCAAACCCACCGAGAAGATAAGCCTCAGGATGGTGGAGGCTATCAAGGCCCGAATACCATGAGGTTTGGGAAGAGCGATCACAATGGCCAGAGAGATTAACACCGCTGTCCACAACAGGCCTGATAAATGGGCCTCCAAAGTACCTAGCGAGAGGGAGGAAAATATCCTGCTGTTAGCAAATATTGCAAATATTCCGCTTGCATTTCATAGGCAACACTAACACTAACATCAAAACGCCTCGCAGCACTTCAGGTAATTGCTGTCAAGTGGAGTGACTGTGCATTTACAGGCTACTTGTGCCCAGCGCAAAGCAGCTATGGAGTGAATGCTCAATTTATCTGGGGGATTGGTTAGCCAAGACAGTGGGAGAAACTCACCTATGCTTTTTGAATAGAGTCATGGGATATTTTGACGTCCACCTGAATAGCACATAGAAACTTGGTTGAAAGTTTCATTTGAAGGGGCGATGCCTCCTACAGTCACTAATCCCTCCAGCAGAGCACTGGAGTGTCAGTCTGGTCTGTGAGCGCAAGTTCTGATGTGGGGCTCGAGCCCACAAACCCCTGACCTAGCGGGCGAGGGTGCGACCCACTGAGCCAGGCTGGCACGCGGACATCCGAGCAAAGACCAATGTTTTGGCAACGCTAAAATACAGTCACTGTCCTGTCGTGTCCGTCACACAAGAGGTTAATTGCAACTCGTCCAAAATAGGCTGTGTAATTGTGGTCAGGGATTTCCGATTACACACACACCACTTCTGTGGAAAATAGCCAAGCATTGAGCATTGTAACGGGAAATTCCCATCCATGTGCAGCGGATATGGAGAGTGCAGCCAGCCTGAATAACACACACTGTGAACACAGACAGATTGGACCTTTGGGCTTAATTTAAGTTTTAATGGAGTCAGTTATTAACTATAAATACATGCACATACCCTTACGCACACACACACACACTGCAAGACCAATCTGCATGTTATAATAATAATACTTACATTCGATATGGCACCTTATCACATCGGCAAGATGTCTCAAAGCGCCTCACACAATTTCACTGCCAAGTGTAGTGACTGTATGTCATGTTGATAATAATAATCCCTCCAAAACCAAAAACAATAATAAATTGGTCATTTTCGATCTACGACTGTTTGTGGGACATTGCTGTGCGCAATTGGCTGCCGCGTTCGCCCACAAATATACAGTCAATTCACTTTACAGTGTGTTCTGTGAAGCGCTTTGGGACGTCCTCCCGACGTGAAAAGCGCTATGTCAAATGCAAGGATTATTATTATTATTATTATTGTAGGAGACTAGAGAATTATAACATGGAAAAGGTTGCTCGAAAAACTAGGGAACTTGCTCTTTACTCAGTCTGGTCCTCACCATTTACTGAGATCAGTAACTCAATTTGCTCAGTCAGTTTGTTCAGCAAAGACATTTGGACGCAGAAGGTTACGGGTCAACACAGACCAGCCTTTTAGTCGTTCGAGGTTGATGGAATGAGTTCTATCATTAAACACGTATCTTCCGAAGGTGGTGTTGAGTAGTTGGCAGATCACATGAGTTGGATTGCCCTAGAATTGACTTGACTTAGAAGGAGACAAAGAAATTCAAAGCACTGTTGATGGCTGACCAGCCCGAATGGGCAATTAACCGGCGGGTGTCGGCGTGTTGGTGAACGCGTGAGAGTGAGCCTCGGGGTGGGGGGCTAGGCTGCTTGATGAAATCACAGGAGTCACAAGGCCTCTTTGAAATGTGCAACAAGGAATTGGGAGGTTGAAAGGTCAGCCCGTCTCCTCCTCATGTTCATTCCTTCCTCTGGAGCCCAGAACACACAAAACAGCTCTCATTTTCATTCCTGAAGAGGTTGAGATTATCGGAGGTCCTTCCGATGAAACATAAAACCACTTCAGGTGGGCATTAAAAGATCTCAGGACTCTATTCGAACTGGAGAAGGAAGGTTCTCCCAATGTCCTGGCCAACAATCTGCCCCCCCACCCCCCCCCACACACTTCACAGCTTCCACATTTGCCTGCAAACACAGTCAGTGGATTTGACAGCAATAAACCCTGAAGCCCTTTGAAACCCTCAACCACGTGAGTGTGATGGAACAACAGGTCAAAGACAAGACCCAAGTGATCTCTCAGAGGAGGGGGGGGGCTTCCTTTGGACGTGGGCTGTAACCCTAGGAAGTCTTTCCGACGTGAAGGGCGCTATACAAGTGTAATTTGTCGTTGTAACACTGGAATGGGAGCAGATGTACAACTCAAGTGCTCAATCTAGAGAGAAGAACTCATGCTGCAGTTCAGTTTGTTTCACTGTGAAGAGATTTATGGAGCATTTTGAGAACATATTGCTGAACCAGTTCTGCGGATATGCCCGAAAGCTTTTTTGGAACGAGATTAAAGAGCCTCCACAGCCTTCCACTAACCTCCCGAGAGGCAGTGGTTTGCTCGAACAGAATAAAATTCATGACCCGTTGACCAATTTCCCCACCTGATTAAGATGGACAGGGCACTTAAATGTTTGCTTGACTTTAGAATGGACTTGTGGTCAGGTCACTGCTGTTTAGATGCAATGGGAACCGATTAGCAATGGCATTTGCCTGTGTAAGACCCTCCTAACCTCGAGGTCTTTGGCTTGCGGACAACGCATGCCTTCGTTTGTGTGGAGTCCTGTAGTTCAGTGGTTAGAGCACTCGCCTCGCAAGCGAGACACCTGGGTTCGATTCCCGGGCAGGACAAAATGTTGGGCAAGTTTCCTTACTCCGCGCACACGCCTCTGTTTACCCAGCAGTAAGTAGGAACCCGGTTGTTAGTGGATTGGCGGATCGCTTTTCCGGGGAGCAGGCCATGAAGTCAGTGACTAATTGATCTGTTGGCTAGGACACTGGGAAACTGCCTTCTCTTCTTTTTGAATGGTGCCATGAGATCTGATCAGATAGATAGAACGTACCTTTTTTTTAAGCATCTCGTCTGAAGTACGGCACCTCCGACAACGCAGCGCCCCCCCACCACCCCACCCACCCCCACCACCCACAGCACTTAGAGCATCAGCCTGGGCTGTGAGCTCAAAGACCTCTGTACCAGGGGCTGGAACCCACAACCTTCTGACTCAGAGGTTAGGTCACTGGTGGTTCGCATGACTTTTTCCAAGATTATCTCCTTGGAGGTCAGTTCAGTCTCCACTTGCCTCTCCACACATGAAGGAAGGCAGGTCAGAGGACCCGGGTTCGATTCCCAGCAGGGCAAAACCTTAAGCAAGTTTCCTTACGCCACGCGCCTCTGGTTTGCCCAGCAGTGAGAAGGAACCCGGCTATTAAGTCGATTGGCGGATCACTTTTCCGGGTGTAATAATCCCTTCAAAAAAAACAACTAAATAAATGATAGTAATTTGACCCCTCAATCCACAACAGTTTGTGGGGGGGACGCTGCTGTGCGCAATTGGCTGCTGAGTTTCGCCCACAAGATATACAGTCAATTCACTTTACAGTACACGCTGTGAAGCATTTTGAGACGTCTCGAAGACGTGACTGAGGCTCTATATCAAATGCAAGGATTATTATTGTTCCGGCAGCTTTAAGGACGGTGGGCATTTAGTCAACCTGAAAGTAAGCCGAACTTGGGAGCAAAACTCAGCGGACGTGTGACTCAAACCCACATCTTTTGGGCCCACGTTCAACCCCTGATCTGAATGAGCTATAAGGGAAGGAAGGAGGGGAAGCTTTTTTGGTTGTTGTTAATAATAATAATAATAATAATAATCCTTGCATTTGATATAGCGCTTTTCACGTCAGGAGGACGTCCCAAAGTGCTTCACAGAACACACTGTAAAGTGAATTGACTGTATATTTGTGGGCGAACGCGGCAGCCAATTGCGCACAGCAGTGTCCCACAAACAGTCGTAGATTGTTGAAGGGTTGGAGGGGGAAGATGTACAAAGAAATTTAAAAAAAAGTCCCAAGGACGACAGAAGTAAGAGGAAGCCATTGGTGAAAATCCAATGGCTTTCGGTTCCCCTTTGCAGCCTTGAAAAAAAAACTCCCGCAAAGACCGCTTATCCTTCGATTTGTTGAAACCCAGACCATTCACTTCTGTTTAAGGGCTGGCCAGGGAACGTTCTGTGTACCGCACAAAACTTTCCTTCCATTGAACGCTTTTTTTTGTTTCAACCAAGATTACGTAGCTCTTTCAGAGAGACTTGTACTTGTTTCTGTGCGGTGAAGACGCCGCGAGATTTCTTTTACAAGGCGGTTGCGTTGGGAGCTTGGAGAGTAATACCAGAGAGAGTCTGGGTGGGGTGGGTGTGGGGTGTGTGGCGGGGAATGGGGGGGGGGTTTGGGAGTGAGGGTTGGGAGAGTGGGTTGCCTGGCACATGGGAAGAAAGACAGAGGCAGAGGTCTGATGGACCAACTGGCTGGTTTCTGTGCTGTAACGAAATATGAGCTCATTCCTTCTGCACGATCCTGGTTTGAAAAGTACAGGTTGGCTGTATTCCAATCAGCACAACTTGGGTTTTCTTCTCAATCAGGTTCCTGTTTAAAGTTGCTCATAATAACCCCCGGCTTAAAACTTGTGGAAGGTGACATCCTTTGAGGAACGAACACAGGACGTGCAGAGCACAAGAAAATCGAGACTTGCGCACAAACACGCGCACACGCAAACAGAACGCAGGCATACAAAAAACACAGGTGTGTGCGTGCCTGTGAGCGCACACACGTACGTGTCCAAAAACACAACTAAAACGCAAGCGTATGTCAGATCTGTCGTTAAAACTGGTTTGTCGACAAAGAAAAATCACTTCATGGCTGTTTGCGGGATACTGCTGCACGCAAAATTAGCTGCCCTCAAAAATACACAGTCACTACACTTTGCAGTAAGCTGCTCCGAAGCGCTTTGCGACGTTCTCCCAACGTGATTAGGCGCTACACCAAATGATTCTATTTTACCACCGCTAATTCACGTAAACCCAGACAAGCACAGGGGGGTTTAGAACAACCACAACAACAACTTGTATTTATACAACGCCCCTCACGCAGGGTGGCGTCCCAGGACCCGCGAGCGCAGAGCGACCCCCCCACCGCGCGCACTTACCTCCGCGGGCACCTTCGAAGGGGTAGAAGAACGCAACCAGCAGGTTCATGAGCACGGCCAGGTTGAAGGAGATGCTGCTCCAGAAGGTCATGTTGCGGGAGCACCAGTAGAGCACGGGCTGCGCTGTAACACAAGAGCGCAGCGTGAGGAGCCTGAGGAGAACGAAGGACGGGGAGACTGGAGACTCTGGTGAAGATGGAGAATCTTCGAGACCGTCTCAGCGCGCTTCACAGAATACACTGCAAAGTGAACGGACTGTGTACTTGGCGGGCAAAACGCGGCAGCCATTTGTGCACAGCGCGTCCCCACAAACAGTTGTGGATTGAGTGACCAAATTATTATTATTTATTATTATTTGAAGGGATTATTACCCCCGGAAAAACTACCTGCCAATCGACTAACAACCGGGTTCCTACTTACTATTAGGTAAACAGAGGCTTGTGTGTGGAGGAAGGAAACTTGCCCAACATTGCGCCCTGTCCTGCCCGGGAATCGAACCCAGGTCCTCTCGCTTGCGAGGTGAGTGCTCTAACCACTGAGCTACAGGGCTCCTGTAATAAACCCCGAATCTGTCGACTTACGACGTGGAACCTGAGTGTTTCTATTAACCTGGGTAAACGCTGCCCCTTGTTGTGAAGCCAAGACAACACCTGATGGTTCAAGCAAACCAAAATCCTGCTTGAAACTCTACTCCTGGGTTCTCCTATTGTGCAGCGGAGTTTGAATCCTCAGTGGGCAAAAGTCCTTCACAAAGTTAAGTCGGACATTTTGAGTCACTTCAATTTTTAAGCTTGTGGGGAAAAGGGAGGTGGGGGGGGGGGGGGGGGGGGGGGGGGGGGGGGGGGGAGGATAGGGGGAAGATTTACTACAAGGGGAACCAAAAAGTCATGATGTCTAAACCTATTATCCAAAAAAACACCCACACGAAAATATCATCGTTTCTTTAAGACTTATTAGCCATTCGTAATGGCGTCAGGACTTTTCGGTCACCCTGTGAATGAATGTGTTTTGACCCTGAGCTGGTGAAACGCACGAGGGGAAAATAGAGCGCGGTCAAATCATTCTATGAGAGCGAGAGAGAGAGAGAGAGAGAGAGTGCGTGTGCGGCCGTGTGAGCGGGGCTCGAATCCCGAGCAAGTTACCGAGTAACTCAGCCAAGTACCCAACGAGCCTCAGTACGAAGCCCCTCAGCCTCTTAAAAACCCAGCCGCTTTGAACCCCCGACCGTGTGAGGTTGTCATCGACAACAACTTGCATTTGGATAGCGGGCTTCACCCGGGATAGCTCCTCGTGAGCGCTCGCCACCCCCTTAACGGTAATCGCTCAGTCCTGTTTGCTGCGACTTTAATTCGTCTCCGCGTATTTAAAAACACATAGCGCACAGCTGGTTTCTTTGTTTATTCCGCTCTCACTCCCCCCCCCCCCCACCCAACAGCATTCAACAGGTTTTATTTTCGGCCACTCCAAAAAAAACAACAACTGGAATCAGCTGCCAACCCTCCCTATTTATCTGTCCCTCACCGACAAACTTGCAATTCTTTCCAATTTTAGCACAGGTTACGGCTCATTACATTCATCACGAGCGCCTTGTTGTCCAATTCATGTGCATCGAGTCAAGCGACGGGGCTTGTGAGACCGTGGAATCGGCTTGGTCACACACAGCTCAAGTCCGAAGCATTAATTTCGAGATTCTCCCTTTGATCAGGCTTTGATCAGGAGAGCACGCGCCTTTCGTTTGGGGTGAGGAGGGGGGGGCGGGGGCGAGGAAAGTGGTTCAGGAACCAAGCAGGGCAAGTCTAAATCTGGACTGGATGCTAAAAGGACCTCCAACGTGAAGCGCAATGAATTTTCTGCTCCGCGCAGATCTATTTATGGCCTCGGAACGAGATTTGAATAAAAACACTATTTTGAAGACCAGCGATTCCTGGAACTCAAGAGGATCATGTGGTGTGGAGATGGTACAGTCATTTTGCAGGGCGTCTGGCTTGACGGGTTCATAATAAAAGTAATAATCCTTGCATTTCATACGGAGCCTTATTACGTCTTCGAGACGTCTCAAAGCGCTTCACAGGATTCACCGTAATGTGAATCGACTGCGCATTTTGTAGGCGGAACATTGAGGTTGACACCTTGAGCTGTGACGGGAGGTTGGGCAGACTGCGGAGGTAAATAAAGGGTGATTTGATGAGCTTTTTGTTTCGCTGCTGTCCTTTCGTTGGACTCTGCCCTCTCTCTCCTTCCTCCTTGATCCAACCTGGCCCCAGCGAAGCACTTTAGAGATGTTATCCCACGTGAAAAAAGAAATTTTTTTTTGATTCAATGACTGTGCGATTTGAGGATTAAGTGTTGTGGCGCAACATCCTTACAGGAAGGAAGGAAGGAAGGAAAGAGCCAAGAGAGAAGGTACCGAGAGAGATACGGTCAACGCAGGGTGAGCTCCAGGCTACAGTCAAAGGCCTGGCAGCAGGATGGTAGGGGCAACTGTAGCTTAGTGGTTAGAGCACTCGCCTCGCAAGTGAGAGGACCTGGGTTCTATTCCCGGGCAGAACAGGGCGAAACGTTGGGCAAGTTTCCTTCCGCCACACACAAACCTCTGTTTACCCAGCAGTAGCAACTAAGACGAGAGCTCCACCTCCATTAGTGGCAGAAAGTGAGCCACTTATGTCAAGGTTACTGATTGAGTTATTAAAGACACCTGGCACCACCCTACCAGCTCACTCCCCCAACGCACCGCCCGCCGCCGCCGCTCGCCCGACTCCGGCCTCCTGCTTGTCCCCCGTGCCCTCCGTTCCGCCACCGGTGTCTGCACTTTCACCCCGAAACTCTGTAACATTCTCCCTCCGTCCCTCCGCCTCTGCCCCCACCCCTCCCTCCCCCGCCTGCGGGTCGCGCCTGAAAGCCTTCCTCTTCGACCGTGCCCATGCCATCCCAACCGTCTCGGGTTTAGACGGTTTTCGGAAACTCAAAGCCAACCTCTGAGTTTCTTCTGCCAGTTCATTTCGTTGAAGAGATCCTCGGAGCTCAGGAAGAAGTCGTTGATCTTGCTGCCCTGCTCGTCCCTCTCGGTGGTGTAGTAGACACGCAGTTTGGATTCCTTGGTCAGGAACTCGCAGATGTTCGGAACGGGAAAGACAATCTGCTCCATGGTGCGATCCTGCCTCACAATCTGCCCACGGGAAGACCAACGAACAAAAATGATTCCTGAAGTATCCGTCAATGCCTTCCACCCGCTTTTTCTGCCCCCCCCACCGATCCCACACACCCCACCGGTTACGATCCGTAGCTTTGTTCCGCTTACCGAACACGTTCACAGAAAAAGTAACAATAGTAATAATCATGCACTTGATCTCGCGTCACCCAGACATCTCGAAGCGCTTCACAGGATCTCTATGGTAAAGTGTAGTGACTGTGTATCTTGTTGGCGAACGCATCAGCCGACTTAGACACGTCAAACATCGCCACAAACAGCCTTGAAGTCAGTGATCGATCTTATGTGGGGGATTCTCGGTCAGGGGAGGGAGGGGGAGAGAGAGAGAGAGAGAGAGGGAAATTCCCTTCTCTTTTCGAATAGATTCGCGGGATTTTTAACATCCACCTGAACCAGGGAGGCTGGTTAATGTCTGATCCAAAGGATGTCACCTCTGACAAGGAGGTGCTCCCCCAACACTGCCACGAGTACCATGTGCGACGAAATAGCATCACAGTGGCAATGATTTCGCTCAGAAGACAATTCCAAAGATCAAAGAGGCTCGAGCGAAGAACTAAACCGGTACGTTGGGTAAAATTCACGACCAAGCCACAGAAATGAAACAACAGGCGTTTGAACCACCTTCGAATTCCGCTGTGAATGGCTCAGCTCGATGGAATGTCGAATCCCTCAAAAACAAGCGGCGAGGATCTCCCCCCCACCCCACAATTTGACTTATAGTATCATACCATCACAGATTGAAGGAGGCCATTCAGCCCATCGTGCCTGTGCTGGCTCTTTGAAAGAGCTACCCAATTAGTCCCGCTTCCCACCGCTCTTTCCCCGTAGACCTGCAAATTTTTCCCTTGCAAGTATATATCCAATTCCCTTTGGAAAGTTATTACTGAATCTGCTTCCATCACCCTTTCGGGCAGTGCATTCCAGATCGTGACAACTCGCTGCGTAAACAAAGAAAAAACTCTCCTCATCTCCCCTCGGGTTCTTTTACCAATTACCTTAAATCTGTGCCCTCTGGACTCGAAAGGATTTCGTTTTGAAGACTCATTTGGTGGTGAAAGTGGCAGAGTTTTCGCCGCCCATTTTTCGGCAGTCCGTGAATCTACTGTTAATGATAATCCTTGCATTCGGTGCAATACTTTTTCACATCAAACCCTTCACTGTCCAGCGCCTTGGGACGTCCTCCCACTGTGAAAGGTGCTACACAAATGCAATCTGTTGTTGGTGGTGGTGTTGTTATCAGGAGGACACCTCAAAGTGCTCCATGGGATTTAAGTGCAGTGACTGTGTGTATTTGTGAGCAATGTCCCGCAAATAGGCACCCTCCTTAGAACCTGGGATCAGATCGGCATCGGGAAACCATTTGCAGTAGGAACCTTGTCAAGTCAATTTGAGTTGAACAGGTTGTCTCGACAAAGACTCCAGTCCAACTGCATTCCTCGCTCATTCTCTGACGGTCACGGAACCATGAAAATCGCAGCAACAGAAGGCCTTAATATGTTACTGAAACGCCTCAAAGCCCTTCACGGGTTATAGTGCAAAGTGGATTGACTGGGTATTTTGTGGGCGAAATGCGGCAGGCAATTTTGCACAGCGGTGTCCTACAAACAGTGGTGGAATGAGTGACCAATTTTATTCGGGGGCTTGTGGGCCCCGACACTGGGAGAGAGAAACTCCCTTGTCTTTTCGAGTCGTGCCATGGGATCTTTAACATCCACCTGAACAGGCACAGACGAGAGCTCGGTTTAATGTCTCGTCCGAAGGACGGAACCTCCGACAATGCAACCCCCCCACTTCTCCCCACGGCGCTGCATTGGAGCATCAGCCCGGGCCGGGTCTCGCAATCAAAACAAGGGACAAAAGAACACCCTGTTTGAAACCGACTGATTAGCTTCAGATCAAATCAGAATTCAAGTGAATTCCCTGTTTGCCACCCGACCCAACTGGGGCTCTCCAAAAAAAGAAGCCGGCCGCAACCCCAAAGGCCGTTTGTGTCCCGGTGTTGGGTGTATTTTTGGCGGCGAGAGAAAGAGAGAGTTAAAAATCGGCGCATTCCTGAGCAAAAAATAACTGCTCACATGTCAGCACTTCCCCGATCAGCATGGCCGCAGAAAATTCACCGTCTCAAATGGATCATCCCCGGGAAAGATCACGCTCTCCCTCACCCGCTTGACCGTGTGATGCCGATACCACGTGCAAAGAAACAAATCGCTCTCTTGCCAAAGTTCAATCTTCCAAGCCCTGTCTGCGTGGTGGCTTCAACTGCTTCCCGCCCGATTCGGTTCGGAAACCCTCCACCCAGCCGCACCCCCTTCGCTCAAACTAATACACCGTGGCGTCTCTCGATCACTCTGTATGCCACCGTCTCTCTGTGGCCGTGCCTTCGGCCGCTATGCCCCAAACTCATTTGATATCATGCTCACAAACCCTTGCATTTGATGCATCGCCTGATCACGTCGTCGAGACGTCTCAAAGCGCTTCACAGGATACACTGTAAAGCGAACTGACTGCGTAGTTTGTGGGTGAAACGCGGCAGCCAATAGCGTCTCATCCGAAGGACGTCGCCTCTGACCACGCAATACTGACCTCGATCTGAGCCGTGTGTTTAGCGTAATACTCCAGAGCCTCATCTCCTTCTCCCATCTGAGTACCGGGCTTCAACATCTGCTGGAGCTCTTTATTGTGTCGGGCGAGCTGCGAGGAGAAGGCAAAGGCATTGAACGGGAGCTGCTCGCTGCGCGGAGAAACCCTGGCGTTAAAGAGACCTTGACCCCAAAAATCTGACCCACACTCAGTGGGTGTGAAGTCCTCCCATTCTCTGATAACCGACTGCTGGCACTATACTGAGACTGGAGCCACCAGCAGCGTGTGTGTGCGTGTATCAGTGTGGCTCAGCTCTCTCTCTCTCTCCTCTAAGTCAGAAGGTTGTGGGTTCAAGCGCCTCAATACAATCATAGTCTAAGCTGATGCTCCAATGCAGGGCTGGGGGTGGGGGGGGTATTGCATTGTCGGAGGCGTTGTCCTTCGGAGTTTCTCTCTCCCGGTGTCCTGACCGACAATCCCCCAGATAAAGTCGGTCACTCGCTCCATGGCTGTCGGTGGGGCATTGCTGTGTGCAATTGGCTGCTGGGTTTCGCCCACAAATTACAGTCAATCCGCTTTCCGCTAATGTCCTGTGAGGGGCTTTGAGACATCTCAACCGACTGCATTACATCAAATGCAAGGATTATTATTACTATGTTCACACTGGTCAACAGTAGTAACAATAATAATACTGGCATTTGATAACAGTGCTTTTCACAGTGGGAGGACGTGTCAAAGTGTTTCACGGGATTTTAGTGCAAAGTGTAGTGACTGTGTATTTTGTAAGCAGGCAGCCAATTTTGCGCATGGCGTCTCATCCTACAAACAGCCTTGAAGCGAATGGCCAATTTTACTTCATCTGAAGGATTGTCGGTCAGGATTGCGCAACGGGAGACACTCCCTTTTCCGTTCAAATCGTGCCGTGGGGACCTTTAAACGTGCAACTGAATAAGCGCAGAGGGGACCTGGGTTAATTGTTAGCGTCTCCGACAAGGCTATGAGGTGCTCCCCAACCCCACCCCTCTCCTCCTCCCCGACACTGCACAGGAAGATCGGCCGAGACGAATTGAGTTCAAAGCCCCAGTGTGGGGCTTGGACCCGCCACCCTTGTGACTCAAGAGGTGAGAATCCTATCGACTGAGCTATCAACACACAAACCCAGGAGAGGAGAAGGTTTGGCTCTTGTTGTTGTTGTTGCAACTGATCTCCTGGCCCTGTGAAGGGAACCACATCAGGACCGTGGTGGGTCGTGTTCCTATCAGGAGTGGGGCAGAAAAAAAGGGACCTTCTTCCGTCTTTCTCCTCTGGCTGTTATCTTATTGCAATTAATGGCTGAATGAAAGGGAGGATTGCATCTTTTCTCCTCGTGTAGCTCAGTCGTCAGAGAGAAAGTTTTTGGCAGTTGCCGGAGGGAAACCAAAAAAAGACACAGAACAATCTCCCGATTGTCTGGGGAGAGAGGAAAATAAATAGCCGTGACGTTTCCTGCCTCCTCCTCCCTAACCCCCCCTCTCGCCCCCTGCCCTGCTCTGCCCTCCTCTCCACAGCCCTCCTCCACATACCTCGAGCCCTTGACGTCGTAACGCACCTGGTGAGCCAATATGTAAATATTGTGCCCCACGTTCCTCGGAGACGCCGCGCAATCTTCTCCATTCTCCACTTCCTCATATTCCACCTCGCCTTGCAGGTACGCCTTCTTGATCACTTCCACCTGAGGGGAGACCGGCTTTTAACAGTGGGGGAGGTGGGAGTACCGAGTGAGCGAGGAGTGATCGGGAGAGGGAGTGAGTGAGCGTTCGAGGGTGGGAGTGAGAGAGTGAGTGAGAGAGTGAGCGTGGGAAAGAGCGAGCGAGTGAGTGAGCCAGGGTGGGTGGGAGCGAGTGAGTGAGTGAGCGTGCGAGTGAGAATGAGTGAGAGAGGGAGCGAGTGAGTGAGCGCGAGAGCGAGTGAGAGCGCGTGGGAGTGAGAGAGGGAGGAAAGGGAAGAACAAAAGCATAGCCAGCAAACTGAAATGAAACAGAAGAACCCACCCACCCCAAAAAAAGAAGCGCTTCTCACCAGCTCTTTAGGCCTCATATTATACAATATTCTCTCTGCGTTCTCGCTGTCGTGCCTGCTCTCCATTATTGCCAACAGCAGTTTGGAAGCATTGTTCTGTTTGAAGAAAATACAAGGTTAAACCTCATCCCATTTGTTACAACTGGTACTCAAGATGGGTGGGCGGGTGGGAGGGGGCGGAGGCGGTGGGGGGTTTGGTGGGAGAGAGATTCGTTGAACCCTGACCACGATATCGCGACGCACGTAGGAATTCGGAACAGGCCATTCTGCCTACAAGTCATTCCACAGCGACACGCATATCCCCCTCCCCTAACCTCACTTCCCTCTCCTCGACTTTATTTTGGGGGTGGGGGTGGGGGGATTGTCGGTCAGGACACCCGGGAGAGAGAAACATCCTTCCCTTTTCGAATTGTGCCATGGGATCTTTAACGTTCGCCTGAACAGGCAGACGGGAACCTCGGTTTAAGGTCTCATCCGAAGGACGGCATCTCCGAGAATGCAACACCCCCCACCCCACCCCATCCCCCGCCTGCCCCAGCGCTGCATTGGATTCCATGTGTTTCCAAGTCCCGACGTGGGGGCTTGAACCAACAACCTTCTGACTCGGAGGCGAGAGCGAGAGACCGAGCGATCAGGCTGAAACCCACAAGTGGGTCAAGGCTCCCCGGTTCTTGAACCCCCCACTTGCCCCTCCAAGGCCACGCAGGTGGGACTCGCCTTAAGCTCTAGCACCAGGTCCATCCTCTTCTTGCCCAGAGGGTTGATGTCGTTCAGGATCAGCGCGATGATTATGTCAATTCCGTTTGATTCGTGAGTCGCGATGCAATTCTGGGCAAAAAAGAAGAAAAAAAAATACACGCACAGTCCTCAAACCGCCATCCCCTCTTCCGTTTTGCCCCCAAAATGCACAGCCAATTGACTTTACGGTCCAATCCTGTGAAGCGCTTTGAGACGTCTGGAAGATGTGATAAGGCGCCGTATCGAACGCGAGGGTTATTATTAACTATTACAATAACTTCCTCTCTAATAATAAAACGATTAGATCTCAAGCTAATTGCGCCTCTCTTCACCTTAACCCTTCTCAACAAGGAAAGCCAAGCAGTCGTGTCTGCTACCAGTGCTGGGAATGGTTTCTCCTCTGGATGCTTTGTAGTGGAGTCGATACACGGACATATTTGAGGTGACTGACCAGAGAACAAAGCACTCAGTGCCAATCTTTATTACCACCACCACCACCATCACCCCGAGGATCACATGTGAAGGTTTATTTTATGAATGACTTCAAAGCCCGCTCTGGGTGTAATTGTCTGCACATTGTGCGGTCAATAAGGTCCTGGAGAAATGCCACCTGCGTCTTAAAAGATTTTAATTTCCTCAATTTTCTCAGCATCGCAGCTGGAGGACATTTAGTTTTCCTGCGTTAGTATTTGCTGCTGCAAGTAGCCATCCATCCTCATCCCATGGTCCCCACTCGTCCTCCGAATCCTCCAATAAAAATAATAATCACCGTAATAATAATCCTTACATTTGATGCTTTCAGGGGCTGTATTTAATGTAAGGATTATTATTGAGGAAGCCCTTCACAGGCTACACACTGTGAAGTGTGACTAGAGACCGTGTGTTTTGTAGGTCAACACAGCAGCCAATTTGCACACAGCGACGTCCAATACACAGCCGCGACGTGACTGATCGATTTTGTCTGGTTTGTTGGGTGGTGGGTTAGGAGTATCAATGAGCAGAGCCCTGGGGGGTGAGGTAAGGTTGTGGTGGGGGGGGGGTTTTGGGGAAAAGAAACTTCGCTCTCTAAAATAATAATAATCTTTGCATATGATACAGTGCCTTATCAGGTCGTTGAGACATCTCAACGTGTTTCACATAACAGGGTAAACCGGATTGACTGTATTTTGCGAGCCGAACGTAGGTTATAACAACAGCAGTGACGAATTACATTTACACGGCACCTTTCACGTTGGGAAGCCATCCTCCCAAGGCGCTGGACAGTCGGGGATTTGGACCTGAGCTGGGGGGGTTGGGAATCAGGTGGGGGTGGAGGGCAGGGAGTGTAGGGGTAGGAGGGTGGCTGAATGCGCAGTTGAAGAGGATGGTCTTGAGATGTGCTTTGAAGGAGGCGAGGGAGGGAGGGAGGGAGATGAAGGGACTGTGGGATGGAGTTCCAAAGGGTGGGGGGCAGAGAAGCTGACGTATATCACGTATAAATTGAAGCAGCTGGAGAGTCATGCGTGCGCTGAGCGAGTGGCTTATCGGGGGTGGTGGGCACCTGGTTCTCGTGGCAGGGACCCTGGCAGTACTCGGTCAGGCTCTCGAGGGTCTGGTTGATGAGGGCCACGTTCTTCTCGTTGATGTAGAGCCCCAGAAGGCCCAGGCCGCCTGTGGTGCTGCCACAGATACAGTCCAGGAACTGAAGGGTCTCGCACACCAGGTTATAATTTGCCTTGTTGTTCTGGCATCGCAGAAAGTTCTGAGGAGACATTAACGAGAAAGATAATTAACGTCGACAAATCCCAACCTCCCTTCTCTCTCCAATTCTCGCTCGGTTCCCTCAACAACAACAATAGAACACATTTACATAGTGCCTTTCACATCGGGACGATGTCCCAAGACGGTCAAGGATTTTGTCCCAAGCTGCTGGTTGGGATCAGGAGGGGTGGAAGACGGGGAGGATAAGGGTAGAGCGGTGACCAAAAGTGAGGTCGAAGAAGTAAGTCTTGAGACAGGCCTTGAAGGAGGCAAGGGACGGGGCGAGGCGAAGGGACTGTGGGATGGAGTTCCAAAGCCTGGGTGCAGAGAGGCTGAAGGCTCGCCCGCCATCAGCTCCTCGTCCTCCAAGATCTTTGTTCATACTTTAAACTCCTCCGCAGTCTTGGCCAACATCCCTACCTCTGATACCTCCTCAAATCCTACTCCTGTCGCTCAGCAATCACCAGCTTGCTTCACGGCCCCTGCCCTATCCGCCCTAGCATCGGTGGCCAAGCTTCCAGCCAGCAACGTCTCAAAATAGACCTGTTTTTTGGTCATCTTTCCACCCCCCTCCCCAGCCCATTGCTCACCTCCCAGGTCGAGACTGCGAATGGGCTTTGGGAAGTCCTCCTAACGTGAAAGGCGCTGTTATCAGATTCAAGCTTTATACTTGATTATAACTGCAGCGTTTATAAGAAGAGCAACGATCTCTCAAATAGAATTGGTCACTCACTCCATGGCGGTTTGTGGGACATTGCAGCGCGCGACTGGCTGCCACGTTTCCCCCACAAAATACACGTTACCGTGTATCCCGTGAAGCGCTTTTAAGACATCTCCTCGACGACTTGATGGGACACTGTGTCAAATGCAAGGATTATTATTATTTGAGAGGAGGGGGGAAGAAGGAGCGGGGAACTGGGGTTAGGAACAGACGGTTGTCGGGTGGGGGGGGTGGGGGGGGGGGAGCGTAAAGCACGACGGGTTGTGGAGGTCGTACCTGGAGGTCGCGGTTGTGGTTCTCGCAGAGCAGCTGCATGAACCGCAGAATCGGCTGCATGATGGCGATCACGGCGCTCATCTCCCCGTCCTCCTTGTTCTTTTCGCCGGCCGCGGGGTTTCCGTCGGTGGCCGTGAAGTGATCCTCGGGGTCCGCCTCCCGCCTGAAGGCGTTGTACGCCTTGCGGGTGGCGGAGGAAGCTTCCAGAAGCTGCTCCCTGACCTCGTCGCTGAGCTGGGGCGTGGCGTCTTTGGCTGGAACAGAACAGAACAGAAGCCAACGCACGTGAACGGCGAACGCAGCGAACGTAAGTAAAACGAGAGGCGAACCGAGAGCAAGGTCCGCCCGGTTCGCCTTCCGCCATCTTGGCAGTCACTGGGACCGTAAGACGGGTTTGGGTGACGCAGGCCTCAATATGATCTCACCCTTTCCAGAACACCCACCCCATTGCTCCTCACTCCTCCCCGTCAACATAAACAAGTCCCGGCTTCAATCGTACTTCCTGGTGCCCATCTCCTAATTGCCCAATTTACAAATCCAAACGCCCGCCCTCTTATTCTAACGGTCTCGGTGGGGGTGGGGGTGGTGGGGGGTAGAGGGGGTAAACACTGCTCTGGGTTCACTCTTTCAACCCCGTTGACGTTTTTGTGCACCTCCAGAACGAGACGGAAAAGGGATCAAGGGAAGTAAGTCCCCACGGAAAGCTGAAAAGCAGGAGGTCAATGAGGAGGAAGATATTTCGCCCACAAAACCAGGCAGTCAGTTCACTTTACAGCGCATCCTGTGAAGCGCTTTGAGACGTCTCGAAGACGCGATGAGGCGCTGTGTCAAACTGCGTGGATAAAATTGACTGACAAGCCTGAAGAAAGCAATTATAACGGGGCATCTCTTTGAAGGCTCACCCCGGTAAAAGCCCTGTGGCCTTACAGGCTACGAGCCGAGCGAGTCAGTTTTCAAGCCGGGCTACAGGATTTCACTCTCGGCTGCTCGTTTTCGGGGTTTTTTTTTCCAGGGAAGAAACGGTGACGGCAATTAGGGTCTCGGTTTCCGCGCTCCAATTAAGCAAACAGAATTTGACCTTTTTTTTTAAAAAAGCTCGCTGCATAAATATTTAATGGGCAAGAGAATTCAGATTTATTTTGTTTGGTTAAGGCAGCCGCAAACCCGCGGGAACAGTGGCCCGGTGCTTCGCATCGTGTTATTAAACCTGATTGCTAATCATTCTTCCCTCATTAAGTTCTCTAGAATTATTCACGTTTTAGTGTGTTTATTTATAGCCGGGCTTTCAGTTCAGCCCCCGAAACAGGCTCTGCCGTCAGTCTGAGAACTGAACGCTGAGAATTTTACCATATTCTTCACTATTCTACCGGGTGAAGACACGGGGAAGGGGAAGACCAATAGGGGAAGGAAGACAGGGGCAGAAAAGGAGAGGGGGAGTGAAAGAGAGAGCGAGAAAGATGAAACGCGAGCTTGAGTGGGAGAGAAAGAGAGAGAGCGAGAAAGGTTAAAGGAAAGCTTGAGTGAGAGAGAGAGACAGAGAACGAAGAGAGAAAGAGAGAAAGAAAGAGAGAGCGAGAAAGAAAGAGCGAGAAAGAGAGAAAGAAGGAGCGAGAAAGAGAGAAAGGGCGAGAGAACGAGAGAGAAAGAAAGAACGAGAGAAAAAGAAAGAACGAGAGAGAAAGAAAGAGCGAGATGAAGCAAACAAGAGTGAAAGAGAAAGAACAAAGACAAGCAGAAAGAGAAAGTTTGAGAGAGAGTGAGAGAGAAAGAGAGAGAGAGCAAAAACGAAACACAGAGAGAGAAACAGAAATAAAACAAAAACTTGTTATTTTCCCAATCTGTCGGCCAAAAGGGTAAAGTGATGAGCTTGTCCCTATTCCTTGTTCTTTTTTTCACTCTCGTTTGCTCTTTCGTTCACTCTTCCTTGCTCTTCTCTCCCTTTCTCTCTCTTTTTCAAACTTTTTAAGAGAGAGAGAGAGCGCGAGCTGCGGAAAACCGACTTGCAAATGAACGACAAAAGCAAAATGAACGCAGTACGTTTGGAACAGTAGTGGTATTTCCAATGTTACATTGGCTTCACCCACACACACATATATATATAATACACTTTACAGTATGGCAAAGTACTGCTGGTGCTGGAAATCTGAAATAAAAACAGTCGCTGGGAACACTCAACAGGTCAGGCAGCGTCTACCAAGAGAGGAAAGTGAGTTAACGTTTCAAGTCGATGACCTTTTGCCAGACATCTCTCTATAGATGCTGCCTGACCTGCTGAGTGGTCCCAGCGACTTCTGTTTTTATTTCGCTTCAAAGTATAGCCTGTGCAGCGCTTTGAGACGTTTCGAAGACAAGTTAAGGCGCGATATCAAATGCAAGGATTATTCTATTATCGTTGTGACATCCTGCCAGCATGGGTTATTCAGGTTAACCGACAACTGTGGTTCACCTCTTCTCCGCACAGGCACGTCTCGCTCTGAAGAATCATCGTCCTTCTTTTTGTTTCCGAGGTCACTGGTATTAACGGTGACTGTAGCTTTGATCTCCTGCTGAGCCACTTTCATGCGATCGTAAAACACCTTGAAGAATTTCTCCGACTTCTTATCCTCAGTCAGACGGCAGTAAAACGAATGCTGCGAAATCGGATTGAAGGATACATTAGATCGATTCCTGCCCCCGCCACCTGCACTTCCGCTTCACCCACAAAACACACAGTCACTTCACTTTACAGTATATCCTGTGAAGCGCTTTGAGACGTCTTGTAGACGTGATAAGGCGCTGTATCAAGTGCGAGGATTTAATATTATTATTGTTATAATTCTCTTTTTTCAAATAATAATTGGGCGATCAACAGCAACAACAAGATTACATTTTTTCTGTATACCTGATAACTCGACCCTGATAACTTGATTTGTCGCTACCACTTAAGTCATCACCCTGTCAATATCCCGGCCGTATTTATTGCTGTATTTATACACACGCCTAACTCTCTGCTCCTGATAACTCGTTCACTGAACCCTGTTCCCTTAGTTGGAGGGATGCGGTATCAGGAGTTTTACTACATTTAAACAAATGGTATTTGTACAACAGCAACAATTGGTACTTGGAAAGCGCCTTTCATATTGCACGTGTGTGTGTGCGTGGAGTGGGGAAACGGAGTTCTTTAATGTACGCACAAACCTCAGGTAGGGCCGGGCTTCAGTTCAACTGATCAATTAACATCGTTCAGGTGAATTGATAATAATAATAATAATCCTTGCATTTGATGTAGCGCCTTATTACGTCTTCGCGACGTCTCAAAGCGCTTCACAGAATACCCTGTAAATTGAATTTATTACTATTTTTTTCGAGGGATTACTACTCCCGGAAAAGCCACCCGCCGATCGACTGACAACAATAATGGGGAGCTCAGTGTCGCCGAGCGGGGAAAGCTCGTTGGGTGACACCGGGTGCAAAGCAGAGGCTGGAATTTCCGAGAGGGAGAGTGAGAGACAGAGAGAGAGGGAGAGAGAGTGAGAGAGATCTTTTCCCGTGCCTGTTGGAGGTGAGATAATCGTTTTTTGAAAAGCTGAGGGAAGTTGTGCAAACGAGGCTCCGACCGCATGCAGAGGCTTTTCAGGAAGATTGCAGCAAATAATAGTGTGTCGAAACAAGTTGGGGGTGAACGGTCGCTGCGGTGAATTGCCCCGAGTCACATTCGGAAACCACACGGGGACGGGACCCTCTTGGGGCAGGGGCCAGAAGGGGGCAAACCTTCCTCCGGTTTGGCTATTGGGGGTATTGGTGGCTGCCTCGCGTGAGGGGCACGACATAAAGCAAGTTGTTGTTGTTGTTGTGGTGCAACGAGACATGAAGCAAAGCGACTTGTTAACGATTAATGAGTTGAGTGAGTGGGAGTTGAGTGGATCCGATGCCAGATGCATACACACACACACACACACACAACTGCACACACGCCACTGCACACACAATTACACATACATACACGTACACCAGGATGTACCAGAACTTGGCTCGGTTGGATCGAGTCCCAGTGTCCTGGCCTCATCCCACCTTTCCTGGCACAAAGCAACTCGGAAAAACAGCAACAGGCCATTCAGCCCATCGAGGCAGTTTCACTAGTTTGTTCTTTTAATCTGAATGCTCTTCCTGTCGCTATATGCCTCACTACCTCCAATTATCCAAGTACCAGTCCATCTTGCCTTTAACCATCCCTCTTGACTCTGTCTCTACAGTTTGTGTTTCATGTACCAGACAGATTTCGCCAAAAAATATGCAGTCAATTCACTTTACAGTATAACCTGTGAAGCGCTTTGAGACGTCTCGAAGACCTGATGAGGCGCTATATCCAATGCCAGGATTAATTACATAGATATTGTCTCATCTTCGTTCTTTGTCCTAAAAACTCTGTATGCAACCCTGGTCCTCTTGTTCATCCTACTTGGAGCACCTGAGAGAGAGATGCTCTGTGCAGGAATGATCGCCAATTTCCTTGTATAGCCTCCTCACTTGGACGCCATAAAGACCCATCACATAGGGCAGGTTATCTTTTGTGAGCGATCGGGGAACCAGACACCTATCTGCCTGACTGCAGTGGTTCCGACGTACAGAATGCCTAACATAGTCTCCGGCAGAATTACAATGGATCTGGGTCAGGCTCTGAATCACGTAACACACAAGAACGGTCGGCGAAGGAGAGCGCCTCGAATGAATTGCAGGTTCAGTCGTAAAAGATCCCGAACGTAGAAGGCTTGAAACGAATTCGCTCAACGCCTAAAGTGGTTCACCCCATCTCGTCAATGAGGTCTCCTCTGGCTGGACTTCAGGGCTTTCAGTGTATCTCGGCCTTTCTCATTCCTCGCCCGTACATACAGGGTCCCTCCTCTCTTTGCCTAATGGTAATGTTAGTCTTGTACTTGTTCGGAGGGAGTGCTTCACAGGACTTGCTGTCAAGTGCAGTGACTGTGTATTTTGTAGGCGAACGCGGCAGGCAATTTGTCCCCGCAAAAACAGTCACGAAGCAAAGGATTTGGAGCGACTGTCAGCCAGGGCGCCGGGATAGAAAGAGGTCATTTTTTTCCCCCCCATTTTTCGTGCCGCGTTTCACCAACAAAATTTACAGTCACTCCACTTGACAGTATATCCTGTGAAGCGCTTTGAGACGTCTCAACGATGTGATAAGGTGGTATATCAAATGAAAGGATTATTATTATTATTACTACACGCACTAAAATGAACGTCGGGACTTTGCGAGATAGCTCTGGCCACTTTGAGCAACAACGTCAACAACAACTTGTACTTATGTAGCGCCTTTAGGGTAAGGTCACGGAGCAGCTTAGAATGACTGGGAACCTCATTCCAGTGGCAAATCGTAAAGAAACAACTTCTTGCTGTGAATTTGCCCTTCACTGCCTCCCCCACCCACCCCCCCCACCACCACTTCCTGCCCCCCTTCTTGAATGAACTTGCACTCTCTCATTCCCAACCCAGGTACGTGGAGAGGTGAAATAGTCAACGTCCTGGAACTATCAGCTGAGGGTGGGGGGAGGTTTTGGGGAGCCATGTCACTGAACCAGCTGTTGTGTGGCTTCAAAACATTATCCTCCGCATTCGGACCATTACGGAAATGACGTGGCAGGAGATGGCTCTCAGCTGCTCGAACATCCCCCGGAGATTTGCGACGCTCTTTGAAGTGGCCGGGCTGAAAGGGAAGGTCTTAACATCCTTATCGATGCCTCGCCTGGAATACATTCCCACTGGGAACCTGCTCCCAGCCTCAGCCAGGCCTGAGTACAGAAGATACCTGTTCTACCGCTGACTTCTCAAGCAGGCAGGGGACCCCGGGAGTACGATTCCATGGCAACGGTGGCCAGACACGCGGGCAGAAGTGGCGTGGTTCGGGGGAGAATTCTTACGACATTGAAACGTCTCGAAAGTTCTTCTTCACGGGTCACGGCTGAGGAGTGCAGGGAATGGGTCAGTGGAAGCGGGTGGTGGGGAGTGGGGGGTGGGGGTGGAGGGTAGATTGGGAGCAAGTGGGATGGAGGGAGAATTGGGAAACCCAATGAAGAATTGGTACCCTGTTCGTCTGGGTATCCGGAACAGACACGGGAATCGTTTCGGCACAAAGCCGTGACGTCTACCTTAAGCTAACATTTTTTGAAGCGCTTCGAAAACCGAATAAGTTATAAAAAGGTGCGTCCGTGGGAGGTGCAAGAAGTGCCACACTGTGAGTGGGTTCCCAATGCTGTTCCTTCTCGCTTTATGATTCGTAACGCTGCACGATTGTGGGATCGCTTTTCGATAAATAAAAGAAAGAAGTAAATAAGAGGCAACGGCTTAAAGCGAGCTGCTGTGAGGTCGCCGACATCGAACAAACGCAAATCAAATGCAAGGATTGTTATCATACAGTCGACTCCTGATAACTCAACCCTGTCCTAACTGGTCACTGCCACTTAAGTCATCGCGCTGTCAATCTCCCGGCTGCATTTATTCGCGCATTCACACTGAAGCCTCACTCGACACTCTTTTCCCTCGTAGCCACGAGCCATTAGGAGTTTATTGCAGTAAAGTAACTCAGGGTTCGATTTTATACAAACGCCGAGTGAAGTGCGTCAGTGGAAAATCCTAGAATGCCGATTTCATGGCAGGCTCTCCCCTCTCCTCTGCTGATAAGTTACAGTTCACATGCCAGAGCACAGCTCGACACCTCCTGCCTCACCAGCCCCGCAAATCTGGCAAGTTATCCATTAATGAATGATGACCCAGATAGCCAGGCAACCTTCCAACCAACACAGCTGCCTGCACTGTTTACCGAAAGTGTTTTCTTGTGGCTGTTGGCAGGGTTACCGATTCGAATCACCGGGAAGATGATTAACTCTTCGATGCAATCGCCAATTTCCCTTGTAGCGATACAATAATGCTCCAGGGTGGGTGGGTGGGTGGGTGGGGGGTGGAAGTCAGTCGCTTCAATCCACGGCTGTTTGTGGGGACGCTGCTGTGCGCAATTGGCTGCCGCGTTTCGCCCACGGTCGATTCACTTTACAGTATACCCTGTGAAGCGCTTTGGGACGTCTCGAAGCGGCGAAGAGGCGCCGTATCAAACGCGAGGATTATTATTATTATTATTATTATTACTTTTATAAGGAGAGAGAGAGAGAGAGAAAAAAAAATACTCAACAACGGGACGTTTTGTTCAGTGGAGGTTTAACGACATTCAACTGATAAGTCATTGCAACACTGCAGGTCGAGAGCTTTGGATTTGTTTTTAAAAATGGCTTTTTTAAAAAAAAATCGTGCGGTTTTAAACACAGCGCAGTTGTTCGGCTACTGTGTGGTTGCGGGGGGGAGGGGGGGGGGGGGGGTGGGGGGGGATAACGAGTAACTGAGTGACTGCAGATAACTGATTCTTCACACCTTTCAGCTGGGCCATTCCTCACAGCCAGCTCGCTCGCTAATTATAACTATGCTAATGCACAGGACGGGGGTGTGCTTGCGAGAGGCAGGCAGGAGATTTATCTCGAAAAGCTGCAGTCAAGGGGAGTCTACCTTGCGATGTTCCCTTGTCTTTTACTTTTCTAAATTCGTCTGTGGTTTTTTTTCACCCCCCCCCCCCCCCCCCGTTAAAATCCGAGTCTTTGTCAAGAAATCCGATCGGAGTTCCCGGCAATCCGTGGGAACGTCGCTCGCGACGGCACGGGAATCCCGCGGGTTTGCACGACGCGGTTCCGGACACCCAGGTGTGTCTCAGTTTCTGCGTGAATTAGACCCCCAAAATGTCCAATCTCTCTCTCTCTTTAAATTAAATAACACTAATAATAATCCTAATAAGTCTTTGTTATAGCATCTCATAACGCTCCGCGGTTTTCTGTAAAGTGTAGCCAGCGACTGACTGTGCACTTGTGGGCAAACACAGCAGACCAATGCGCACACAGCCATGTCCCACAAACAGCCGTGAAGTGAATGACCGGTTTTATCTGATGGGGTGTTGGCCAGGCCATCGAGAGAGAAACTCCCTTCTCTTTTCCAGTAGTGCCATGGGATCCTCAACTCCCACCTGAACAAGCACAGACAAGGGAGCTCGACCGAACGTCTCGTTCAGAAGGACAGTATCTCGAATGACGCAGCGCTGCTCCGAGCGTGGGGAACATAGTGTTGTTGGAGGTACCATCCTTCGGATGAGATGTTAAACCCAGGTCCCGCCTGCTTGTCCACATGGCTGCGAAAAATTCCATGACACAATTGCAAAAAAAAAAGTTTCTACTGGTGTCTTGGCTGATTGCTTGTTGCGGGGCTTTGCTGCGCGCAATGTGTCTGTCGTGTTCGCTTGCAAATACACAGTCTTACACTCCAGAGCAATTACCTGTGATTTTTTGGGGAGACGTTTCATTGCTAAGAGTCTCGTACCCAACTCCAGGAATACGATTAATATAATTAATAATCGTTATTCTATAACTGGATAATCACACTTGCATTTGCAAATCAATGTCACTCTCCCTTCCTCCCTTACCCTCCTCGGGCCATCTCCTTCGCCACCGTTTTGGCAAAGGTGTAAATACGTAAGAGTTCATTAAAAATCCTCCCACTTTCCCCCCCAAAAAAACATAAACCAGCTCCTGTGCGCTGCTCAGCGAGTCAGCGAGGGAACAGAATATAAATAGAAGTTACATAACATCTCTTTGTTGATTTCAGGGCCGGGGAGGGGAAAAAAGTACTCCGCGATGACCTTGTTTCGTGACTTAGCTGCCTGTGTCGAAGTGTTGACAGTTCCAATCGCCTTATTTGGCAATCTTCCGACTGGAGCCCCGGTTGAGCATTTGTAAGATCTAAGAGATGGTTTATGTAACGGCTTCAGGTTTCCACGGTTTCCAGGGTTTAATGACGAGCAGCCGATGCCAGAATGCTGCCTCGATGTGGAAAGGTACGAGAGAGAGTAAGGGGGGGATAAAATTAATCTGGCCCGACTCTCAGCCAAGCCTGTGCAACCAATCCCTCCTTTATTTGAGCTCGTTCCCAGGGCTAACAGTTCACCTTCACACAGACACTGCTTTGGCAGCGCAGATATTTCATTCCANTTTTTTTTATAAACTGCCTTGCTCAAGGGCTTTTTTTTTCTCTCTCTCCCTCGTCCTCCCTCCCCGTGTTAAAATAGATTCTATGCAAATCAGCCCTGGCTCACAGCCTTGCTCATCGCTGAGCCGCAACGCTGGATTTGTGTAACTGCTCGTACCTTTACACCGCTGCCCAGAAACGCGGGACCAAAAATAAAAGCGCTCAGGAGCACGGCGGGGGTCCTCGCTTGCTCACTGGGGCTTCCCGTACCAGGCCTGAGCTTTCCTAATAGACTAACCCCCAGAAAAAAAACACAACACGCAGTTCAAGGAACAATAAAGCGACGACGACAGCAACAACAACCTGCAGCTCGGAGGGTTCCTAGAAAAACAGGACCAGGGAGAGGCCAGTCAGACCGTCAAGCCTGTTCCGCCGGTCTACTAGATCATGCCAAACACTACTGCCGCTCCAGGACAGCACTGGGGGGGGGTGGGGGGAGGGCCGAATTGTAACATGTGCCGTCCTTTGGAAGAGCTGTTAAGCTGAGGTCCCGTCTGCCTGCTAAAGATCCCGTGGGGGCTAGTCGAAAAGAGAAGAGAGTTTCCCCCTTTCTCTCTCCCTCTCTCTCTCGCTCGCTCTCTCTCCAGCGTCTTGGCCAACACTCCCCCACCAGAAGCAATTCGTCACTCACTTCACGGCTGTTTGTGGGAGAACGCCGTGCGCAAAGACCAACCGCACTGGCTTAAAAATACACGGTCACTCCAGTTCACGGCAGTTGCCGAAGGACCTTTGGCAGAAGTCAAAAGCTCGTCAAGTGATGACGAAGGAACGCTGGCCGGCCCTGCCATCTTCCCAATCGCAGCGTTGTGCTATTTCCTACAGAGGAGCAGAACTTGTTTCAAGTCGCTGCAGGCTGAAAGGTGTTGGGCAACAACTGAGCGCTTCCCTGAATGGCTGGTTGACGCCACCCTTTTGAGGGATTCCAATCACGCAGCGGGCAGCGAGTTGGATAAAAGGGACCAACCCATGGACACGACAGTCAGCCATCCTCAGGTTCCAGCTCACTGAAAACCCACAGCAAATAACGTCAGAGAGAGGGAAGCTATCAAACCGCCCTGACAATGATGTAACACAGTATATACATCGGAATTTCTCCCTCTCTGGAAAAGATTACATCGGTCACCATGGTGATAACTTGGGAACCTTTCAGATGCTAATTGCCACTTCACGCTGTATGAACTACTATCAAATACGATCGAATCGCTAGGACGTTTAATGGTGAGGGAAATAGCCGACACGAGTTCAGCCCTGGTTTCCGTCCACGTCGCCTACCTGGATTGTGGTGTTGCCGCCCTCCAGCAGGGCGATTGCAAGCAGAATGCTTTCGTGGAAAACCCGGTCACTGGTTGCGTTCATGATCAGGTCTATGACGAGGTCGGAAGCTCCCTCTTTGTCCAAGTGGCACTGCACCTCCGCAAGGCTCATCTCACTCCGACTCAAGGTCCCGGAGCCTGATCCGCCTGCTGAAACGTACAAAGCAATCGTAAATCATAATAATCCTTGAATCTGATATAGCGCCCCAGCATGTCCTTGAGACGTCTCAAAGCGCTTCACAGGTTACACTGCAAAGTGAGACTAAACTGCATTCAAGAACTACCTCTCTGACCGCTCTTTCGAACAACCCTCCCCACCCTCTATGGCTCAGACCCCCCCCCCCCCCCCCAACCAGCTGGGAGTTAGAAGGCGCTGAACAAATACAAAACAGCACACTCCCAGATAGGTAGGAGCCGAGGAAGGGTGTTGGAGAGCATGGGGGGAAAAAAATAGGGAGTTGGGATAGAGGATGGATAGTTTCATTGAAGGAGCAAACGACTGACAATATTGCATTGGTGAGATAAGCCTTCAGATAAGCCTTCCACTCTCTCACAGAGTTCTACACTCCGCAAAGGCCGTTGTTTTCAGCACAGGGAGATTTCAATTTATCTTCTCGACTGCGCTTTCAGTCATCTTTCCCCTCACAACCTCCCCTCCCCCCCTCACACACACCCCCACCCGCCCACCCCTCCTTGGTTCCCACCCCACAGTTCCAAATTCCCACCCAGCACTGCGAAGCGCTTCCAAGATGTCTTCCCGACGCTGTGTAAGTGTGAATTGTATCGCCTTGAGAAAACAACGGGTTAATTCGACCCGTCTCCGATCATCTTCACGAACCATTATCTTTACTGGCAACTGTGTGCTTTACAACAGCTTGCTGCTGGCAATAAGAGGTTCTTTTTGTACTGAAATGTTTAATCCTTTAGAAAGTCAGAGAGTGGCTGAAACCAAGCGATTCTTTATATAAAAAAATCCAGGTCCCCAGCGAGCATTTAATTAAAGAATTGGACGACAGGTGATAAATCTTTCAAAACCCTGTTTCACATTGCCTCCCTCCCAGACCAGCCTTTGCTCTCTGTGGAGCCAACACCATGTATTTGTGATGAAGGATCAAGTGGAATCAATGCTTTAGGCTTGGAATGAATCTCAGTAACATTTGGTCACAGTTAAGGACACACTGTGGAAACGACATCTAATTTTATCATAATTCTCAAGACTGAACCAAGTTCCGGACTTGATTCATTTAACCAGCCTCCCTCCCGTTCTATCCCCTTCGACCCAGTGTACTTGTTTATTTTACTTCAAAGACTACTGAGTGGAGAACTACCCACTATTTTCCCATGAAAGCCTCTTTGGCTGCTCGCCAGTTATTTCTTGAGACTTGTTTGGCTGTGCTTTCATCATCGTGTCTGAATAAGCATTCACAGACATCTGCTGTGTAATGCAAGCTACAGACTCGCTACAGCCCGATTACACACTGGACAAAAATCCACATGACAAAAGGGAGCTCGCAAAGTTCAAATGCTCGGGAAATGTGATGCTTGTAACTTCATGCCATTCTCCCCCCTCGACTCACTAGGTTCATGTTCACCAACGTCCGACTCCCCCGACTGTGTCTTCTGGCAGAAAAGAGTGTGAGCAAACATCGCAGGAGAGGTGTCCATGAAGAAGGCCATTCAGTCAATTTGATCGCTTCCTTCCTATATACCAACCTCAACAGTGGTCTCAAACCCAAAAGGTTTCTTAACTCTAGTCTCTAGTGTCCCCGTCTCACCCGTCGTTCTTGTCAACTCATTCTAGTTGGATAGCTCACTGTGCCAAGAGATCTTTCCAAGTATCTGTCAAATTGCCCCTCGCACACCCTGAACTTAGACCTGCCGACTTGGTCCATCTGATAGTTAAGACAATAATCCCAAAGACAAGCCTTAGGCTCTTGCCAACCTACGCCAAATATTCTCCGGAATTAGGTCCCTCCAGGGGGAGAGAGTTAGAGTGCGTATTCCATCCCAACAATCTATCTCTGGACTCTCCATGTGTAGGTGGGAGGCATGGAATTCTCTGTTTGCTTTGGATGCTCTTAAGCAACAGCGAGGAGTTTCCGTGTGTGTCAGACACCCGGCTGACCAAAAAAAAGACGAGACGGATGAAAGAATGGTGCTTTGAGCAAGTCTCACACTTTGCTTCGGAAAGATCTTCATTTTTTGCTTAAACACACTAAACATGATGAACTCTTGCTAATTATACAGAGTCTATCTCATGAACATTCAGTCCAAACAGAGCTTGTTAGAGATGTAGAAAGGAGTCACTTGCAAGGGTAAAGGGTGGGGGAAACAACAGGTAAGTGGACTGAATAGACTGCTCTTTCAAAGAGACAACAGGGCAGACAAGATGGGCTGAATGGTCTTCTCCGTGTCATGCATTTCTGTGGTTCTATGGGTTGGAAGTGACATCAGTCTTAATTAAATATATGACTGCTTACTGTTATATTCTTGAAGTAGTTCTTCCCAATAGCATTACCCATGCATTATTACTTGTTCAAAGGCGTAACCCAAAGAGTTACTCAAGAACCAAAGTCAACCTAATGAGTTGACTGAGTTAAACAGTAGAGTGAAGCTGGTTCCAGCTTTCTGCTGAACTTACCTCTTTCGATGGATTTGTTAATCCCCCCTGGTGCCAAGGGACCATTGTGGAAATTGGTGAGGCTGTCTCTTCTTCCCACTGACCTGATGTTGCCGTAATAACGATTGACCAAGATCTGTCTTAGAGCTTCTCCCTTGGGAAGGAGAAAGGAGATCATCAGAAGCAGAAAAAAGACATAAAGATCTAACCAAATGATTGAACGACTGACATGACGAGCTACGGTGAATACCCGATAGGCATCAAAGTTTTTCTGGTGGTGCACTGGAAACCCCACAAGGTTGGATCAAGACTTTGACACGTTGTAAAGCCCCCCACATACCCCAAATAGGTGACCCCCAACACAGGCACTAGAAACATACATGACAATGGACAGGATTTAGAATCACAAGGACTTCTCAGCATTAAAAATCTGGCATAGAGGCCCTCTACGGGGGGGGGGGGGGGGGGGGGGAAGAGGGGGTTGCCTTCAAAATATTGAAAGGTTTTGGTCACGGAGATTGCAGGGTAGAAAGGAAGACTAACACTAATCCTCTCGTTGGTGTTCTCAACCATTATGGTCACTTCTGCACTCAAGTGTCCATCATTACCCGCCGAAGGACTTTCACCCTTCACGGCCTTGCTCCTCCCTACCTCTGCGATCTGTTAAAACCTCCTCCCTGCCTCTGTTCTGCAGGCACTGGTGTGCTCCACAACCCTGTCCTGCCTGCTCCACTATCGGCCTTAACCTTTCTGCCCCCACCCTCTGGAACTCCATCTCGGAGCCCCTCCACCTTGCCTCACCTCACGCCCTCGCTTGACTCTTGAAGACCTTCTTTTTCGATCGTGCCTTCGGTTATCTTCCCTCCTCCACCCCCTTGCCCTCCACCCCTCTCTGATCCCAACCCGCAGCTCGGGTGCAAACCCCTCATTGTCCAGCGCCTTGGGATATCCTCCCAACGTGAAAGGCGCTGTGTGAATGCAATTTGTTGTTGTTCATTGTTGCTCTACTGTAGACACTGCAAGTGCAGGAGGCTAAGGCTGGCTTAAACTCAAAAGGCGCACTCACACGCATACTGAGAGGGCAGAGAAATCTGTGCGCTCGGAAATCGGACAGTGATCAGTGATTTGGCAATGAATGGGAAGTATGGATAAGAGTCATATCAGTCACCTCCTCTCTCTCCCCTCCTTCTCCCCACCCCCCCGGAAAAAAATAAAATGAAACGCAACATATTAATGATGTGATCTCTCACGAGGAGCGACAAGGGAAATTGGGTTACTTGCAACGAGTATTCAGAGTAACCGCCTCCACACAGCGTTCAGCTTAAACAAAGGAGAGGTGAGGAGATGAGTCAATTTCCCTACCCTCGGAAAGCTGACAACTGAACAATTTCAGTGGAAAAGGAGGCAGTCATTCCTTCCTTAAGAGATTTTTCACGCAAAGTGTAGTGGAAATCTGGAGCTCTCTCCCCCAAAAGGCTGTGAATGCCGATTTGGGTTAAAATAAAAGATGTAAGATTTGGGGATGAGGTGAAAACTCCAAAAAATACAATAAAAAAAACACAAAAATGTAGACTGCCGAGTTCGCCAGTCTCAGTGCATTTGGTTCAATTGCTTAACTCAAGTCTTTTAAGGACTCTGTGATATTCTTTAGAAGATTTTTTCTTAAAAACTTTGGGCCAACGTGGGCTACACATTTAACCGTTCTTGAAAAAAAAGAGGGAGGCCTTTCCAAACTTTCACATTCCCTGTACAAATCTGTTCCGACTCTGATGTTTCACTTTCTAAAGTGTAGACTTTTATCTACGTGGCTCCCCCGATAGTTTTATGCTTGGGCCAAAAATATTCTGCAACGCAATCACAAAGAAAGGACTAGTCATCTGATTATGGATCCTGCCTAGCCAGAAACATACTGTATTCAGGGAAATGTCACCATTCGCTTCCTACTCATCCCGGTCCACTGTGAATTACTGCATCTTTCCGCAGACAGCATGTGTTCCAAACATTTAAGCCTTGTCCTTAATCCTCCCCTTTGCACCTCTCCTCAAAACAATCACTCTCGGAGGAAACCCAAAGTGCGCAAGTGTGAGACGTTCATTAATTATTTCAATAACATTTGCTACTACTGTGTCAGGAAAGAGGGGAGAGGGGGAGGGGGGCGAGGAAGAAAGAGAGAAGAGAAGAAGGTTATTTGGAACAAGATCTCTTTGTGAAGGTCGCAAGCAAGACTTTACAGGTCCTTCAGGAAGTCAAGGCAGCAACATCCTCGAATTTGGTGGAGTCCATTCCTCCTGCACCTTTATATAACCTAACAGATTGTTCAAGTGGTTTGCGAAGGCACCAGCTACTCACTTGCAAACAAACGAGAGGGAGACAATAACATGTCCTCCCAACTCCCACATTTTCAGAAGCGTGCACAGCATTACATACCCTTTTCTGATCCTCCAGTTGCTTCTGAGGTAGGTTTTGATCAAGCTCCTGGCGGAGATATATCCATGCAGAGACAAGATTGGTTTGCAAGAGCGGGTTAGTGTCATCTCAGGTGTTAATAGCCGAGCCCAGATCACGCAGCGCCATGAGCAAAGGAGAGCAACACACATGTTACATGCCACTTTTTTTTTATCCCCCTCCACAAACAGCATCCCTTTCTTTTTCTGAACTCTTTCAGGAACAGATAAGATGCGATTTCAGTTAGTAAACGGTTAGTAAACAACATCTCGGGATATAGTATAGTTTGGGTCCTGACTTGTGCATGTGGCTGCCAGGATGGTGGATGGCGAACTAGGTGGACCTTGGTCTTCTTTCTCCGAGCAAATTCTTATGCTCTTTCGTTTGCAAAGTTAGGCTCTCACTCAGTCTTGCAGCAGTATTTTTTTCCAGTTGCAATGGAGTCTATAAAAAGGGATAATGTGTTGGAGGGGGGTACAAGTCTACAGCTAGCAGCGAAACGGAACAACAAGCGAGAAGCAGAATGCAGTCCCAGTGAGTGAGTCATAATCCCCTTCCCAATGTAGTGTCCCTTATTATTAGCAATCAATGTTGCATCTCCTCCCAGCAATCCCATGCAGCAATCAGCTGTCTCAACAGGTGAACCATCCTCAAAACGGGTCCCAGCACCAATCCTGCGTCAAAAGGGTTAGACTAAAGCTTCAGTTTTAAAAGCATTAGCTTGCGGCGAGTTAGATAGCGGTCTATTCAAAGCGCCTCCTTTTCTTTTCGAAGTAGGGATGTAGGAGGTTAAGAGCAGGTGAAGGCCATTTGGCCCACCGCCCCTGCTCTGCCGAGCCCATGCCACAGTCTAGCATCTCACCCCATCCCACCCCCTGCCAGACCCCCTCATTTCGCTGCTGATGAAATTGAAACGAGCTCCCAGAGCCAAAGGCACCTCATGGCCTGAAAACCCCCTAAAACACCACAACCTTCTTCAAACTCCGAGGACGTTCCTTCGAACATTACCCCGATGCCCTCACCAGCTCAGTATTTTGCACTTACATTGGCTCGTGTGTTTCGCCCACAGAATGCACAGTCAATCCACTTTAGAATATATTCTGTGAAGCGCTTTGAGGCGTCTCAATGACGTGATAAGGCGCTGCGTCAAATGCAAGGGTTATTATTATCATCATCATCATCGGACAGTGGAGGCTTCAAAACACTGTCTTATTACCCTCGCTGTGTACTGTTCTTTCCCCTCGCCATCCACCCATTCATTGGAACGTTTGATCAACTCCAAAGGGAACAAAAATTAAAACGTTATTGTATTTTAAACCAAGGCGCTTAATCTGATTCTTTCTGAAGTCGGAAAATCGACAGGGAAGGGAGATTTGCCCTTGAATTCCCCAGAGGCAGATGGAGCTTTCCCAAGGCCTCAGTGCTCTTTTTTTCGCTTGTTTGTTTGAAATTCAGATTGAATCGAGTTTAGCAGCGTCATTAGCTACAATTATCCTGAGTGTTTCTCCATTCGCAATTGACACAGCGCCTTTCACTTTCACGTAAGGAGGACCGTCGCAAAGTAATTCGCGGGATTCACTGTAAATCGTGAATCGGGTATTTTGTATATGACCACTTTATCTGGGGGAAGGAAATGTCAGACACGACACCGGGATAGAACCTCCCTTCTTTTTTTCGAACAGTGCCATGCGATCTTTACTGTCCACTTGAACAGCCAGAAGGGACCTCGGGTTTAACTCACTCCTTGCTCGTCTGAAAAGATCTCACCTCTAAAAGTGCAGCGTCCCTCCCACTGCATTGGAGGTGTCAGGATAGACTGTACAAGTTCATACAAGAAGGTATTGCGGTGCCATGGTTATCAGACACCGAAAACTAGATACCATATTCCTACTTCTGCCTGACTAACCTTATTATTATTATTATTATTCAGGATTGAAGAGAAAAAAAATATACGTGCTTTTTCACAATTGCCAAGAGCAAATTGATGGGTCATGTTGGGGTCTAGAGGTAATTACAGAACAAACAGGTGGCTGATTCTCTACATCCTGCTCCACCTGCATATCCGTTTCCAAGTTACTTATGTCTGTAAATCATTACACATGGCTGAACACCAATAAATATGGCCTTTAATCTAAGCTTGCAACATGGGCTGACTTGGCAGCAAATGCCACCTGTGGCTAGCCCCCAGTCAGTACAGACAGAACTCTGTCCCTTAATGGTGTTGGCGAATCGTGAATCATTTCAGGACTAGACATTGGCATCTCCCACGGTTCTGTCTCACTTTTGGGACCTGGGATCCAAAGTCCACAGCGAGATCACGAGCCATCATTCTGGCAAACCCGAGACTCCTTGCCGGCGAGAGAGAGAGAGCGAGAGAGAGATGGGGCGGGGGGTCATTTTCAAGAAGTCAAGGGTCAACAAAAATACGATTGAGAACAATTCTTAACGAGCACTAAACTCGTCACCTTACTCTAATAATAATAATCCTTGCATTTGATAGAGGGCCTCATTACATCGATTCAGAAGTATCAAAACGCTTCACAGAATATACTGTGAGTTGAACTGACTGTGTATTTTGTGGGCGAAACGCGACCAACACTGGTTACATTCCTGATATAGGAGACACTCTGTGTATCTAACCTATGTCACACGCGCTGCTATCAATGTAAACGTGCACCAGCCCCCTTCTTACCCAAGTCTCATTCGAGGTTCAATATGAACTGGATACAGGCACCAAACACATTCAGTTGCTGGAAAACCTTTTATCTTCTTGGAAAACGAAATGAACACAGGCTGAGAAGATAATAGTTTGACCTGGTTTTGCAACGGGAGGGGTGGTGGGGAGGGGGTTGGGGGGAGCAAGAGGAAACGGCCTTGAGACATCAGCTTAGAGTGTGAGACGCAACTCAGAAATGAAGGGAGAGTTTTTTCCAACTTATCTAATGGGTAACTAGTACTAGGACTTGACTACCCCATCACAGCTACAATTTGTGCTGTTCAGTTTTAGACCTCTGACAAGAGAAGCAACCATCTCTATCACTACTCAGAAAGTTTCCAGCCTTCCTTTGTGACTCAATGACTTGGGACTCGCTTAAAATTTCCCCCTATTCCTGAGCATGTGCGGGTGGGGGGGGTTGGGGGAAGAAGAGAAAGCTTTGCCAATTTCGCTCACTCCGTTCAACAGCGGAGGCCTGGAAAAATTCTTAGCCTTAAGAGCACAGTCTTAAAGGATCGAGGCGTAGTGGCTGAAAGCACGGCCTCCGACGGTGGAGTGGATGAGGGAGGTTCAGCAGGTCTGATCTGGCTGACAACGACTATTAAATATTTAACTTCTTTTTAAAAAAAAGAAGGAAATTGTGAACTCGAGATAACCATGGACTTGAGGAAGTTGGTCTATTCATCCTTCCCATCTCAAAACACCAAATGATTGCAAGCCGAGAAACCACAATGACAACTTAATTGAGAGTCTGGTGAAGGGCTAATGGGTCAGGAGCATTTATGAGGAAGTGCGGGAGCTTCTAGGGATGTGGAGAGGAGGTTTTGGCTTGGACTCGATGGGTTAACTAATGCTCCTTCCCTTTCTTCCCACTCTTCGGCTTTCACGGAAATTTTTTAAAAAAAACTGTGGGTTTTCCACCCATTACCGCACACTGTCACTCCACTGAATCTGCTCGAGGGGACATGAATCATCCTAGCAGCTGATTTAAAAATAAACAAGGCGTCTTATAGCCTCCAAATCAGTGAAGACTAATGCCTTTTCTTTTACATTCCAATGTGCTCTTTTACGCCCTTCCAAATCCCCTCTCCGGCCCCACTCCACTCATCACCACCACCACACCATGATAAAAATAATCAACTCACTACACTATAAGTTGACACTGATACAGCACCTTCCACGTCGGGAGGAACGTCTCTGAGCACTTAAGCGTAAAACAGGGACACACAGTGGAACCCGCTATAACACGGATTTGTTTATGGGGGGGCGGGGAATGGTGGTTTACGCCTTCTTCTGTCTCCTCCACCCATCCCGCTCTTCTCCCTGACAATCAGATTGTTGCATTCCTTCTCTGCCCCCCACCCCCTTTAATTTCAGGACCCATTCCTTGCATGGGGGGGGGGGGGGGGGAGGCTAAAATTGTGACGTGTACTGTTGAGTTTCCGTACAAATACACTCAGACACTACAGTTGACCGTAAAAATCCTATGAAGTGCCTTGATAAGGTGCCTCAACTGGGTTTGATTGCCAGCCAGGGCAAAATGTTGGGCCAGTTTCCTTGCTCCACATGCCTCTGTTTATCCAGCAGTAAGTAGGAACCCATTTGTTAGGGGATTGGGGGATTGCTTTTCCGAGGGTAATAATCCCTTAAAAATTAAACAAAAATTGATCACTCAATCAACGGCTGTGTGTGGGGACGCTGCTGTGCGCAATTGGCTGCCGCGTTTCGCCCACAAAGTACAGTCAATTCACTTTACAGTCTATTCTGTGAAGCGCTTTGAGACGTCTCGAAGACGTGATGAGACCCTATATCAAATGCAAGGATTATTAATCCTGCCAATAGGGGGCACAATCAAATCGAACAGTCACTTGGTTCCTTCTGACTTCCTCTTCCTGCCCTCCCCCGCCAAAAAAAAAACCTTGACTGCAAATTGAGTGCCTAACTTGGAAAGCCTTAAAAACACCCATTGGATTAGAATGACATAGACTTCCTGGGACTTAGAAGCAGATGACCCACCAATCTGGGAGCGAAAGATTCCAACTGTCTAAGCCCCTGAGCAGCACTCACTGTAATCAGTTCTAACGCAGATGAAACAAAGACTCATTGTTCCCTCAATGGCAAACGTCCCATTTCGATTCACGTATCCTGTTCTTGGCTGCTCTGGATGTCAAGTGTTTCACTATCTCAGCAATCGGCAAACAAGGAGACATTCCACACGGTTTAATATTCTCTGCAGTGAGACGCTATGTTGCGCAAGACTCCTCTGCAGGTCTGCTGTGTGCAATTAAAACACTGCCGCCACATAAAGGCAAAGGGGTGTTCGTTAGCTGTGTTTTTTTTTGGCTGTGGTGGCGGGGAGGGTTAAAAGAATACCACGTTTGTTCAATGTAAATGTGGCCTGTGCTCAGACACTTCTGCTCCCTGTATTAGTCTTGAACAAGGTCCTACAATCCCTTCGCCTCGCTCCCTCCCTTGTCTCCTTCAAGGTATGTTTCAAGATCCTCCTCTTCGACCGAGCCTTCGGTCACCCTCCTATCCCAACTCTCCCTGCCCTCCGCACCTCCCTGATCCAAACCCCCAGCTCGGGTCCAAATCCCTGACTTTCTAGCGCCTTGGGATGTCCTCTCGACATGAAAGGCGCTGTGTAAATGTAATGTTGTTTATATAGATCTCGCCCACAAAATATACAGTCAAGGCTATATCAAATGCAAGGATTATTAATTATTATTTACAGAGACTTTACAGCATGGAAACAGACCATTCGGCCCAACTCGTCTGCGCCTGGTTCATTTTCATTTTCCACAAGAGCCACCCTTTCACTCCCAACTCCCTCCCGGACCCTTCTATTCCCTCCTCCCTCAATAAAGATGGTTCTCACTCCTGATCACTCATCCACTGACATGACAGAGCCTTACAGAGGCATACAGCATCTTTTTTGTTGTCACAATGAAAGATAAATTCAACCAGTAGTGGTAAAAAATATACTGCCCACAAATCAGTCAATTCACTGTACGGTATTTCCGGTGAAGCGCTTTGAGGCGTCTCAATGACGTGATAAGGCACTACACTAAATGCAAGCATTAATATTATTATTATTATAGTAGGTACCCCAATCTAGATCTGGATGTGCAAAGGTGGGGGGGCGAGGGGGGAGAGAAAGAGAAGAGGTGGGTCAGGACCTGTAGTTATTTATCAGAGAAATAAATCTAACACATTTAAATATCAATTAACAAGGCACGTTGATTATAAAATTGGGAAACTCCAGCTTGTTGGGATTGTTTGAGACGTAGTCATCCGGTCGTCTTTATTTGGAATGGTGGGGGCCGTGAGGAGGAGGTGTGTGTGGGGGTGGGGGGAACAGACCGAGAGAGCGAGCGAAAGCTGTCGAGGTCATCTCTCATCTCTCCCGCCTCCTCCCGAACTCCAGCTGGCTAATGACGCTGTAGTGGAGACTTTTTTTAAAAAAAACAGAGAGAGAGAGAGAGAGAGAGAGACAGACAGAAAGAAAGAGACATCTGCTTCCCAGATCAGCATTCTGCCTCCAAGAGGCCAAATCACTGTCGGTTCCAGCCGTGGGGAGAGACCTGGAGGAATATCCCCTCTCTTCCCATTAAACAGCGATTGTATTCAGTGTCTTCCTGACGCTATATAAATGCAACGTGTTGTTGCTGCTGCTGCTGCTGTTGGTTTTATTCCTGGTCTAAACTGAAACAGGAGGAGGGATTCACTGCCAGCAACGACCACATTGCAAAAATGCCTCAACTTCAAAGCACAATCACTCAGCAGCCTAACTCCATGCCTCGCTCGCTCGCTCGCTCACTCTTGGCACACTTTGCCATAGCCCATCCTCCGACCCCCCAACCACCTCCTCCTCCGCCTGCCCCCCTCCCTTCCCTCCCTCTCACTGATCTGCACTGCGTAGCCAATGCATCACAGTAAACAGCTCCTCACTCCCCCCACCCCCTCCCCCTCCCTCCCAACACACACACACATCTATTGGCAATTACTGATGAAGGTCACACATCAGCTGAGAGGCCCGAATTCCAGGAAACAAGCTGAGCTTATGTAAGTGCATCACCAGCATTGGCCGCTGTCCAACAATCATGCAGCGAGCGACTGAAAGTAGGACAATGTACAGGGCTTGGAAACCCGAGCTCCGGTCTGCTTCCCCCTGCAGGAGAAAGGGAGCAGAGGAATCCTCGGCAAAGCAGCGTGTCACGAGTGAATAATCCGCACGCCACCTGCTTGGGAGAACTCCAGTCGGTCCGGGCAAAGGTCCGGGCGTGATTTGAATAAGGCAAAGACTATCCGGTGGGATGCTCAGCATGCGACTCCCAACGCTCTTTCTCCACGCCCGCTGTCTCTTTAAAGAGTTTTGTCTTATATTGAGAGGAAATTCTTCCTTGGGGGAGTGGGCGGAGGGGGTTGGGGGTAGTACGTGAGCTCACACACGCCTTCTCCCTCTTCTCCCGCCATCCCAAAATCCCTGCGTTTGTGCAGAGACAGGAACCCCGCCGCCCCACCCCCCCGACTCTCGCCAGGCTTCACCTGGTCCGACACGTGACCGTAAGGCAGGTTACCAACAATAACTAAAAATTCCAGGTTTCCCAGACTGGTTCTTTTTCTACACCGAAACAAACAAAAAAATGCCTCGTTAAAGCACAACTCATCCGGGATGGTCGAGAGCGACGTAGATTGTTATTTGATGGGAGAGGTTATTTGCTGCCGGTCACCTCTATCTGTGTCGGTCGGTCAGACAGACCGACGGACAAGTGGAATGTTTGGCAGCACAGAACAGGTATCGTTTCCTCTCCCTCCTCGGGCTTTTCCTCGCTTCCCAACCCTTTTTGATCTCATCCCTCCAGTAAAACCCGCTCAACCGTCACAGCGGTCGAGTTGATTTTTTAAACGAGTTCACGGCCTCAATCACCTGTCCTGGCACCCGTGGCAAAAAATTGGGGGCACCTTCCATTTCAAGAGGAGGAGGGTGGGGGGAAAACAGTGTAGGGCTGGGGCTTTGGGATGTTTTTGCTCTCAGCAATTTTCAGTGTTGCCACGTTGAAAGGCTCTTTACCCGACGTTCCCTCTGTGACCCAAGTTGACTCCATTCTTACACTGAACCATTCTCAGGTCAGCGGCACTTAGACTGCATGGAACTGGCACTTATTAGCTGCTACAAAGCCACTGCAGCTTGGCACGTGTACTCACTCAGAGGCACAGACACAGCAGAGGATAGGGCAGAATGAAGCGGCGGGGAAGGGGGGGGGGGGGGGGAGACATGCAACAGGAACAAGGAGGTGAATAAAAAAAACGGTAAACCTCAGCCACTTCCACCAATTCATCATCAAACGCAATGAGCTGTTGAGAGGAGGAAGACGGGGAGGAGAAAGGGAGAAGACAGAGAGAGGGAGAGAGAGAGAGAAGGGTGAGAGCACGTTTGTGTAGAACCGCACGTTAAGCACCGCATTCCCCCCCCTTTGCCGGAAAGGAAAGTTCGATCAAGTCCGGTGAGAAGGTTAGTGAGATTAACGATGGTGCGTGAACAGAGGCTCAGTCAGGAGTCTGGTCTGGCCTTATAGCCTGCAGACTCCAGCGAGAGGCAGTGCAATGGGGGTTGGGGGGGGGGGGGGGGGGAAATCAAACCAGGACAGTTTTGAGCAGGATCCACGTTATTATCAAGCCACAGGCAGCCCCCGCCCCATGCTTCCCAAAGCCAAGGCCTCGCAGTTTGGGAAGCTGTACAGCGCCAGCTCGATTCAACCAGTGGTAAGAATAGTCGCACACTCATTCATAGCCACTCACACACAGACAGACACTCTCACACAGACAGACACTCACACAAACACACACAGACACTCACACAAACACAGACACACACAAACACAGACACACACAAACACAGACACACTCACACACAGACAGACACACTCACACACAGACAGACACACTCAGACAGACACACTCAGACAGACACACTCACACAGACACACTCACACACAGACAGACACTCACACACACGGAGATAGACAGAGACCCCGATGCACGCAAACACATTGACGCCACATGCATGCAGACACATGCGCACAAGCGCACACACAACGAGAGAGAGGCACACACCCACACACAGACACACACACACAGAAACTCAGACACACACAGATGCACAAACACACACACACACACACATACACACACACCCAAAGAGCCCAACTCCTGTCTGACTTAAATTACTCATAATCAATCCCACACGTCTGTAGAGCTGGTTTCGTTGCGCAAGATTCTGTTTGCTTTTCAAATCCTGCCAACAATCTGAAACGCTTTACTTAAGGAAATGAAGAGATTGAATCAAGAGCAGCTGAGCAGCACCTACGCTGTCTGAAAAAATATATATTTATTGGCAAAATAAAAATCCCACCATCGTCCCTGCAAGACTGGGTCTCGACTGGTCTCGGCTGAGGTTTCAAGCCAAAATGGAGGTGACTTTCCCCATGATTTCCTTTTAAGATTAAGCTGATATTATATTAACGGCAGCCGTGAAGTGGTTACACCCCATTTGTAAAACCATTATCCACTGGAAGTTGCTGCCCTGGGATTATATATAAAATCAATCAAGGTTCTTAAATCAATGTAAAGAATTTGCAAAGCTGGTTGTTTCACCTAAAATGGGCGATCGGGCGGGCTGTTATTATTTTTTTTTAAAAGACACTTTAAAAAGTTGGGGAGATTTCCAGTCTTTAGACCGAGGAGCGAGACGGGGGCTTTGGGTGTCGGGAGGTTGCTTGGGGGGCTGGGGGGTGGGAGGGACGGTGAAGAGCCCTCAAAGTGGGGCCACTTGACTTGTCACCCCACGTCTCACACCTCTGCTCGATTCCTCCAACCCACTCGCGTGCGAAAATATACAGAGATCTCCAAGGAAACCAAAGCAAGTCCCAAGCACTTTGCAGATGTCATTTTACGACCACCCCATCCTCCCCCCTCCCCCCACGATTTCTTGACCCAAGGAGTTGGCCCTGTTGGAAGAGATTTGCAGAAAGCGCTCAGGATGGTAGTGGGAGGGGGTGGGAGGGGGGGAAAGGGGGAAACATGGGCAGTGGGTTAGCTCACGGTACCTTCTCGCCATAACCCCGATCTTTGGTCATCATTTCCCGCAGGGTCTGCAGGACTTTGATGCACAGCTTCTCCTCATTCTCCTCCAGGAGCTGTTTGGTGTGTTTGATCAACCTGTGGGCCAAACCGCGCACGTTTTCATTTGTTTTTCGAGCAACGCAACAGCAAGAACAGCAGCAGAATTATATTCGTATGGAGCCTGTCACGTCGGAAGGCGTCCCAAGGCGCTGGACAGATAAGGGTTTCGCCCCCCCCGAGCTGAGGGTTGGAATCAACAAGGGTGGAGGAGGAGGAGGAGGAGGGTAGTGGGGTGGGAGGGTGGCTGAGAGTACGATCAAAGAGGAAGGTCTTAAGGACAGGTTTTGAAGGAGGCACGGAAGGGGGAGAGGCGGAGGGATTCAATACAATACCGCGCTCTCTCTCCCCCCGTAGGGCTGCCCGGGAGTGTCAACCTAACCCCGTGAGCTCAAAGTCCCCAATCTGACATGGGGGTGGGCGAGGGAGGGAGGACTTCAACCCACGACCCTTCTGACTCAATGGCGAGAGCCAATTTCGTTAACTCACTTGCAGATAAATCCTCCGCTCTCGCACTTGCGCCTGGCTTCCGTGTTCTCGGGGAAAAGCAGCTCGGGCCGATGGAGGACGTCGACGAGCACAGAGAGCTCGGCCTGGACCAGGGGATGGAGCCGATCCTCCAGGGCAGACACGATATCCTGCGGGGGTCAACAAGAGCAGAAACTCTCAGCCCTTCAGCTCCCCACGTTAATCCTTCCACCAACCAACCCCGGTCGTAAACACACCGCACTTCGCTAGTAAATCCACGACTGTGTGTGTGGACGCCGCTGTGCGCAATCGACAGCCGCGTTTCGCCCGCTAAATACACAGTCACTACACTTTACGGTATATTCTGTGAAGCACTTTTGAGACGCCTCGAAGATGCGATAAGGAGCTGTACCAAATGCAAGGACTATTATTATTATTATTATTATTGTGAAATCCTGTGAAGCGCTTTGAGACGTTCTCCCGACGCGATGGGCGCCACATCAAAAACAAGCGTTCTTATCCCATCTCGGCCCCACCCCACCCACACCTCCTCAAACCACACGGACCAGAAAGGCAAGCAGAGCAACACGCCTCACCACCAATACCACGGTAACCACCAGCCTTCTCGGAAAGCAAATGAGGTTAGCGCAATGCTAATCGCATTCACCACCGCCATTCAACTTGTTCGGACATCGCAAGGCAGTCGGTTAACACAAACCCTGAGAATTTGCATTCCCCCCACCCCCACCTTTATAAATTTCACGCGTTCAATTATTTTAGGGGACTTTCTTCCCTCAGCGGCATGCGCGACTGGTCTGGTCATCTCTTGCTGGGGTGCGGTTTCATGCCCCACCCTCCCCACCACCCCCCACCCTATCAATGTTGCTTCTACTCAACCCTTGGCAGCGAGCGGAAATGAGTCACTAAATTCTGGTGTCGCAGCTGTGCTTGACTTCTCCCCTCCCGGCTGCCATGTGCACAGGCTCACGAACTGAAGAGAGATCCGTAGAGGAACAAGGAGCAGGAGCACTGGCTAGTTTCCCCCTCCCTAACCCCTGGGAAGCTCAGGGACCTAAGGGGGTGGGTTAAGAATCAGCGAGAGTTAGAATCAGCGAGAGTTAAACCATCTTTTTGTACGCAATAGACAAAACCATGCAACACACACACACACACATCACGGCTCCTTGAATGCAACTGATTCTCGATGTGGCGACCTGGTCACACATAAGGAAAACGGAACAAACTGGTGGAAGAGGGTACGTTAGTCTGGACGAGTATGAAAGCCAAACTGAAGCCTAAACATCTACAAATAGCACGTCAAAAATGGGATGGATGCCGGGGGGGAGAAAAAACACACAATATACCCTCCGTGAAAGCAGATCTTCACACACAAGAGACAGAGCTGCAGAGAGGGAGGGAGAGAGAGAGAGAAAAATAATAATTTAAAAGTTCAGTGGATGGCACGGACAAGAAGAAAGAAAAGTGAGCGAAACGACAAAACAAAATGCTTTGAATGCAACCGAGAGGAGAAACACGCGGGTGTTGTGGGGGAGTGGGTAAGGGGATGGGGGAAGGTGAAGTGGGGCAAAGCCCCGCGTGCGTTGGCCTGGCCTGGCTCTCCGCTCATACCCTACCTGCAATCGCTCGATGATGTTGCGGTAATCTCTGGAGGTGGTGAGGACGGAGTCGCGGCGGGCAGAGTTGCGGGCGGACATACGCCAGCTCATGGCCGTCTTCTGCACGATGTTGTGGGACTTGAGGAACAGATTGTTGACCTGGCTGTCCAGGTCCACGGGGATGGCAATGGCTCGGCTCTTGGCTGCAACGGGAACTCAGTTGGTGACAAGAACCACCACAACGACAACAACTTGGATTTATACAGCGCCCTTCGCGCGGGCTAGCGTCCCGCAGCGCTTTAGGTAAACCCAAACGAGGTGGAATCGTCAACCCGCCTCCTGGTGGTGAACGAACTGAGACGTTCAATGACTCTCCTCTCTCCATAGATGCTGCCTGACCTGCTGGGAGCTCCCAACGACTTCTGTTTTTATTTCAGATCTCCAGCATCGGCAGTATTTTGCCTTTTGTTTCTGTGTGTGTGTGTGTGTGTGTGTGTGTATATATATGTATATATACTATATATTAAAATAAATTGAATCCGTCAACAGCAAAATCCACTTAAATACCAGATGTTCCTCTGTTTTTCTACCTGTTCATCCTGTGCCAGTTCAGACAAGCTTTAGCGCTCGCACATTGTCCTTTACAATAGCGCTTACCCACTTCAGATAACACCTTAATGCAGCTCTCAACAGACGCCTTCTGTGTGGCGGACAGCCAGGGGCAGTGGTAGACTCTGAAAACGCCTTGCAGCAACTGCACGAAGATAGGCTGGCGAGTCTGGAGACATCGCGGGAGGGGAACAGAAGAAAGAAACAAAGAAAGAAAGAGTTGAGATTCCGATAAATTTTCACGAGCATAAATAAAAGCAAGGATGACTCCAGTGAAATTTTCCCAATTTTCCCCATTTCTTCTTCGCTCAGCGCCTCCGCAGAGTTGGATGGAGGGAATCAAAGGCAAAGGATGGGGTGAGGGGGTGAGGGGTTGGGCGGAGGGGATTTTCCCCTATTCTCATCTCGAGTGTGTCTTGTGGCCTGGGACACAGCCCGCCACCGGCTGAGAGCTCGGAGCACATTTGTAGCACCTGAACACTCTCGGTCATAGCGGGCGTGAAGCCTGGAGAGAAAATACAGCGGGAAGTAATTCAGCCTTTGAAGCGAAGCGCAGAACTTTGGCCCCGAGGAGACAGATTTAACATCCCTCCAGAGGGGTGTCCAGTGAGCCATTCATTATTCACCGACAGAATGACTTGGAGTTGAAATGCTGTGTTTCGAGATGTTATAACCTACACCCCTCTCCCAGTTCTCTCGCTTGACTTCCCCATTATTCATTGATAACCGCTCCTAGTCTGACTGCCACTTTACATTGAGTGCCTTCAGCTACTACGCCCCGAATCTCTGGAACTCTCTCCTTCCATCCCTCCGCCTTGCCCACTCCCTCTCCCTCCCCACCTTCAATTCCCCCCCTGAAGAACTTCCTTTTTGATGATTCCAGTCACCTCCCCCCTCCCTCTCCCCCTGGGCACCAATGCCAAGTACTCCGGGATGCCATCTCGCATGAAGGACACTACATAAATGCAAGTTGTTGTTGAATGGATGGGGTAAAGGCTTGGGATGGGGCAGCTGTTAGCAATGGCTGGGGACAGATCAGGTTTGATCCCCAAAGAACTTTTGCCCCCTCTGCGTGGCACAGCCGCGCTGTGCTTATCGACCCTGCCTCCCTCCTGCCCCATTCACGTAACTGCTTAGGGATACGTCAAACAAAGGTTCTGGAGCTTTTGGGGAACTTGGCTCAGGTTTAACAAACCCATATACGGACAGAGAAGGAAGAAGGTTTGGCTTGAATTAAAAGATGTTACAAGACATGCAAGTCTGACGTGCAACCTTCACGAGAAGCAGTCGTGTGCGTTTCCCAAGCCAACAGACACCAAAAGGCAACAACGGCAAGTGTGGGGCTACGCGTGCAAGGGTCAGGCTGAAACTTCAACCCATCAGCTCCTCAATCCGCTTCTTAGTTTCAGAAGTCCACGTTCCTACAGCTAACCGCTAAAGCTTCTCCCAAATGCTTTATTTTCATCGTCTGTGGACCCGCTCACAAATTCTTACGTTCTTACGTACAGGGTGACCAAAAAGTTGGGATATCTACCCTGTTATCTAATAAAACATAGATTAGCATTTCTTTAAGACTTATGATAATATAATAATAATAATCCCGGCAATTGATACCGCGCCTCATCACGTCTTTGAGACGTCTCAAAGCGCTTCACAGGACAGACTGTAAAGCGAATTGACCGTATGTTTTGTGGGCGAAACGCGGCAGCCAATTGCGCACAGCAGCGTCCCCGCAAACAGCCGTGGATTGAGTGACCAAATTGCACTTGTTTTCATTTTCTTTTGTTACTTGCAAACAATTTCTCCCGATACACATTGTAATGGTATCACAACTTTTTGGTCGTCATGTATAATCATCTGCAGCGCGACTTAATTTCAAACTCCAGCCCCCGGTTCGGGAGAGGTGTTTGGGCGATGTTTTGACGATGGCAATGCAGACGGGGAGGGGACTATTGCTGGGCTGAGAGGTGGGTTAGTGAACCGGTGCACGTGTGTTCAAGGCAGAGAGGTTTTCCTTTTTTTCTTCGACAAAAAATAAGACAAAATAAGAAAAAAAAAACAGGCTTTTTTTTTCCCCGTCCGACAAAACATCAACCAAACTCGTGCAAACAAACATCTCCAGGCTTCACAAAATCGTTCCAGTGAGAGAGAGAGAGAGAGAGAAAAGATCACATCATCAGACCACACCTCAGTGTAAAGTGAAAGGTTGGAAACTGCATAATTGCCAACAGTTCAATTCTAACCCCCGCCCCCAGTCTCACTTCCCCCACCACCCCCCCTCCCCAGACAGTACTGCGACTGTACCTCTATAATGCCATGTGCAATGCACCTTTCTCTACATCAGAATGTTTCCCCAGTCTTTTTTGTTTGATTTTCGCTACACAAAATACACACTATATATATATTATGTATGTATATATATATATAAAAACATATTGCTGTATATTCTGTGGCGCGTTCTGGGATGTCTCAACGACGTGATAAGGCGCTGTACCAAATGCAACCACTATTGTCATCACTATTATTTTAAATGCGGAATATCGAACGACCCAGCGAACGTCGGCAACTATGCAACTTTGGAGAGACCGAGCTTGAAAATACCTCGTTAGTTTGACTCATAATTCTGGCAGATAGCTGTGAACAAAGAGTTTAATTAAGTGAATGGTAAATGCGTTGGGGGTGGGATGGGGGTTGGGGGGTGGGGAGAGAGGAAAAACCATTGTAACTGGTTGAAGAGATTTTCACCGTGTTTTTTTTTGGACTTAAGAGCAAAGTCCCGCAGCTTCTAACGCGCCCGGCTGCAGGTTGCAACTTCTGCCGTACGTCGATGCAGCACCGATGTTGCAGCGATGCAGCGACTAGCACTTGCTACAAACGCGCGCTCCTGCAGAGTTGCATCGCCCAATGCGGTTCCTAACGCAATCCACTGCAGTGCCCACGAATAATCTCCCATCTGCCAAAGTTGGTGCTGAGTTAATTGATGGGAGTCACTGCTCTTCGATAGAAAACACACACGCAACTCGGATTAGCGGGGGGCTGGAGGGGTGGTGGGGGGGCGGGGGTCTTGATAGCTATTTAGAAGCCGCAAGCTCATCATCCAGCCTGTCCAAAGGAGGAGGGTGCCATACCTGTAAACTGGTGCTTTGATCAGAGAAGGGAGAGCTGAAGAAAGTGGTGACAATGCTCATGACTGTCTCGGTGACGTATCTCTCCAGAATGTTGTCCGCGTGCTTTCGGTCGCTGGTGTTGTTGCACACCTGCAATTGCAGGCAAAAGCGCCTTCATTGAAGGTTGAGGGGGGGGGGGGGGGGAGTGATAACTTAACAGCAATTTCCGAAACACAGCACACTGCGGAATTAGGCACTGCAAAAACACACACACGATAACCCCAGTGTCGGATTGAAAGCCTACAACGTTATCGAAACTTCTCCAGTTGTGCGCAGTAATGTCACGTGCCACAACCAACCGCAGAGTGAATGAGCAATTTAACTGGGGGTGACTGCAGGCCAGGACGCTGGGAGTTAACTCCCTTCTCTATACGAATAGCGCCACGGGATCTTTGATTTGAACAGGCCCAGGTGGGACCTTATGTCTCATGAGAAAGACGTCAATTCTGACACGGTTGCCCGTTTGCCCCAGTGACGAGCAGGACGGAGCTCAAAGTTCCCGAAGCGGGGCTTGAACCCACAACCTTCGGACCCAGAGAGGTGTAAACGCTACCGATTGAACCAAGTTCATTTGACATTGCGCTTTGCTTGAGGTTTAATCTATTCTGGCAAAATGTCCTCTGCATCAAAGCACGTCAATGTGACAACTGCTCTTTAGTATTTTGATGGTCAAACGTATCCGTTACCTAAAGGGATCATATTTGGACTATTAGCTTAAGTACTGAATGTAACTACAGGATGCTTATTGTAATCACTTTGGTATTGATACTAAGCTGCATTTATACCCTGTCCAAACCCAGTTGTCCTTCACGATAAATTTTGAAACACGAACTGGTTTCTGGCGGCGACATAAATCATTCACGAGGTTACAAAGAAAGTCCCCGAAATAAAAGTTTGAAGCAAAAAGGATTCAGTCGACAAAATAAACCGCAAACTGCAAAATACTTTTAGAACACGGGGCAATCTGAGAGGGTTTTGACCCGGCTTCCTCAACGTAAAAAGTTTTCACTGGAAATCCAACTTCTGACTTTTGTGCCGCAATAAAGTCCGGGGGATGGGGGAGGAAGCGTCGGGGGTGGGATGGGGGAGAGCGGCTTTGGGTCTGGAAGCAGTGAGGGGTTTTGTAGAGCAGAGAGAATGTAGTCAAATCACCTGTATTATTGCCCCCGCCTTAACCTACATAAAAATGCCTCGACAATTCATTGACGCCGCTTAACATCAAACGTTATCCAACAAAATGACTTGACGTTTTACCACAAAACCTGACGTGCCACTGCCTTCGCCCCACCCCCAAAATTGAGTTGGTTTGGCTTAAAAGGCAGTTCAAGGCAACGGTTCACTGCTGACCTCCAGCTGACGTGTATTAATCAAAGAGTTTCTAAAATGGTTTGAAGAGACAGTAAAGGGGCCAAAAGATTCCAAATTCGCTCCATCTGGATCTCCCTGGGCTTTGGACGGCATCTCGAGTCATTCCATGCGACCAAACTGGCGCGGACTCAAGCCCACAGCACTCCAGCTGTCCAGAGGTACATTGTCACGAAATCTGACCCTAACTCCAGGAACGTTCCCTCACCTAAACAGAATAAGGAATCAAGTGCTTTCTGGAGTTCAGGAATAGGGAGAAAATTCCTGGGTGAGGGGAGGGGTAAATAAGGTCCGAACAATGTAGCTTGCAATCCAAAGTTGGGCTCCAATTTCCTGTCGGGCCAATTAGTTACGCGTCGGGGCACAGAAAACTACATGGCACAATCCACGAGTTAAGAGCTACAAGCATGAGGCTACATGCTACGCGAGAATCCCACAGAAATACTTGCCCTGCATATGTCGACGAGGAAATTCTCAAAGAGTTTCCACATGTGGTTGCTTGTGTAAATCTCCTTCATCTCCACTTCTGTGTCCACGTAGCAGTGATTCAGGAAGTTGATGTAGGCGATCTTGACCTGCGTAGAAGAAATTTTTTTAAAAAAAGACACAACGCGTTTGCAGCTGTCGTAGGAGTGAAGGGTACCTCGGTGAAAACCACAAGGTGGTCAGTAATAAAAATACCAATAATAATCCTCGCATTTGATACAGCACCTTATCAGGTCGTCTCAAAGCACTTGACAGACACACCACACACGCACCACACACACACACGACACACCACACACACACACACGACACGCGTGCGTCCCCGCTCACCTCGGGGATGCAGTCCTCGTGCGTGGCCACTCTCACTATGTCGTCCAGTGGGAGCAGGGAATTGCACTTGATCTCGGTGTAGACGTTCTTGCCCTCGGTGCAGACGGCCAGCAGCTCCACCAGGTGAATGTGGTACATGAGGGGGCTGTTCTCATCCATCCGGTCCCGCTCGGAGCGCATCATCTGCACCAAAGTCTGGAACGAGGCGCGGTCGTTGTAGAAGATCAGGACGTCTTCGCCGGCGTTGACGAGCTGCGAGGGGAGCGAGAGCTTAGGGCAGGTAATTCCATCAGCTGATTCCCCTGCTGCTTCCGAGCAGGGATCCGCGCGGCTTGGATTTGGGAGGGTGTGTGCGGGGTTAGGGGGTGTGGGGGGAGATTCAATTGCAAATCGCTTCGAGGGAACGATGATAACGCTTGCATTTTCGCGCAGGGCCTGGTCACGCCTTCGAGACGTTCGACGGGATAGACGGCAAAGTTACCTGACTGCGTGTTTTTTGCGGGCGGAACGAATACGAAGGATTTCCAAGGCTGAGACTGATAGATTTTTTTTCAAAAGAAATAGAGGGATTAGGGGATATGGGGATAGGGCAGGTAATTAAGAGTTAGGTCAGACGATCAGCCGTGATCTTATCGAATGGCGGGGCACAGGCTCGAGGGGCCGAATGGCCTACTCCTGCTCCTAATTCTTATGTTCCAAGCGAAAGGGAATAAGGTAACCTACAGCCCCAAGTTCTACCTCAGTCACTGCCTCTAAGAACTTGTAAGGTGTAGGATTGTGAAATCGTGTGGGGCCACTCTTAAGCGTCGCCTGGATTCAGAAGCCAACTCTTTCCAAATCGATGTGGAGAGAACACGTTTGAATAAGTAGCGTTAGTACATATCAATATAGTTCAACAGGGAAACTGGATGTAAACTTGAAAAGGAAAAAGTTGCAGGAAGTATTGTGCTGGGATGGGCTGAGATGGAATAATAATAATAATCCCCGCATTTGATACGGCGCCTTATCACGTCTTCGAGACCTCTCCAAGCGCTTCACAGAATACTGTTAAGTGAACTGACTGTATATTTTGTGGGCGAAATGGCAGCGTCCCACAAACAGTCGTGGGTTGAGTGGCCAAATTATCGAGATGGAATGGAACGGGATGAAAAGAGGAGGGAGACTTATGCTGGATCCAAAGGACCAGATTAATCTAGAGAAGCTACAAAGTTCCTTCCTTTCTCATCACGGGACCCGCAGTTTCCACAGCGTCGACGCAAAAAAAAAGCGGCTGCCGCTCACCTCGGCCATCACCATGTCCTGACACTTCTTGATGAACTTGCCCTCGGCCTTGACGATGGTCTGCAGGAACTTGAGGTACTGCACGTTGCGGCCGTGGGTCTCGATGCAGTGGACAAAGTGCTGTACCACCCGCTCGTTGATCTCGCTGCACAGCTGGAAGTTGTTCATGAAGATGTGCTGCATGGTCACAGCCTCCAGGATCTGCAACGAGAAGAGGAGTAACCGAGGGCATCGCTGTCCACGAGGTAACTTAGCAACCCACGACACTCTCGAGAATCCTCCCGCACAGACCCTCGGGGGTGGGTGGGGGGGGGGGAAGACGTTAGGCTACATGATTATTATTATTAATTATTATTATTATTAGTGGAACAAGGGTTCGTTCGTAGGTGAAACTTTTTTATTTGGGCTTTTTGAAATAGAATCAAACTTTTTTTTGGGGGGTGTGGGGGGGGAAGAATCAATTAATTAATACAGAATTAATTGCAAAGTCTAGTGACTGTGTATTTTGAGGGCGAAACACGGCAGCCAGTCGCGCCCAGCGGTGGCCTGCAAACAGCCGTGGATTGAGAGTCACCAAATTTTAGGCTCGTGGCTTCTGATCGAAGCAGAATTTATCACGCGGTTGCGTCTTCATTTATTAGCCGATACCTGTCTCGCAAACTGAGTTATCTCAGACACGAAGAAGCAAGTGATTGTTGTCTGTGTTTGGTGTGCGCTTTTAACGGTTTCACTTAGTGATCAACTAAACAACTTGTATAGTCATGCGGTTCAAACCAGTCTATTGAGTCTGTTTGACACGTCAAACGCCCTCGTAAATCTGGACCTCAACCCCAAGCAATGAACGAGACAGGAGCAGTGTGAGGAAGAGGCAGTGTGTGTGTGTGTGTGTGTGTGGAGGGATGGGGGGGGGGCGGTAGGGTGGACTAGAGGGTTGTCCTGAGTAACGGAGGCCAGTCCTGGGAACAGGATCACAGCGCCGGTGGGTGAAATAGACAAAGAAATAAAAAAAAAAGCAATGATCTGGAATGCCAGCCGTTTAATCGACCCATCAAAGGATCCCACTGCGTTGCACCAAACCATGGCGAGGTGTGTCAGTCAGAACCCACAGGTCAGAGTCTTGATGGGGTGACGGGAGTTTTTGAGACCCTGTCTTGGGGGAAGGGTCCTGTATAAATGCAAGTTGCTGTTGTGTTTGGAGGCTGATATACGGATGGACACTGGAATCTGAGATCAAGCGTCTTACCCCGGGAGTGAGGAAGAGGTTGATGTGCTTGTGAAGGAGGGCTTGGTTTTGCGGGTTGCCAGCACAGAAGTTCTGCAGAAACTTGTGGGCCAGTTTCATTATCTCTTGCATTCGGAGGTCTTCAGCCTGACGTATAGCGAGAAGACAAAAAGCGGAGACATTACCCAGGTGCAAGGATTCTCTTGGCTTTCCAGCACCTGGAGGCACTTGTATCCTGGTGTATCCTCTCCCGCACCAGGCTCCGTCACCCTATCACCCCCATCCTCGCCTGACTCCACCGGCTTCCCATCACACAGAGGACACAGTTCAAGATCCTGTTCCTCACCTTCAACGCCCTCCATGGTCTTGCTCCCCCCCTACCTCTGCGACCTCCTAACCCCCTACCATCCCTCCGCTCAGCGGGCTCCGACCTGCTTCACGTCCCCCACCTCGCTCGTCCCACCTCGCTGCCAATCTGCCCCCACCCTCCGGAACTCCATCCCGCATTCCCGGCTTTACGGGAAACGGGAGCGAGGGGTACTTCACTTCACGCTAGTTGTCCCTCTGGGCTGGTGAAGGCAGGGGGAACACCCCCACTTAACTATTTCTACCCCCCCCCCCCCCATTACCTACTTTGCGCTGCTTTGGAGGACTCTCAGGTGAGGTCAGGTCAATCCAGCTCCGCACTCTCCACTTCAGTTACTGCCCTTTCAGAGCTACCTCAAAGGCGCCCTGGGCTTTGTGTTAACTGTGTGCTTGCCACCCCATCCCCCCACCCCCCCACCCCCCACCCTCTGAACGCACTGCGGAGATCGTTAGCCCAATCAACCTCCACCCATCCTCACGCACGGTGCGCGCCACAGAGCTGAAATACATCTGCGGGGTTCAAAGGTCAAACTGTGTTTAAAAAAAACACACGGAGCTCGTGATTACCTTAAACCCCCCCACCCCCACCCCCCCACCACACACGCACCACACCCCACGACGCAAGAACAACAAGTTGTATTTGTAAAGCACCTTTCACGTGGGGAGGGGGTCCCAAGGCGCTGGACAATGAGGGGCGGGGGAGGAGGGAAGATGACCTTTTGGGTTCAAACATTGGGTGAGGCCCCGCGAGCGCTTCCTGAACCGCGCAAAGCGACCACACCTTTTCGTACGGGATCTGCAGCAGATCGAGGACCACGGTGTGAGCCCCCATGTTCCGCAGTAACCTCTGCTGCTGTTTCCGGCTCTTCCTGACAGACGAGCCTTCCTGCACGCACAGCTTGCTGAGCCTGATCAGCACCTGCACCGGCCAGGGAAGAGAAAGGGGGGGGGGAGGAAGAGTCAGTGCCAACGGTGAGGGCTGGCTCAGTCACGGATCACAGCCGTCAGCAGCACCCCCCACCCCTCAAGTCGGCGCCTCACCTCCTTTATCACTCGGTAGTTTTTGCTGCTGGTGCTTTCGATCGTGGGCGCCCCCTCCGAACCGGGAGCCTGGCCCTTCGTGAAGTCACCCTGCGGCCACAAACAGAGGCAGCGCGTTGGCTTATAATAACGATGACCTTTGCCGTTCACACCACGAACACGGCTCAGAGGGGATTTTACCGCAAAGGCGACTGACCTGTGCATTTTTGTGGGCGAACGTGAGCAGGTTGGGGGTGGGGGTGGGGGTTGGCGGTGGTGGTTGGTAGGGGGCGGGTGGGGGGGGGTTTGGGGGGCAGGAGGATTGCCAGCCTGCACGACCACAAGAAAACCACAAGTGAAATAAAAGTAAAATAAAACTAAAACAGAGCGGTTTTGCTCTGACTGGGAGATCGACGGACCGTGCCTTTGTTTCCAGGTCGAACGAAACGCCGGCAAACAAAATATCCGCATCGCTTGCGGTGATTACCAAGTTGCTGGGACAGGAGCACGGCTGCTCTAACCACGGAGAGACAACTAACTATAGGGCAGGTCCCAAAGAACACGGAGCAACTTTGTATTAACTCTGCGTTGACAGCTCATTAGGAGCCCCTGCAGGACGAGACACCCTTCACAGGATGAACGGTTCACAGTTGGCCTCGGGTTCTCAAAAGGGATGAGTTTTACCTCCTTGTTCTTCTTCAGCTCGTTGCTGCTTGGCACACTGTCGCCCCCCTCCATGCCCTCGTCCGAAACCTGCCCCTTGAAGACCCACAGCTCGGATTTCTCCACCAGCAGCCTCAGCTGGTCCAAGTCGGCCTTGATCTGCTTGTAGTTCTCCACGTCCTGGCTCGTCACCAGCAGCTGGACCTTTTTGAGGCATCGGGAGAGACGTTTAGTTCCCAACCGTCCCGTCTTAACAAGCCCTCCCGATCCGTACACGTTCTGCCGTTGTGCTCTCAACAACAAGTTACATTCGCACGGCGACTTTCCCCGTCAGGAGGACGTCCCAAGGCGCTGGGTAGTCAGGGATCCGCACCCGAGCTGGTGGTTGGGATCAGGAGGGTTGGAGGGCGGGGAGAGTAGGGGTAGGGAGGGTGACCGAAGGCGCAGTCGAAGAGGAGGGTCTCGAAGGACCCAATTTATTCACAAATCTAAGACAATCACTCTGGATACTGCCGTTGGGTTAAGCTAGTTTGGATTTGAGGTGACGGGGTTCTGGGTTCGATTCCCGGTGAGTCAACATCCCAGCAAAATCCCTCTATTCAACCTCCAACAGCAACGACAACAACAATGACTTCAACTTGCACGTACACGCCACTGTTCACGGAGGAGAATGCCTCGAAGCTCTTTGCAGAGCCAGAGTTGGAGCAGGAGGAGTGGGCTGAGCGATAGCATTAGGACCACCTGCTTAGGTTTACCTGCTTCTCCCCCCTGCCCCACACAGTGAAGCTCTCTCAGGGATCCTCACTGTTTTATGTATATCAGTAGTCGGTACAGACCTCACACACACACACACACACACACACACACACTTCAGGTACCTGTTTAAATGCTTGAAGGACCTCTTGCCTCTGACTGAAATGTCTGAAGAGGAGGTGAAGAGCGCCCGAGACAAGTGGGGGGTAATCGTGCATGGTGAGGTGCAGCAGGACCCGGAGGAACGTCCGACCACCATGGTCATCCAGGTCCAAGGGCGTGTTCTCCTCACTGTGGGAAACAAAGCCAGCAGCTTTCCACATTATTCCACACTTCACAGCGATCGTCATACAAACAATTGAAGCGCTTTGAGGCGTCTAGAGTGATAAGACGCTGTATCAAATGTAAGGATTATTATTAGTAGTATTAAATAGAACCAATAATAATCCTTGCATTTGATACATCTCCATTGCTGTCGAAACGTCTCAAAGTGCCTCACAGCAATTGTTATTAAGGGTAGTGACTGTAATAGTATTTTTGCAGGTGAAGGCAGCAGCCAATTTGCACATAGCAATGCCCGATAAACAGCCAGGAGGTGAATGACCGATTTTATCTGGCGGTTCAGGTGGCCAGGACGCTGGGAGAGAGAAATTACCCCGGGGCTAGCAACAAAAACAAGGGCCTAACCCAATCCCCCAAAACTCTCGCCATCCCCTTCAGGTAACAAAAAATACATGACTATACACAGCATCGCATCGTATTCATGTGCAAGCTGCATTGAGGCAAACCTACCTTCCACCAAAGATCCCTTCTGCCTGCTCTTCGATGTGTTCAAAATCTAACGTGCCTGTGAGATCAAACGTTCACTGTGTAAAGCTTCTCAGAAATACAAGCGGGCGGAAAGTGTTCCTAAAGGCTGTGTGTTTTGTGGGTGATCCAAAAAGATCTACTGGGCTCCAACACATGCAAATTTATGCTTACGCAGGGTATTTCACGTCGGGAGGATGTCCCAAAACGCCCGACATTAACTGGTTGGGAAGCCGAGCTGGGGAGCGGGAGCTGAGGGTAGTGGGGAGAGGAAGGGACAAGTGACCGACAGTGGGTCAAAGAGCTCGGTCTTGAGATGGACCATGAACGAGGCGATGGGTGTCAGAGCAGAAAGGGAGAAGAGGAGGGAGGGAGGAAGTCGGGGATTGGAGTTCCAGAGCGTGGAGGGCAGAAAGTCTGAAAGCCCACCTGCTGGTGGTAGGGCAGGCAGCTTGGGGGGTTGGGGGTTTATGTCCACTGAGCTAACCAACCGAGCCCTTGCTCCGAAGTGACCCGGATACAAACCTGGGACGTTGCTGGGTCCCTCAGAGGAAGAGGATCCTAAACTCGGTGGCGAGTCTACGGTCTGGGCGTTGCTCTCATCAAACTCTCGCTTAAATATAGACAGGAGGCAGGAGATTCGATAGTCTAAGCGGACGTTCAAAATAAACTGGAAAGAAAGCAGCGGGATTGAAAGAAAGAGGGTTTTAATAAGCAGTTTACAGATAGTTCAAGCAAGCCGGGAATCCCCCGATACAATGGATTTAACACCCTGATTAGTGACTGAGCCACTCTCGGCAACAGTTATAATTAAGGACGTTATCTTTAATGTATCGGAGACACGTGATCATTTAGTTCCATGTTGAAGTGTGTTAAAAGGGACAGGCAACGGCGACTCTGAAAGCCGCAGTTATCTAAAGACTACATTCAGTATGTTATTCTGTAGCTGCACCAGTTAGAGTGAGTGAAGTCGACCACCTGTCACAGTCACTACACTTCTGGCCGGCTGACTGGCTCACCTGAAGGATCTCGATCGTCTTTAGCTTGGTGTCCATCACCAGGATGTCCTCCTTCTCTGGCTCGGCCTGCGGCTTGGTGGTCCCGTCCTGGGGCGCGATGGGGGTCAGAGGCAGAAACCCACCTCCCCTCAGGACCACCTGGGTCATCAGCTCTCCCACTCCGTGAATGGATCGCATAACATTGCTGCCTGCAAAGTACACAGACACACACACACACATTGACTGGTCAATGCAGCTGGGTCCTGGTGAGTGGGGGATCCCATCAATCCCAACTGCGGAAATGGTTTCACATAACAACAACAACAATAATAATTCTTGCATTTGATACAGGGCCTCATCCCTCCGCCGAGACGTCTCAAAGCGCTTCACAGAATATACTGTAAAGTGGAGTGACTGTGTATTTTGTGGCCAGCCAATTGCGCACGGCAAGTGTCCCACAAACAGTCGCGGATTGAGCGACCAGGTTTTTTTTTTGAGGGATTATTACCCCCGTAAAGCGATCCACCAATTGACTAACAACCAGGTTCCCTCTTACTGCGGGTTAAACAGAGGCGCGTGGAGTGAGGAAACTCGCCTAAGGTTTCTCCCTGCCCCGCCCGGGGATCGAACCCGGGTCCTCTCGCTTGCGAGGCGAACGCACTAACCACTACGCCACGGGACTGCACAAACTCGACGGGCTCGTACCTCGGCTGTCATCTCCTTTCACCATCTTGCTGATGGGGAAGATGGTTGCCATGTGCACGCAGTCCAGGATGGCCAGTAGGATTTTGGTCAACCGCAAGAGATCGCTGAAGCTGTAGAAGCCAAAGTAGATCAGATTCCGAGCCAAGTTCACAACCTGCAAAATAGAGAGAGAGAGAAAAAAAAATCGCTTGATTAATAACCCCATTATTTCTGGGTGGGGGGGGGGAAGCCAATCCAAGACTGTTTGTGGGAGACGCAGCCGGGCGCAATTGGCTGCAGCGTTTCACCCACAAAATAGACAGTCACTCCGCTTTACCGTATATCCTGCGAAGCGCTTTGAGACAGTCTCGACGACCTGATAAGGCGCCGTATCAAACGGAAGGATTATTATTATTATTATTATCATAATAACATCCAGGTCAAATAATTCTGCGCCAGAGCTCTGCCAATTGGCAGAGCAATGCGGTCGCTAAGAAGATAGATTAAAGTCAAATCGATCTGGAGGGTTTGAGGCAGGGAATCTTTTACGGTCAGGGGGTGGGGGGATGAAGGCACAGCACGACCAACGTTGATGGAGTGGAGGTGGGGGGGGGGGTGTCGGCAGACAAGCTGCATAAACTACGGAGCGGATGCATTTATTTACCTCGAATGTCAACTTGTTCTTTTCCTTGTCGGAGAAGGGAAATCTCTGGCAGACCACGTCTCTCAGGTACTCCTCCACAAACGCCATGGTTTGCGCGAAGCGCTCTTTTATCTCGTCTTTCGAGGCCGCGCTGGAGTCGTAGCTGTTCGGGTGAGGAACAAGTAAGAATGACCTCAACGCAATCCGCAGGCCACAGCTCATGGGTCACCTGTGCGCGCTGAGCACTTGTGTGCACCCTTTGGCCAGTCCTGCCATGGACTTGCGAGGAACATAGGAACGGGAGTAGGCCATTCAGCCCCTCGATCCTGTTCCGCTATTCTATTGGATCACCCTGCACCTCAACACCCTTGTTACCCTGACCTAACAACTATCTAACCACTTCAGTCTTGAAAATTTGCATCCGGAGTCTTCTGCTGGAGAGTTCCAGATTCCCACTTCCCTTTTGTGTGAAAAACTGCTTCCTGATTCCATTCCTAAATAGCCAAGCTCTCATTTTCAGATGATGCCCCACCTTGTTTCTGGATTCCCCCCACCCACCAGAGAGGAAACAGTTTCTCTGTAGCGACCCTATCGAAACCCTTTACATTTTAACCACCTCAATCAGATCATCCCTCGAGCTTTTAACCTCGAGGGAATGTCGACCCCTTCAAAATCCGCTTCTTATTTGTATCACTCTGCGATTTGGTGTCGGAATTAATCCGATCCAATACAAGATTATGCTGGGTTAGCGCCTTTCACGTTGGGAGGACGTCCCTAGGCGCACGTGTTTGTTTCCGCAATGACTGTGTGTGGTTGCGGAGGAGGGAGAAGCACTTACTCATCAATGGCGATTTGCGAAGGGATTTCTGACCACAGGCGGGCGTACTTGACTGGGGTGACCTGCTCCTGGGGGTCTCGATCTACGTGCATGTGTAGCATCAGGCGGCAGAAAGAAGCCCTCAGGTCGTAAGGCAAGTTCTCGTCAGACATACAGCGGAGAATCAGATCCACGTCCAACTGCCCCGACACTGCATTGATAGCTAAGTACTGCCGGTCCAGGCACATTCTAGCGAAGAGGTTCAGCTGGTATCTGGGGGGGGGGGGGGGGCGGGGGAGAGCGACGGGAAGACAGAGGGGGAGAGAGAGAGAGAGAGAGAGAGAGAGAAAGGTTACAAATATGATGTTAGGAGAATTTTTCCAATTGGATTCAATATACATTGAAGATAATAACAATAATCCTTGCATTTGATATAGCGCCTTATCGTGCCGTTGAGACGTCTCAAAGCGCTTCAAGGAATATACTGTAAAGTGGATTTACTATGTATTTTAGTGGGCGAAACACGGCAGCCAATCACACACAGTAACGACCCATAAACAGTCGTGGCTCGAGTGACCAAATTATTATTATTATTTTCCGAAGGAATTATGACTCCCGGAAAAGCGATCCGCCAATAGACCATTAACCAGGTTCCTGCTTACTGCGAGGTGAACAGAGGCGGGTGGAGAAAGGAATCTCGCCTAAGATTTCGCCCTGTCCTGGAATCAAGCCGGGTCCTCTTGCTTGCGAGGGAGGCCACGCTACGGGACTAAAATCTTATGACAGAGCTAACCGATGGTTTTGACCCTTTGGGTAATTGCCGGCAATGAAAATCTCTCTCTCTGTCGGGTGTCCCAGTTTACGCTACACTAACCTGTAATAGCTGAGCACCTCCTGGTCTTCCTTCTGACCCTCCTTGGCATCCTGCGCCAACTCACGGATGCTCTTGCTGCGTAGCTCTTTACAGCCGTCGTTCCAAAAGAGCCAGACCTCCTCGTCCTCCCCCACCTCCAGCCGGCTCTCCCCACCGTTCTCCACCTCAAACTCCACCCGGGACAGGACCAGTCTGCGAGGAGAGGAGAGGAGAGCGTCAATGGTATAAATTTCTATTCATAGAAAACAAGATCACTAACACCAAGAGCCTGGCTCCAGGCAGACAGTCTCCAATATTAAATTACTAATAGGTCAACGCGGCTTTGAAGTAAAGTGAATTATATGAGCAAACAGGAGGTTTCCTTATTGCAAGTCAAGTCATTATTTCATTATCATTTATTCAGCACCAATTTGCACTTATGCAGCCCCCATCCCACAGGATAGCGGCTCGGAGCATTCCACGGTGTCAGGGTTGGAACGCCGAGAAAGGGAGAAGAGGAAGGTGACCATAGGCGCAGTGGAAAGCGACAGGATTTATAGAATAAAGAGGAGGCGAGGCAGAGGGATGGAACTAATTCTACGTTTTATTATCCGTGACAGTCTGTGAATGGAGTTAGTTAGTACTCGATTCATCCTGCATTAGAAGGATGATCTCGTGTTAAACCTGGCTCCTAACTCACATGCCAACTGGTGTCTCAACACGTGGCAGTACGGTTAAGAAGCAATGGTGGTATAAGCACAAACACAGAAGCGTTGAGGCCCTGACAGCCAGGCATTACGTACTTGGTCTCGATGAGGATGTCCCCGTTGGCTGGATTGAGCACGGCCTTGCAGATGAGCTCCTGGGTGACGGGAATAGCCGTGTTGTTGGACACACACAAGTCCGAGAGATAATCCAGAAACCTGAAGGTGAGCAATGGGTTTCAAGTTTGCAAAGAATTTACACAGAATCTACAGCACGGAAACAACAGCAACAAATTACATCTGCACAGCGCCTTTCACCCCAGACAAAGCGCTGTACAGTTAGGGATATAGGCCACTATACAGGCCCAATCAATCCGTGCCATTCTTTACACTCCACACAAGTCTCCACCCATTCCTTACCCCCTCCTTACCCTTCTCTTTCCCTCTCCCTCATGTAAAGGTCTTGCTTCCTCTTGAGTGCATCTACGCCATCAGATTGAACCACCGTTTCAGGCAGCGAGTTCCACAACCTCACCGTCCTCTGGGTGAAGTAATTCCTCTTAAATTCTCTTTTGAATCCCTCTAGTCGCTATCATATTTGTGTCCTTAGTTACCGACTCCCCGACCAGTGGAAACATCCTATTTATGTTAACCGTTTCGAATCCTTTTATAATTTGAAACCCTTTCAATTAAGTCCCCCCTTAAAGGTCTCTCCTCCAGTGAAAGAAGGCCCAACTTATGCAGTCTCTGTCTCGGCAGTAACCTGGTATCATCCTCGTAAACCTACGCTGTAATCTTTCCAATGCAGTTATATTCTTCTCACAGTGAGGAAGGAGACTGTGAGAATTGGACACAATACTCCAAATGTGGGCTAACCAAGGTTTTGTGTAAAATATTAAAATAGAACCCGTGTTAGAAGGATGAGTATCAGTTAAATGCACAAGAATGAAGCATTAGTAAAAAAAAAAATGGGCGGGTGGGGGGAAGAATTATACAAGTAAGATGTTACACCTGCATTTCTAGCTGATCTCTCTAATCTTGAGTGATTGATGAATTCCTTCCCATCACCCTTCTTCTGACTGTGACCTCCTGCCTTGATGGATAGTCTCGAGGCAAATTACATTGCGGGCCAAGTTTATGTGTCGTTGTGTCTGTGGTCACAAGCTTCTTTAGTCTTGCAGGGCGCCCTTTCCTGGCACATTTTAATTGAGAAGAAAGGTGGAACGCAAGGGTTCGACTGAAACTGGTGCTTGCACGTCAAGTGAGCAACACTGAGCATTCCCAGTGTTAGCACGTCCAGCACAGCTCGCTGCTTGGCTACCTGGTTTATTGCAGAGCAATAATAAGATGAATATCTACCTGATGTATTGGGGAGTCACAGTAGATGTACGCTGTGCGAGGTGGGGGGCGGGGGGGGGGTTCCGACAAGCTCACTTTGATCGCGAAGCTTGTGTTGGGCAATTTGTTCGGTAATGCACAAGGCTAAGGTCATTCCGGAAAATAACACCAGCAAATCAACAGAAGATCACCAGAAACTGACACTTGTATTGTGTCAGATGAAGCAGAACGCACCCCAGGTTTTTCAGCTCAATGTCACGCACACATCACTCATTGTGAAGGTGGTCACCATAGCCTAGTGAGTCTCAGGCATGTTTTTTTTTCCCCCCCCGCGTGTGATGTGCGAGTAGTTGGAATTAAATCCCACGTTTTAAAATAAGAATTCGCAAGAGAGGTTCGAATGAAGAAGGCCCTTCAGCCCAATCGATCTCATCCTTCCAGAATGCCTACCCGACTGACCTTTCCTTAAACGAGTCCCAATATTCTTGCCTCATCTGTCCTTCCTGGTTGACCCAGTCTGGTAGTCAACAACAACAACTTGCATTTATATAGTGCCCCTCACATGGGGTAGCATTCCAGACCATTCAGGCTGCCTTCAAGAGGCCACATCCCAGTGCCCACCTGACCAGCTCACCTCGGCTCTCGGTTTTTCCTGACCAGGCTGACGAAGGTTTCGATCTCGGCCGCCGTGATGTGCTTTTCCAGGAGTTTGCGGTTGTTGTGGAGCAGAGCTGTGATGGTGTCCTCGGCCAGCACATCATACCCGATCTGCTTCTGCATGAAGCCAAACTGCTTTGCAATGTATTCCTGGGGAACGCAATACAATGCTGTTAACGTTTATACAACAACGACAAAATGACATTTGTAACAGCGCCTTTCACGTCGGGAGGACGTCCCAAGGCTCTGGACAGACAAGAGTTTCGGACCTCATCAAAAAATGTCTCAGAGCGTTTCACAGCATGTTACTGTACAGTGTAGTGACTGTATTTTGAAAGTCAATGAGGCAGCCAATTGCGCACAGTAACATTCTCGCAAACAGCTGCGAAATGAATGACCAATTTTATCTGGGAGATTATCAGCTGACAACTGTCACAGTGGATAGGATCCTTCAGTTGGGTTCTGGACCAGGCAAGCAGTGGAGCATTTTACCAGCAAACAAAGCATTGGGGCTTTTACCTGGTTCTTCCTGTAGTCCTGCTGTGAGTGCCTGAGGACCCGGTAACATAACCTGCAGATATGGCGGAAAGGAGCGTGCCTCTGGTCTCCCAGCTCCTCCAGCCTCAACATGGGTCCGTCACCACTGTCAGTGAATGGTGCTTGAAGGAGCTTAAAGATCTGGGGAGTGGGGTGGAGAGCGAGCGAGAGGTAAATCAGTCACCAACAAAGTTAATGCCAAACACGTCCACTAAAAGAGAAGTCTGTTTCGGGCTGGGATTGAATTGAGCGCTGCTTCACCTGCTTCAGGATGTTCTGCTCTCTCATCAGCTTCTGCCGCTCCCGGTTGGGTTTGTTGATGATCACCTCCAGCACATCCTGGGCAGAGTTTGGCACGTCAGCCACAAAAAACACCAAGTCTTCTAGAAGCTTCGTCACAAATCTGATACACACAGACAGACAGAGAGACAGACAGAGACACAGAAACAGACAGACACACGAGAAAAAAGTTAAAGTTGTCCAAACTTCAAGTTGACATGAGAGCCGAACGCTGAAAGTTTACGATTACACAACAGCTTGTATTTATACAGCGTCCTTCACCACAGGTCAGCATCTCGGAGCAGTGAAACATGAGTGCCATTTATGCAAAATAATTTCCACCGACCGCCTGAGCCACAAAGACGCGTGTTAAACGTCAAAACCTTTGGCAAATGCTGCCCAGGAATCGAGCCCCGGGTCCTCCCGCTTGCAAGGCGAGCGCGCTAACCACTAGACTCCTCAGTTTAAAGCTTTGCCTACCGTCGTTCATTCTGAGTTATGGTGCCCTTCTCCAGCTTCCCGGCGATGGATGCCAGCACTTTGCTGGCATCGTTGGCAAAGTCCAAGTCTCTGACTTCAGCCGGTGAAACCGGGACGATGGCAAACGCTTCCTTATCCTCTTTAGTTGGGGAAGTGCCGATCTATGGTGAGAGGAAACAGTCACAGCCTCGTCATAACACAAAAGCCTCCTGGCTCGCTGGTGGCTTAATAATAACAATAACAACTACAAGGTGACCAAAAAGTTGCAATACCATTAAAAATGTCTAATAAGTCTGATGATGAATATGTATATATATATTTTTTTGATAATAGGATAGATGTGATGACTCTTTGGTCACCCTGTACTTGATGGAGCACCCATTGCATCAAATATCTCAACACGATTCACAAGGGCCTTGGCGGACAAAGGCAGAAGCCAATCTGCACACCTAAGGCCCTGCAAACATGATGTGAATGAATCGTTTATCCGGAGGATTGTTGGCCAGGACACTGGGAGAAACTCCCTTCTCCTTTTGAATAGTGTTATGATAGTAATCCTTGCATTTGGTTACGGGATTTGGAAGATCAACCGTGGTTTAACATGTGAAGGACGTCACTTGTGTACATGGAGCACGTGCCCAGCACCGCACTGGGCCAACACTGTGAGCTCAAAGTCCCCGTTGGTGGGAGTGCTGAGGTCGACTGAACAGTTACCTTGAGCATAACGGGCCTTTCTTCATCTTTATCTATTGGCAGATTGGTGCTGTGAACCCAAGTGTTGGTGCACAGATGTCGGAGCCTGACGTAGGAGTTTCTGAAAGACAAAGAATGAAATGCAGAGTCAAGTGCAATGCCCTACATTGGCCCTGCACTTTACACCTGTTAGTGTGAGATACAGACTCTAAGATGCCTGAATCACAAGGCAAGTACTGTACACGGTGCTCACAAAGTTCTGGTACCCCCTCCCTGATGTGGCATCAAACATGGCGGTGGATCAGTCAGTATCTGCCACGAAAACGATGGCGCTCCCACACACTCGCACACTCTCACACACACACTGATCCTCTGGACGTCTAAATACAGTTAAACACTTGTATTGCATACGACAAAGTACTTCTAAATACAATGATCATCTTCCACATGTTTCAGTTGTTGGTCAGTGCCCGTGTAGGAAAGAAAAAGACATGGGGGAGTAACAGGACTTTGTGAACACCCTGTAGAATGCCAATGAGTTAAATTAGCTAATCCCCTGGTTAACTGAACTAACGATTGTTCCATTAACACGGCACAGTAATACGATTTAGAATACGTGGCTATTTAACAGCTAAATCCTTTGAGAGGCCATACGTATACCGCTGAACAACAAGTTATCACTAAATTGATTGCCTGTGAGCCGGTGATGCTCAGCACATGAGATGGGAGGGATGGGAAAAAAAAACAGTAGGGGAAGAACTTGTGGCAATGAGTTTCCCAACGTTACTTCGACATGTTGTTGGTGTTTGTAACAAGGCTCGTTAGGCCTCCACACAAGGCTTTGTCTGTTGAGACAATTTTAATAATAATCTTGCATTTGATATAATAATAATCATCCTTGCATTTGATATCGCGCTTTTCACGTCTTCTCGACGTCGCAAAACGCTTCACAGGATATCTGTACAGTGGATCGACTGTATTTTGTGGGCGAAACCCGGCAGTCGATTGCACACAGCAGCGTCCCCATAAACAGTCGTGGATAGAAGTGACCAATTTTTTTGTTTGAAGGAATTATTATCCCCAGAAAAGCGAACCGCCAATCAACTAACAACTGGGTTCCTATTTACTGCTCGGTAAACAGAAGCGTGTGGAGTTAGAAAACTTGCCCAACATTTCGCCCTGCCAGGGAATCGAACCCAGGTCTCTCGCTTGCGAGACAAGTGCTCTAACCACTGAGCTGCAGGACTCCGATGCACGGGCTGGGTTTGGCTGGGCTATTGATCCGGCCGGACATACCTGGGTACAAGGGAGTCGCCTCTTTGTAGAGTGGTCGTGTCGAGTTCGAAGATGGAGGAGATATCATTGCCATCGGGTACGGAGACCAGAGTGTACATCACCTTCTCCTGGGCGCTACGGATGCGGTTCCTCAAGGCTTCCTGGTCAGAATCCATCTGACGTGGGTGGACAACACACACGCACCGTTTAAACCTCAACAGCATCGGTCGAGAATGAGGCCGAGCTCGCAGGCACATGGATCAAATAATAATAATAATCCTTGCATTTGATACAGCGCCTTATGGCATCTTCGAGACGTCTCAAAGCGCTTCACAGAATACACTGTAAAGTGGATTGATGGTATATTTTGTGGGCGAAAGTGAGGACCGCGATGACTCTGTCCTGGATTAAAAATCCACATTTTTTTCCGAAAAATAAAATGGACGGATTAATCCGCATCCAATTGACACTCTCCCAGCCCTCATTCCAATTGGGGGGAACGGGGAATTGGTCATAGGTCTACAGTAATAATCCTTGCATTTGATATAGTGCCTTATCATGTCGTCGAGACATCTCAAATCACTTCCCAAAGGATGCTGAGATCACTGTATAAGGCCATTGTAGACTGAGCTGCACACGCTGATAATTTGCTCATCCCTCAGCAATATCGCGAGAGATTCAGATGAAAGTTGAACCCACTCGATCTCGTCCTTCCAGAATACCCGCCATCCCATCCCATCCTCCCGTTACAGCAGCAAGTTGTTGCTTAAGAAACAAAGTGTCCTGACCTCGACCAACCTTTCTTGCTAACCTGTTCCAGTCGTTAATCACACACCGTGTAAAGAAACATTTCTCGTGGTGTCTCGAAATTGCCCTCTTTACAACTCTGAACCCGGGACCTCTTTGCCCTGCTGTATCTGCAAGAGGGGCTTCCTGGTTTCCTTACTCAATCCCGTGTAGCAACTCATACACCTCTGTCTAGAACATTTTACCCAACTGTTCTCAGAGTTTGTATTGAACCTCAATAGTAAAATTGGGGTCAAGGCCTTTCTTGAAGTGAGTCAGGCTACAGTCACTACTCATCACTGTAGTAGGTGGAGATCAAGAAGGTTAGTTGAGACACTGAAGGGGTGTTGTGTTGACCTCCACGTCTGAAATAAATAAATAAATTGACGTTCTACTCCCTGCTGCTGTCGGGTCAGACAATCCCAAATTGTTCAATGAACAGTGAATAGAAAACGTGGAGAATATTATAGTAACTATCTGTGCGAAATTTTCAAATGCCAGAAAACGGACTCTTTCGTTATCTGAAACCCATCTTCTCAAGAACAACAACGCGACGGATATTGAAACCTATTAAAATAACTGTGAGTTGCAAAGCTGTAAATAAACCGACGAGAGAGACCCAGACAGAATATAGTCAACATTAATGGGGACCGAGTGAAAGCTGGGACACAAGGGTGTCCCCTAGTGCTGGGGCTGTGTATTTCACCAAAGCCGGAGCTGGCCTCGAGCTGTCTATCTGTCTGTCTATATCTGCAAGACCCCATCAAAAGACATTCATTCATCTGCCCCTATTGTCCATCTCAGTGGTTCGCCCAAATGTACAGCCCATGTTTAACAACTTGCCCAAGCATCACAGATACATCCACTAAAGAGAAACAGCTACTCTGCCATCTTCCCAGGGGCACATTTACTCATCAAGTGAAGGAAATGCCAGCACTTTCCCCCTCTGTACACCTTCCTTACAACTGTCTCCACTGACAATTCTTTACACCAAGTGTTACTGTTTTAAGTCTCTCCCCGAAAATACTGGGTTGGGTGGTGGGGGGGTGATTTGGTAATTAATAAGCATCCGTTTCCTCTAACATCAAGTCAATGAAAGGAATGATCATACAGGCAAATTAACCCTTGCTCCGCAGAAACGAACAGGATGCTGAGTGAGAAAGTGTAGAGCAAGACAAGCTTAGAGCGAAAGAGTTGCCATATTAGGAAAACTGGAGTGCGCAGGGCGGGGAAAGAAAGGAAAAAAAAAAACACAGGGTAAAGGAAGACAGCGTGGATTAGTGAACCAGAAATCATCTCAAAACGGTTTGGGTCACGACATATCATGCGGCTGCCAGGATAGTGGAAGGTAAACTAGAAGGTGGTCTTCTATCGTCTAGCACATTCTTATGCTCTTAGAGCAAGACAGCGTGTGTGAAAGCCCTCAGCCCCCCAATCATTTACCCCTCAGCCCCCTCAGCCAGTTACCCCTCAGCTTTCTCACCCAACGTAGAAGATGCCAGTTGTTAAACGACAGAGAGAAAAAGAGCGATCACAGAATACAAGACTAAATCTCTGAAGATCACACTATATTGGTGGTAGGTTTCCAGGCTCCAATTCTGGGCACAATGCTTTTCTTTTTACAAACAAAAAAGGGAATTCAAACATCAACACTTTGGTGGTAGTGAGGGGGGGGTTAGTGGTCAATAACACCTATCACCCCGCGTGGCTTTGGGGGTAACAGAATGCACACGAGCAAGAGAGAGAGAGAGAGAGATCCCAATCGCCAGTCACTTTCAGTGTTCTCGGTCTCACTTACTGATGAACGCGACTCTTGACACTCTTCCTGGTAATCTGGAATCGCCTGCGAACACAGATGGATTTAGGCACAGGTTGACGCATTTGCTCAGAGGGTAAAAATGGCATTTCGGAAGAAACGAGAGAGAGAGAGAGAGAGAGAAAGAGAGAGAGAAACGCACATTCCCACCAACCTCGGCAGCCAGGTAATTACCAGTGGCCAAGTGTTTGAAGCGGAACAGGCTGTTCCAGTGCCCAGCTCCTCCCCGGCACGGGTCATGTTGCACCACCTGGAGCGGAGCAAAAGCAGGACATCTGATCAGAACCGGCCTTTGCCATTTCTCTCAAGTAAAAGCATTGCCATATGCCTTACGTTAGGTATTAGGGCCCTTCGCATCGGGAGGACATCCCAAAGCACTTCACGGGACAATAATAATCTTCGTATTTGATATTGCTCCTGATCACGTCTTCAAGACGTCTCAAAGACAGGTCAATTGGTACACTGTGAAGTGCAGTGACTGCGTTTTGTGGGCAAACTCACCAGCCAATTTGTGCGCAGCAACATCCCCACGAACAGCAATGAAATGAGTGGCCAATTTTTCTTTGGGGCATTGTTGGCCAGGACACCAGGAGAGAGAGAGAGAGGGAGAGAAACTCCCTTCTCTTTTCAACGAGTGCAATGGGATCTTTAACATCCACCTGAATGGTGGCCTTGGTTTAACTTGTCATCCAAAGGACGGCATCTCCAACGGTGCAGCACACCCCCAGGACTGCATTGGAGCGTCAACTTAGATCGCATGAGTTCCAAGACCTGGAGCACAGCTTAAACTTACAATCAGCAAGCCTTTAGGTGCAGAGAACCACCCAGCTGGCCAAGCTTTGGTATCCGTGCTCAAAAACTGCGTTAATCACAAAGCACATTCTGTGCCCATTTAAGGAACGTCATTAAAATGTGTTTTCAAATATCTCTTCCCTTCTCCATCTACCGCACACCCTCCTTCCCTCCCTCCCTCTAACCCCGTTCCTTTCCGGGGCTCCCGAATAATGAATGTAAAACTTGACTTAAAAAAGTTCCGGGATCTTAAGATTCTCGCTGAACTGAACGTCAAAACTGATCGGTCCTTTCCGGGCTGACTCATTGGGGTTATTGGCTCTGAACTGGGACAGTGTCCCACCATTGAATCTACTCTCCATCACCTGCAAACAGCAAGGGAGGAGGTTGCTGCAATCTTCTCTGTGTGTGGGTCTTAAACTGTGCTGAAATTATAGGCTCAAGAGCATATTTCACAGCCACTGAACTAGAAAATCAAAGCAGGGGGATTTTCCTCTGAATGAGTAATGTAATCGGATAAGCATGGCTCGGGTCAATAGGCAAGGGTACGCCTTGGTGAGGAGACTGACTCACCCTCCGCACGTAGAGTGCCAGGAATTCAGACCCACTCACTGCAAAATGTTGGAACGGAGGCGTCGTTTCTCAAAGGCTCTTCAAAAATCAGTGGACTGAGAAGGAAGCTGGATAAGAACAGAGCAGTGGGAAGTCTGGACAAGCGAACGAGGCACGTCTGGAGAAGGATCCCACTCAGGGCGAGATCTCCTCTAATGATGTATCCCCCCAGAATTCAGACAAATTCCTTAAACGCAGCCTTAGCTCTGGAAGCCGGTATTCCACAAGGACGGCAGAGAAAATGGATGGCTTCAAAGTCGAGATTGAATTGGAACAGTTTGTCCTGTTGCGGACACCCAGGAACAAGAGTAAAATCTAGATGCGGGTGGAATGACTCTCCTGTTAATTTCACATCATTATAACTGGTTTGAGTTTCCCCCGAAAGTACAGATTCCAACGCCACAGGGAAGATTTAACAGCTCAGGCCCAATCTTCTTTCTAATGGACATGTGATGCATTATTTATTGACTGATTGATTGACCGACTGGCTAATTGACCGACTGGCTAATTGACCGATTGACCGACTGACTAATTGACCAACTGACTAATTGACCAGCTCAACCTACCTCAACCTCCCACAACGCCTTGGAACTGGTGGCTGAGGTGGCAGACTGACGTCCTGTTGTGCGCAGAAAGACATACTGCTTTTTCCGATACTCATCGCAGGTCAGGAACTTCTCCTGTTCGGCATGAAATAACCTCACAACGTCGCCCTGCAGGTGAAAGCCGATTAGCCCAATTATTAACAACAACTTGCATTTATCTACGGAGCCCGTAATGGTTTCGGAGACTGACACCGAGCCGGTGATGGTGGGGGGGAGGGAGGGAGTAGGTGGCCCTAAGCCCGGTCGAAGAGGAGGGTCTTCTAAAAGCGGGGAAGGAGGAGACGAAGCAGAGGGATTGAGAGAGAGAGAGTTCCGAAGCTCTGGGGCGTAGTGGCTGAAAGCACATCCGCCGACTGTGAGGCGGAGGGACGAGCAGGAGGCCAGAGCCAGCCAAGCGGAGACAGCGGGTTGTGGAGTGGGGATACGCAGGCCGGATAGATAGGGAGGTGCCAGAGCGTGAAGGCATTTATAGACCGGTGAGAGGATCTTGAAACTGTTCCGTTATGCTATTGACAGAAGAGGAGATTGCGCAGCTGCCTTAGACGAGGAGGCGAGCGACAGAGGAGGGAAAAAAAATCCATTCCCTTTCCTTGGAGGCTGTTCGGAAATATCGCAAAAATATCCCAACTCACTCCTTTCAAAATATCTTCTTTGTTATCGCTCCATTTCATGAAAAGGACGATTTTCCAGCTGGTGTTGCAGTTCACAGAGTTTACCTGAAGACAACGGGAATGTGGCTCAGTCAAACGGACTGAGAAAAAGGTGCTTGTCGAAGCCCTTCGACCGGAGGCACATTCCTGCCCGAATACAATGATAGAGTCAACGCAGAGTGCACCTATTAAACCTTTACCAACCTTTCCACTCCCTCTGTTCTGCAGGCATTGGCCTGTTTCACATCCCCTCGCCCTGCCCGCTCCACTGTCAGCCTTTCCGCACCCACCCTTTGGAACGCTGTCCTGGAGCCCCTCCGCCTTCGCCCCCTCCCTCGCCTCCTTCAAGGCCTGTCTTAAGACCTTCCTTTTCGACTGAGCCTTCAGTCATCATCCCTCCTGCACCCCACCCCTCCCTGATCCCAATCCGCAGCTGGGGTGCAAACCTCTCGTCCAGCGCCTTGGGAACGTCCTCCCGACGTGAAAGGCGCTGTGTAAATACAACTTGTTGTTGGTGTTGAAGAACAAGCTCAACAAGGAACACTCATTACAAACCGAGCAGCCAATTCCAGTCGATACGTACAGTTAGTGCAGAGAAATGTAGGAGAAGAGTTAACATGTCAACAGGGGCAAAAGCCAAGTCAATGCTTGGCCCCAATAATTAGGTGACGTGACTTCCAACTGGTGATCTGCTGAAGGTAACGGTGTGCGCTGGCTCCTAGCTGATAAAAGACCATCTCTGGAGCTACGATGCTCCCCCGTCAATGCGATACTGACCAACCGGGTCTGGCAGAGAGTTAGTTGCTGAGCCGAAATTGCTTTGGACGTTACCTCTTTACACCCGGCATTGTCGACCAACTCGCAGTTGCTGGCGTGAAGGGGCTGCCCTGCGTTGACTGGGTTCAGGACCACTTTATCCCCAATCACAACCTGGAGAAAGAGAAGAAAACAGGACAACATTCGAGTCTCCGAGGAAACAAACTCTCATCGCACTGACTCCTTTGCTGGTTAGTCTTGAGCCGCGATCGTCGAGAAGAAAAGAAATCTCAGCCACTGACGTTTCCTCGTGTGGGGATGTTTTGTAAGAGAATGAGAGGGAAGTGGGGGGTGGGTGGGGGGAAATACTGGTGTCAGCATCGGTGTTTAAGATTAATAAGGATTCGATTAGGCTTGAGAGTGCGAGGTGGGGGGAGGGGAAGGGTGAGACTATCTATTCGAGAACGAGTCTCACCGACTCTCCCAATAAAAGTCGACTTGTCGTTAGTTCTGTGCGCCACTGGCTGCCGCGTTTTGGCCGCCAAGTACACAGTCGGTTCACCGAACAATCGCGCAAAGCGTCTTGAGAAAGCGTCTCGAAGACGCGACGAGGCCCCGTCTCAAATGCAAGGGTTAGTATTCCGATCGTTATTACTGTCCGTGACTTTGACTGAAGTCCGTTGATTGCAGCGCTGCAGGAGAAGAGGGTTTCGCTTCGCTTATACATACACTGTCACCTATGGATCGAAGCTTGTAGAAAGGCTGGATGTAAAACCAGGAGCCCTCATTGCCCGCCGCGTCCAGCGTGACCCTCATCGCGTTCTTCTCCAGCAAGGCTGGCAGCCTCTTGTTCACAGTCAGGTACTTGTTGCTCTTCAGGTGCAGCAGCTGGAAGCGTTGGGAGACGGCAGGCGACAAAAAAAAAACCATCGGATTACGTCGAGGATGTGCAGAGCCGTCAAAGAGCCCAAACCGCAACACGACTGCCCCTTCGCTACTCGACAACTTGCATTTACACTGCGCCCTCCATGCGGGGTAGGGTCCCCGAGCGCCTCACGGTGGCGGAGTCTGACCCCGAGCCTGGGGTTTGGGGGGGTGTGAGGAGTGGGCGAGAGGGAGAGGGGGGAGGTGACCGTAAGCCCGATCAAAAAGGAAGGTCTGTAGGCGGGATTTGAAAGGGGTTACGGGAGGGGGCGAGGCGGAGGGATTGAGAGAGAGAGTTCCAGAGTTTCGGGGCGTAGCGGCTGAAGGCACGGCCACTGACGGTGGAGCGGAGGGGATAAGGGACGAACAGGAGGCTGGAGCCGGCCGAGCAGGGGGCAGCTGGCGGGAGATTGGGGGGGTGGAGTGGGGTAAGCAAATCGGAGAGGTGGTGGTCGGGGGTGGGGGGGGGTGCCAGGGCATGAAGGAATATTCGCCATCCAGAAAACACACAGGGGGGGGGGGTTCCTGAACGCAGACGAATTGCACGGCCGACTGAGACGTACACAGTTGACAACGCTCACCTGAATGACGTTGCCGTACTGGATGATGGTTCCCAGTAGCTTACGGTTTTCGGATTCGTTCTGTTTCTTCTCCAGGTCGGAGGCATGCTGTGTGGCGAAGGGTTAAGACGTTCAGCAACGAAACAACCAGGCGGACGACATCTTGCCTTCGGTTCGCGCTCGTCGCGTAGGGGTGGCATCTCGGGAACGACGGGGTCAGACGATGAGCGAGGGATGAGGGAGGCGATCGAGGGTGCAGTCGAAGAGGCGGGTTTTAAAGGGGGTGTTGAAAGACAGATAGAGAGAAGGGGGCGAAATCGAGAGGGAGGGAGTTACAATTCCGATTACGGACAATTGCCCGGGCAATCGTCTCCCTCGTGAAATGAATTGTCCATTAAGAATAACATTGCGATGCAGACCGAGCCCAGCAGAGGTCCCTGTGTGTCAACAACCCGTAGGATGCAGCTCACAAATTCTGGAGATTATGATTATTGCAGAGACCGGGTGTGTCTGACACGCGCGGAAACCCATCACCGTCGCTTAAGAGCCTCCAAACTCAGCTGAGAATTCCGTGTGTCCCAGCTACACGCGGAAAAAATCCCAGGGATAGATTGTTGGAATGGAATGCGCTCTCTCTCTCTCTATATATACATATATCTTTCTCTCCCTGGAGGGACACATCCTGTCTGCTCACCTAATGGCCTCTCCTTAAGTGGATGGTTTTGGAGATTGAATCCCACTGGTCCAGTGGTGTCTGAACTCGCACGCACGTTTTGTGACCACAAATCCCGCACGCTGATCTCCATCTTCAGCAGTTTCTTCGAGCAGAGGTACGGCAGGTAAATCAATCAACCGCTCAGCGGGCAGGGGTGGGGGTGTCAAATGGACGACAGCAAGCCCCCACCCCACCACCCCCTCCGCACACTGCCTCCCCAACCCCACGGCCACTTGCATATCTTTTAACACAGGCCAGTGACCGACGAAGCAGGGTTCTTCGGCTTGATAGGAAATGTTAGGGGGGGAATGAGATCAGGTGGGACAGAGGTTCCTTCTTCATCCAGACCAATCTCGTGATGATTTTGTGGGAGGTTCACAAAATGGGTTTATATAAAAATATGCAATAAATATCTATAAAAACAGCAGCCTAGTTTTCTGCATGGAACCCGAGACACCCAGCATACAGCCAAAGGAGGCTCCTGATGGACTGAGTGGGTGCGTGTCCCAAACTGGTCACCCCACTCCACCCCTTAGCTACCGGCTTGGAACCCCGACTGGGTCTCGCAAACCAGACCCCCTGATACAATAATAATAAAATAATAATCCTTGCATTAGATATAGCGCCTGATCACGTTGTTGAGTCGTCTAAAGCGCTTCACACAATATCCTGTAAGGTGGAGTGACTGTATATTTTGCAGGGGAAACTCTGCAGCCAATTGCGCACAGCAGCTTCCCACAAACAGTTGTGGACTGAGCGACCAATATTTGGTGGGGGGAGGAGGGATTTTTTATCCCTGGAAAGCAACCCGCCAATCGAACGTAATGGAACAAACCAGAGGCCCTCTCAAAGAGAGAGAGAGAGAGAGAGGAGCCTTTCTCACAGTGGAATCCAAGTTTTCAATTCTCAACGGGACAGACGACGTAAGATCCTGCGAGATAAGGTTGAGATTGTTGCTGAGGCAGCCTGTTCTTACACAGCCCGTCCTCTCTCTCTCTCTTTCTCTCTCCCACAGCAGAGCTATTGGGGCTGCTATTTGTCAAGCATGAGGCTCGAAGCCACAGGAGTCAGGAATGCAGGGACTCTGCAACCCGAGGATTCAATTCCTAAGTTGGACTTGCGGGAGCACGAGAGCACGTTTCCTGAATTCCTTTCAGAAATCTCGCACCAAACTACGCCTCACTCCTTGTACCACCTTCTACTCACACTTGTGTGTGTGTGTGTGTGTGCGTGTGTTTGGGGGAAGGGAAGGAGGGAGGGGTGGGAAAGAAGCACAAATTGTTCCACGCAGCTCATTCAACCGCTTGGCCTCATGCCTTCTCCCTGCCAACCCCCCCCCACCCACCGCCTCTGTCCCCAAGTGTGAGTGAGCCAACAGAACGTAAATATAGTAAACTGATAACTCGACGCCTGGCTTAACTTGGCACTGCCACTTAAGTCATCATGTTGTCAATATCCTGGCTGCATTCATGTATTTATATATATATATATATTTATATGTCTAACTCGCCAATCCTGATAACTCGTCACTGAACCCTTTTCCTTCGGAGCGATGAGTTATCAGGAAGTTTACTGTCGTACACTTTGCTCGGTTGCCTGGTACCACAAAGGCACCTTCCATCCAACCATACGTTCTGTCGCAGCACATTTTCTGGATGCCCTGACTGAAAACGGAGAGAGAGTTGAATGGATACACCGTGACTGAACCATTCAAACACCCGGCTGCGAAGTGCTTTGAGATGTCTCGATGCCGTGATAAAGCTCTCGGCAAGGATTATTATTATTATTATTGAAAGGATCTGTCATGACCCAGCAAACAGGCAGAGCAGGCTTGATGGGAGTTTTGCTCCATTGAAACAGTCCCCACACAAAGAAAGAAAACAGGTGAATAATCAGAACCTCTGATTAACCACACCAGTTAGGCAGAAATAAAGTGTTTGACGAGGCATCCGTTCACAGCTCACAATTCACGAGCGCTGACCTTCGAGCAGAAGTGACCACACTCGAATCCTAGGCTTGGGTGGAATTGACAGCCTAGGTTGCAAGGGAAAGGAAAGGAACCCTTCGTTCTTCTCAAGTACGCCAATTGAGCAAAGGTCAACCCATTGACCGAGGAGCCGACCATTTGCTGAAATATCTCCTCTTGGAAAAGGGGTTACAACTATAATTTAAGGCCAACACTAGTTTTATGAGGAGCAAAAGAAGAAGAAGAAGAAAAAAAGAAATCACCAGCCCTGGCCAATAAAGATAATTGGCTAAAAGAATCTTTGGGAAAATGTCCAATATTGTGAGGAGACTGTGCGCCTAATTCACTTCGATGGAGCATCAGGAGATGTCTTGGGCTGCTCCGACCCATTTAGTTTGAGTGTAAGTAGAAATATTCCACTAAACTCGTTGCTTCTACAAGCTGTTTGGTAGCTAAAACACAGGGCAGCTCAAGTCAACTACAGACGTTCAATTTGATCAACTAATTAATAACTACAGCAAATATTTCCTTTTGCACACATGCTACCAGTTAAGTAGGAACCCGGTTGTTAGTCGACTGATGACTCGCTTTTCCGTGAGTAATAATTCCTTCAAAATAAATGTAAATTAATTGTTCACTTCAATCCACGACTGTTTGTGGTGACGCCGCTGTGCGCAATTGGCTGCCGCGTTTCTCCCACAAAATACACAGTCAATTCACTTTACATGATACTCTGTGAAGCGCTTGGAGACGTCTCGAAGCAGAAGAATGTCAGGTTCCAGACAGAAAACATCCTGTGTTTACACATCTTGTGTTCCGAGTCTTTCCATCCAGAATTCAATATTAACTCGTTTTTCTCCCCCTGTTTTATTTGTAATCGCTTGATCCTGGATGACCTTCCAATTTTTCTTAAAGTACAGATCTCACACCAAGTTAGCCCTCATTCAGATTCCTGTCGTTTCCCGAGGGAGGGAGGGAGGTGTGGAAAGAGAGGAACGAAAGGAGGAATAGGATGGAATGGAATAATAATAATCCTCAGGTTTGATAATCGTTGAGACGTCTCAAATCACTTCACAGAATATACTGTAAAGTGAAGTTATTGTGTATTTTGTGGGCAAAACATGGCAGCCAATTGCGCACAGCAGTGTCCCGCAGACAGTCATGGATTGAGTGACCGGATTATTATTATTTTTTTAAAAAAAAAGGATTTCGGTACGATCTGAAGAGGAATGGAAGGAAAAGTGTAGAGGTGGTGGAAACAGACACGTGGAGAATTGGGAGTCGATAGTTGCAAATCCTGTAGCGGCTGGAGGCAAGGACGCTGTGTTTGTACTCACGTGAAGCTTGTTCAGAAGGACGGTGTCCGTGGTACTGTTGGCGCCTGGTTTGGCCGCTTTCCAGAACTGCTTCTGAGCCGAGTACCGGTTCATGGGACATAGCTTAAACAGACAGTCTGTGAAAACAAGACGTGCACACACACAAAAAAAAAGATAAGTTCCCTTCTTTCTCCTGTAATCCAAACGATTCATTTCCTGTGAATCATTTGAATGCATCAAGACATTTACAGCAAACTCTGACCAACAAGCAAAACGCGTGGAAGAATGATGTTAATTGCATTTAGAAGTACTTTATTGCGTTCAGTACAAGTGTGTAACTGTATTTAGACGTCCGAAGGTCTTTGGGGAACTATCAGGAGAGGAATTCTCAGTAAGTTTTCCCCTCCTCAAGTCCAGAGGTCCCACATTTAACAACACAGTGTTCACAAAGTCATGTAACCCTCCCCCCCCAACCTTAACTCGTGAATACCCTGTACAACCCCTTATTAACGACAACAACATGCGTTTATATAATGCCCCTCACGCAAGATAGCATCCCAGAGCACTCGACTCTGGGGCTGTCAAGGTTCCTTATAGGATTCGAGATATCCTTCTCTCTGTGACTCCTGCCAAACCCCTCCCCACACACACTCCCACACACACACACACACACACACACACACAGACTGAACCGAATCCTCTCTCCCTCCCACCCAGAGAGTAGACTAGATTTTTGAGGGAAAGAAAGTGCACCACAATCCTCGACTCCAACATGGCATAAATCCTCCTGCGGAGCTCACAGTCACTGTTGTTTAGTCTCAATCCGCACACAGCCATACATTTCACCGAAAGATTAAGATGTTACGTTTCCAGCCCTCTCACACGCAACATGTTGAATTGTACATCAGGTAAAACACGCCTGTTCTTCCTTTCACATTCCCCCGTCTCCCCCCCACACCCCGCTATTCTTTTTTAGGTTCACATCTTCTAGCAGGGCGGGTAGATGACCCCTTTCCTGCCCCCCCCCCCGACAGAAACCTTGGTGTCTCAAGCACTTTGTAAGAAAGCGATGGGTTTTGGGAAAGGGGAAACACATCAAGCACTGCCTTGTTGGAGGATGCCGTCCTCTGAATGAGATATTAAAGCCCTCTAGGACGGTACCCAGCGTGAACGGGGCTATATAAATGCAAGTTGTTGTTGTTAACCAAGCTCCCATCTGTGCCTGTTCGGGTAGATGTTAAGAGAGGGAAGTTTCTCTCTCCCGGTGTCCTGGCTAACAATCCCTTGCATAAAAATCAGTCATTCATCTCACAGCTTTCAGCAAGACGTCGCTGTGTGCAAATCGGCTGCCTCGTTCGCCTACACAATACAGTCACCAGTGATACGTTTTGAGATGTCTCGATGATGTGAAGAGTCGCTGTATCAAATGCAGGGATTGTGATCTAACCATAGATAATAATAATCCTTGCATTTGATATAGCGCCTTATAAGAACATAAGAATTAGGAGCAGGAGTAGGCCATTCGGCCCCTCGAGCCTGTGCCCCGCCATTCGATAAGATCATGGCTGATCTTCAGACCTAACTCTAATTACCTGCCCGTCTTTAAGACGTCTCAAAGCGCTTCACAGAATATACTGTAAAGTGAATTGACTGTACATTTTGTGGGTGAAACGCGGCAGCCAATTGCGCACAGCAGCGTCCCACAAACAGTTGTGGATTGAGCGACCAAATTATTTTATTTTTTTGAAGGTGAGGATGAGGATTTCAAGATCCTCATCCTCACCTACAAGGCCATTCACGGCCTTGCTCCCTCCGACCTCTCCAACCTACTATCCCCCTACCTACCTGCCCGTGCCCTCCGTTCCTCTGGCTCCGGTCTGCTCCACGTCCCCCGCCCCAACCGCCCTACTATCGGTGGTCGGGCCTTCAGCCTCTCAGCCCCGAGGCTCTGGAACTCCATCCCCCAGTGCCTTCGCCTTGCTTCCTCCCTTTCCTCCTTCAAGGCCGGTCTCAAAACCTTTCTCTTTGACCGTGCCTTCAGCTCCCCTCTCGACTCTCTTCCTCCTCCTCGCTCCCTCCCTTCCCTCCCCTCACCCTGACCATTTCCCCCTCCTCTCTCCCTCCCTTCCCTCCCCTCACCCTGACCATTTCCCCCCTGCTCGGGTCATGACCCAACTGTGCAGCGCCTTGGGACGTCCTCCTGACGTGAAAGGCGCTCTATAAATGGAATCTTGTTGTTGTTGTTGTTGTTGTTGAAGGGATTATTCCCTGGGTGAACAGAGACATTGGGAGTAAGGAAACTTGCACAACCTTTCGCCCTGCCGGGAATCAAATCCAAGTCCTCCCGCTTGCGAGGCGAGTGCTCTAACCACTGAGCTGCAGGACTCCACACAGATGGATAGATAGAAGGAACAGAGTCTCACGTTATTGCCGGAGATGTCATTCTTTGGGTGAGATGATTAAACCAGGGTTATGTCTGCTCGTAACTTCATCCAATATTCAGTAAAAACGTAGATTGGCCCTTCATCTCAGTGCTATTCATGTGAAGTTGCTGGTACAGAAATAGCTGTGGCTGACTTCATAACAGTGATACATCAAAGTAACTTATTACGCGAAGCACTTTGGAGATGTTTCAATGGGGACAAGGTGCTCCGTCAAAGGCGAGGTTTTTCTTCAGTTAAGAAAAAAATAAACGGGTGGATACACAATAGGTGGCTGATCGATTCATTACTCAAGCAATTGCAGAGCAGACCTTCAGTGACCTTAGACTTTGCAGAGCGCAGCCTCGTTAAGCAATAAAGCGATTTGCACAGCCGATTTTTTCACACAGTGTTCTCGAGTTAAATAATAATAATCGCTGCATTTGATGCAGATCCTCATCACGTCTTCGAGATGTCTCAAAGCGCTTCACAGAATACACTGTAAAGCCAATTGACTGTATATTTTGTAGGCGAACTAGTTAATGGTGCAAAGTTTTATTTGAAACCATCTGACTGAACCGGGAAGGGAATTGGAAGAATAAACAAAAAAAAGTGTTGAGTGATGCAGTTTATTCCAAATTTGGTCCCAATGAGGTTGCCCCACCACTAGCGTCAAGGGGATCATTGGGCAGGGACTCAACCCGCCACATTTTTCTGTCCGTTATCTGATCTCACAGCGGCTCCTTACAACAACTCTTATCTACAGCGCGCCCTTCACACGGGGTAGCGTCCCAGAGAGCTTGACAATGGTGGAGTCTGACCCCAAGCCAGGGGGAAGAGAGGGGGGGGGGGGGGGGAGAGAGAGGTGACCTTAAGCAAGATCAAAAAGGAAGATCTTTGGGTGGGATTTGAAAGTGGGGAGGGAGAGGGCAAGGCGGAGGGATTGTGGGGAGAGAGGGTTTCAGAGCTTACCAACAAGGTGGCACCGAGATGGAGATACCGACATGTCCTGCGATATTGGAGGTCAGCCTTTGGAGCTGAATCTACACCACAAAGATAAGACGGCACTTCCCCATTTGTGAGCGAGTCGCTATCTGGTCCCAGCAATCCCACCGGTCCTTTAAGACTCCTTTCACGGACACCCTGAACGTTGTGAACATTCGTGTGCAAGCCTCGATGGGGAGAATCAGGAAGCTGTCCGACTGCATTGGACATCAGACCTAAACCCCTAAAACCCAGGTCCACACTTGTCCATGTGAGCATCTCCTGAGAGAGATCATTGGGTAAAAATTTGGACCAAGAACCCCAGTGGAACCTAAGAGACAGGCTGTCCATCAACCGAGTCAAACTGAGAGTCGCATTAAAATTATATGAAACATAAGAACATGGGAATTTGCGAGGTGAAAGAAGACCAAGGTCCATCCACTTTGTCCTTCCACCTTCCTGGCAGTTGCTTGACATGTCGTGTCCTAAACTATACACTGTATCTATGCCCAGATATTATGTCTTAATGGAAATCTATCTCCATTTGTCCTTGAAAGAATCAATACTTTCTGCCTCCGCCGGCTCCCTAGGGAGCCTGTTCCATACGTAAAACATGAAAAGATTGGCGGGATCAAAAAAAGAGAGAGAGAGCGAAAGAGAAGTCATGCTGACCTAAAGGAATTCTGTAACCCACTGAATATTTGGCTGCAGACAAAGAGAATCTGGGATTGTCCCATTAAACGAAGCAAATGTCATCTCTCTGAGAACAGAAATGAGACTTCACAACGTCAGGAATTTGATCCAAGTTCCTTCATTGACATTCACAAGTCGACCTTCCTGTAGGTACTTGTGAAGGGGAAGTCCCATGTCAGGGACTTTGAGCGCACAATCTTGTCTCACAATCCAGTGAGTCAAGCGATTGAGGTTTTTAAAAAAAAAATCACAAAATGATGATTGAACCCATTCCGTTAGACAATTTTACAGCTCAATGCCTGAATTATGGCCTGCGTTGGCAACGTAGCGTTAAAGACAATCTCTCAACAGTGCAGCGAAGGTGCAGTATTATACAGTAGTGCCTAGAAACACCGGACCAAATGTGACTCAACAACCTGATAGTTCTACAGGCCAGCACATTAGAGCAAGGCTCGTGCTCCATCAGAGTTCAGTCACTTGCTTCAAGTCTCTTTCCCTCCCCTTCACCCCCTCTTCTCCCCCCTCCCCCACTCTTTCACCCACCCCTATGTCCAACCCCTCTGCCAACCCAGCCACCCCCCACCCCAAAAGATCGAAAGCCTTGCAAAAGACAGAAGATGTGGAAGAAAACAAAGCTGTGCTTGAAACTATCATTGCAGCTTTGTGTTGGAGTCCGGTAAGATTCACGTTTATACCTGGTGCCTTTCACGTTGGGAGGGAACCTCGAAGCACTGGACATCACTGGTTGGACGGGGTGGGGGCCGAGCAGCCCAGGGAGGGGAAAGGTGACCAAACACACAAATCAAAGAGGTCAGTTTTGAGACAGGCCTTATAGGAACAGGCCTTGCCCCCCCCTCCTACCTCTCTGACCTGCTGACTCCCTACCAACCTGCCTGCTCCCTCCGTTCATCAGGCTCCGACCTCCTCCATGTCTCCAGCCCGACCCTCCCCACCATCGGTGGCCGGGCTTTCTGCCTCTCTGCCCCCACACTCTGGAACTCCATCCCACGGTCCCTTCGCCTCGCTTCCTCCCTCGCCTC